GTCCCTGGCGCTTTGGACGGGGCTGGGACCAAAAAAAATGGAAAGTGCTGGGTCCAATTTGCACTTATCTTATACTACACATACACATAGGAATATAACTTTAAAACGTATATTGTGGAATCACGCATTATATATGGGTGATTTGAGATGAGTGATGAGTGCAACAAAATACAAAGGGTAAAAAGTAACTACCTACATAATCCGATATATTATATACTTGTATAATTCAGTCACATGATCATATATTCATATATATATAACAAATAATATATATATATATATATATATTATATATATATATTATATATATACGGTAACTACATTTAAATATACGGACTTTTAAATATACGAAACAGGTATTGTGGACTAACTCCGGGAAGGTTTTCCTTGGCCAGCCCGGCCATTTAAACATCCGGAATCCAATTCATTTAAACATACTGCAACTACTGCATTTAAATATACGAACTGGTATTTCATACTACCTCCGGGGCCTCGCAGTCTGGCCCGCCCTCCACATATTCAAATGTCGTTACCGTATGTCTAACTATGAAACTAATGAAACTATCAAAAACTATGTATTACTGTGTACCTTTGTGAACTGTTTGCATTACATCAATGACATCTACATCGCCGCCCGATGGCCTTGGAGGGAACGAAGGTCTCTTCACCTTTATCGATAAGGTCACACCTCGACTGATGGCACTACCAGGATCAATGCAAATTTAAATCTGGGTATATCCAGAAATGTAAAGAACTATCACATAAATGTATGTGTATATCCCAGTATTTTTCAATCTTCATATATATATATAGTTGATTGTATAGATTGTATAATCATAGTCGCAGTTGAAACTTGAACTGAGAAACAACCGCAGCGACCTTTGACCACCGAAGTCTTTCCCAGGCTTCCGGCACACAACAGTCAGAAAATCGGAGCATGACGACTGTTTCTTGAAACGTAGAAGATGTTGGAAAAAACGCTGGCTGATGCTGCGAATGAAGTTGCAAACTGCTGTCATGGCTGAAACTTGAAAGTCAGAACTGTAAGTTGAAAACACTGTCACCTTACCATTTGCAATATATTTGCGGATCGGGTCAAAGCCTACCCTGTTGAACCCCAAAAGAGCTGGCTTTTCTTGATGGCTATCAATTCATGCATCAATCTGGTTTATCAACTATTCATAACTGGTGTATATGGTACTATAATGTATTATGGCTGTTTGTCAACCTGGAATGTGGTATAAGGCTTTGATGGCCATTTGATCTTGCTGTTGATCGCGTTGCTATTCTCTGAACAAAGGTCTGCGACATTCTGCGACTTGCTTAGAGACCACACATTGAGCTGACAAAATAACCTTCTTGGAAGGGACTGGCAATTAGAGTAGTAAAAGTATATAAAAGTATATACAAGTAAATTAAAAAATATAAAACATTATAAACATATATAAAAGTCGCGTTGAAGCAAAACGCAGCACTTCTCGAATGGTTCTTCCACCCTTTTATATACCAATTATGTACAACACAACACACGTGGAAAGCTCCAGAATGATGGCTTTTGAATTCACACGCGCTCCGCAGGTACAGCACCACCGCTGTGAGCCGCCCCGCGAATTATCTACCAAGACAGCACGGTGTGGCAAACATGAATGACTTGGATATGTAGCTACCTCTGAATGCCTGAAAGTTAACACAAATCCTATATAAAATGGTAATCCCAGGGAAGAAAAGTAGATTTTCTCCAGTTGCAGGTCGATTTTTTTTGGGTAAGTAATCATCTTTTCTGTTGAACTTTCCCGTCAACTTTCAAACTTCACCTGAGGCGGCGGAGTCGATGTGGAGATGCTTTGGAAAGAGAAAAACTTCCAGTCTTAAACCACATTTCAAAAATGAATGAATGATAATGCATGGATCCCCATTTTTTTGGGGGAATAAATAAATCATGTTGTTTTTCTGTCTATCGGATATTCAGAAAATGGGGCACCGTGCCCATGGATCAGAAAAAAAACCAGGAAACCCCAGTGGTGAAGCCTATTCCAAACTACCTAATTACTGTAGTTGGTTCTTATTCATGGATCTTGATCCCCAAATCTATGGAAAATAATGGAAAATCATCCCAAATTCCAACATTTACAACTGGTGAAGCCCATATTTCTCGGTTAAATCCTGTAACCACCGGTGCCAAGTCGTGGCGGCGGGGGCCCGCCTTCTTCACTTCCGCTTGAAGCCTCGAAGAAAAATCATGGAGGGGTTGGAGATGGAACACATCGATAGACCAGACAATATTCGAAAACCATATAGTTACTTGTGTTTTATGATATCCGTATCAAATGATTCTGTTACATATATACATATTATATCACATTAGTTCAAATTACATCAAATACTGTAAAAGTATGTAAAAGTACTGAAATCACAAACTGGAGGCAGCCATAGATCCAAGTGCCATGGAAATATGTTCCAAAGACGGGCTGCCCCTTTTGATGGCTGGTGGTCTTAAGCCTGAAAAAAATGCTCGTCGTTGGATATCAGCACTTGCTTGAAAGTCTTAACCATACTTTTGAAACATTTTTGAAACCACCGACTAGATCAGCTTTGCTGTGGGGTTAATGAAAACCCTTGATAAGGCTTTAATATGGCTAAATTCAACATGGAACACAAGAATTGCCCTTCTCCAACAGGAAAATCCTCTTCCAAACAGAAAATTGTGGTGATGAATTTGCTCGGGCGAGCCAAACGGAAAACGTCGTTGAGCAACCCAGCCTTCGCGGAGCAACTCGAGGTTCTCGCACCTCCAGGATAGGACTCAGCCCCAAACGGTGTCAATGAAGTGACTATAGTATTCACAGGGGCCTCCACCTCATAACTCCCACAACAAACCAATATTCTTGATGATGTACCCTGCGGAAATTTGTTACACAGCTATGGCATAGCCTATCATTTTCAATGAATTTACCAGAGGCTATTCCAGTTTTGGGGATGATATGTGGAATGAATCCCTGAGTTTATCCAGTCTATAAGCCATCAGTTAACATAACTATTCATGCTTCATTGCTATTGAACCGCAAAACTATGAGAACTATGCACTCTAACTAGGATGTTCATTTGATATCGTTTATATAGTTATGAATCGCCAATATGTTAACTATTCCTGATTGTTATATGATAACAATGAATATCAAGGATAACTATTATTAATTGTTGAAAAGGTGATAATTCGTAAAGGAAAACTGCCAGGCCTCTGGCTGCATTGGCTGCATGGCCATCGCCTGTTTCGCGTCTTCGGAGGCCGAAAGCCCACAAATGTAAACATTGTGAAATCATAGGGAAACAGTGAAGAAAACAACATATTTTCTTTACTTGGAGTGATCCCAAGCCTGGCAAATTGTTTTGGCCAAGTTTCTGTCATATCATCTGGAAGTAATATGGCCCGGCATATATATATATGTTCTGACTTTCTGGCATATATATTATTTAATATTCTATAATATTCTATATATATACTCTGACATTCTATCTGACTGTCTTTCTGACATTCTATCTGGCAATATGAAGTTCGGGTCCAGGCGTGCACCACAGCATCCGGAGCTGGCAGAGGAGGAGGCGAGGACGAGAATCTAGGAATCTAGAGACCCTCACCTGGCAGGTGGAGAAAAATGGCAACATGATTTACTGTAACATGGTTATAAAATGTTATAAACACAATGAAAGCTTGGTATAGCGATACGCCCCATTTTCAGACACATGTGAAATGAACACCTAAACACGTGGATCATATGAATCGTTAATATTCGTTAATAGTGTATCGTATGGAAAAAGTTGGTTGAGTAGAGAGTCACAGAACAAAGACTGTGAGATAGTATATCAGATATAGGAAAATGGTCACCGTGTATATGTAGAGATTAGATGTATGTCTCGACAGACATGTATGTTTTCATTTGTCTCTGTATATGTTGATATTCACGTCTGCATGCTTGACAGTGCATAACATCTCAAAATTAAGAACACCGGACATCACACACGGTGGTCTTGGCACACAAATGCAGTCAAGTCTTCCCCGAGTTGTGAGTTGTGACACACTAAGGCGTAGCCAGTTTAGCTTTAATTTGACATGGGAGACAGGGTGAGACAAGATGGGAGGATGGAGTTTATACGTTTGCAATCCACAAGGAAATCATTTACTCTGCAGGCAAGTGTACTTCGATGCTGCCACTCTTCCCTTGTCATGATACAGGTAAAATCTTTTAAATGTTGTGCACTCTTGCAGTGGAAAATACATAGTGACTTAGTTTTTCGAACTCCGCGCATTTGATACTGCTGTGTAATTCATCCCCGGGTTTCAACCTGAAATTTGACTTCAGATCATCCCAAATAGGTGGAAAACAACCACACATTTGAAGCCGCCAACTAGTCATGGTTTACCATGTGGAAGTTCCTGTCAAAATGGAGGTACCCCAAAATCATCCAAGTTATTGGTTCAGATATGTTAATATCAATGGGAAAATCAATGGCTTGGGCCTCTGGACTCCTTGGCTCCTGACACTGACTTGGCTCCTGCCGTGGCGTGCATCGTTGTCATACCCCATGGCCATGACCGCCATGGTCAGGACGTTGGGAACCTGTCTTGACCCACACAATTTCTATTGTCATTCAAGCATTGAAGCATCCATTTTGGGCCAGCTATCCATTGATTTCGTGCATGCCCCCACATTATATGCAGTTTTGGGATGTTTTGGGGCTTCATCATGGTAGCAGTTGGAGAAGTTGCAAAAAAAGGTGAGCTCACTGCACCAGGTTTCCTGACTCCCAATGTCTCTTTGACGAAGCCATGTTCAGGAACTCAGGAAGGTGTTTGCCATACTTTTCCAATTTAATCTAGTGAATATATTAGAATCTCTTGATACATTAGAATCTCTTGTCAATTTGCCATCAATGTTCATCAATATTCAAGCTCCAAAAAGCTCCAAAAACACCTTCAGCCTAAGCCTTCGATCAGTTCTGAGTCAAGAAATCTCCTGTGTGATGGGTTCCAAGGTGTAGGGCAGTCTCACGACCTCCGTGGAGCCCGTGGAGCCCAGAGGCCTGGCACTGGATCCAGTTCCATGGGAAGATGGGAAGTTTACACCTGCAAAACCATCTATATACCTTTTTTGTTTACATAAAAAGGAAGTAATGCCAGACAATTTTTTAAGTAATATCCTGACATCTGATACCTGAATCCAACACACGTTTGAGTAGGTGTTCCCATGCAACTTCAATGGATCATAATGATTAGGCTATCTCCACAACAGATTCATCGAAAGAACATCCCAGTGATCACCGGCCCACCTTTGTGTCAACCGCTCAGGCGATGGCGTCCTGAAATTTCCCCGACACCATCGACCCCTCAGAAAACGCGACTGGATTTCCGGGGATTTCTTGGCCAAATGCGTTTAACCAAGTCAATGTCATCAAAACAAGCTGCCAAGATTGAAGCTACTTGAACATGGATCTCATTGGAAATTCCTATTTTGGATGGTCACATCCCCATTTATCTCATTGGAAATTCCCATAGGTTTCGGTGGTGAAGTCCCTAGTGTTGAATCATGGTTATATATATATATGAATTTTCAGTGGATAAAATCGGATAAATCATGATAAATCATATAAATTCATAATGTTCTGTCCTGATTTGTGTGTGTGGCCGCCCCAAACAAATGCTATACTATCTTTAAAGTTGATTTTTTTTAAAGCTGTTCCCCAGATAGGACACACAACCTACATTGAAGTAAGGATCTTAATCGCTGACAATTAAAATCTCATCAACTCTTTTTTTTGCCGATTGATTTTGTGATATTTGTAGTAATTTGTACTACTTGAGTACTTGTAGTTCTTCCAAAAAAAAGGTCCGCCAAGGAAAAATTGACCACAGCGACCTCAGCTACTCAGGATACCCCGCTCCTCGGGGAGTCGCTGGACCTCTCTGGTGCCATCCTGGAATAGCATGGTTCCACCATAAAAAATATAGGGAAGCTGTAAGTTGAACAAATTGGTGGGATTATCATGATAACATTTGGATGGTGGTTGGATTGAGGTAATTTAAAAAAAAACAAGGAGCACATGTCCAGGATGGTAGTTCGATGATGTTTTCTCCTTAATTTCCAGATTTCCAACGTTTATATCAATATGGGGGTGCCATAATTGGTTTGTTTTCGACTACTTGTAAGAATTGAGCTATGACTATGCACAAATTTCATCCAACCGGGTCTGTATATTATACCGATGGATATGCCAACTTAAGATACCAAGTAATGGAAGTAGTGGAATGATCAACCCCAGTTTAAGAGATCTTGCAGGCACAAAATTGAGCGATTGCAGTCTCCTCTAATTTCTAGATATGGTGGTTTAAAAGCTCAGGCGTCCGTGGAGTTGTTTAACAAGAACAACCTGAAGTTGGGATTCAGCAGTTCCAAGTGGATCAAGTGAATCAAACCGTTATTTTGTCATGTCTCATCTCATTGATTGATAGTTGGTGCGAACATTATACAATGATGTGATCAGTTGCTTGTGGTGATTTTCTCCGGTGTCCTCAAACATGGCTTGCTGGAAAATACCATGATGTTCCCATTTATGAACGTCCATTTTCATTGGGGATTTCCTACTAGCCTGCCATGTTTGATTACCGGAGGGTATATCCCCATATCATCACCATTGTTGATGGTTCATATCTATAGAATCCCCATAGAATCCCCATGATCATCGCCATATATGGAGGTTTCCTAAGATAGGGATACCATGGGATATCCCTAAATATCCATTATCATAGGGATTCTCCATTGTAAATCATCCAGCTTGGGGTATCTCCTATGGAAACCTCGCCATCGCCTCAAACACCCCGGCCGCGATCGGCTTGAGGGGCCCGTGTCCTTGCCATCTGAAGCAGTTTTGGTACCCCAAAACTGAACAAGGTGGCCTACTTAGCCAAGTTGGTTTATGTTGTATGTGTATATACATATACTATATATATATACACACTGTATATATATATAACTAGGCAAAGGGTTGAATTTATGGTAGATATAGCTGCAGGTAGATGGGTTTATAATACCAACGTATAACTGGTGAGCACCACCGTTTATGATGGTTTATCATCGGATTCCCCTGACAAAGGTGTATACTGTATACCCAGTCAGCAAAGTTCTGACACCATGAAACGTCGAAGACCTATGGAAATGCAAAAACATATGGGGGATCGCCAAAACCATGGGTTTTAACACTAAAATGATGAAATTTGGAGGGGGCAGCCCCATTTAAAGAAACCACCGTATGCTCACATCTGGTCAACCAACGTGACAAAGCACAATTACCAGGGCTTGCTACGACGGGTCTTGTTGAAATTCCATGAAATTCCGCTATTGCAACCAATGCTTAAGGAGCATGTGCAGCCAGACCCCAGCAGAAACTTCAAGGCGGAATCAAACATGGAGATGCAAGATAAGAATCATCTTTCAACAGCATTCTTAGGGGCTTCACGTGGCTATACCCTGGTCTTCCCAAAATGGCTGTGGAGTTTCACCCATCGTTGATGGTATCACGGGTCTTGACACAGAAGGGTAAGTCCAGAAAAATGGGTCCCCAAGGTTTTTTTCCTCATCCCTGCATCCAGATGAACGATATCCTCGTTTGTTGAAATGGATTTGCATTGGTTTCAGTCCCCACATGATTTGTTTGCTGAACGTCCACAACCCAATTGTTGCTTTATTTTGGCTGCGTATATATCTGCATATATCTGTATATATCTGTATATATGATCCCCAATTTTTGTTGCTAAGCTTCCCAGTCTTATTGCATTATCATCCCCACATCAAAAATCGGGCTCTACCCAACTGCCACCCGGACAGTGCCATGCCCGACTGCGTAGTGCGCCTCCTCCTTTCGTTCTGCTAGACGCTGTCGCATCTTGGCAAGACGGCGTGAAGAGACCTGAGCGACAAACTGGTGATCTATGGAAAAAGATAGCCATAATACGTAGGGGATACACAGTGTGCCTGTATGTCTGTCTGTCTGTTTGTCTGTCTGCATGCATGGCATGCATGCATGCATTCATGTTTGTATAATGTATAATTTATATGTATATACAATGTGCATGTGTGTGCAAGTGGTTAGGTACGAGTAGCCATATTTACAGGAGCTGGCATGGTCCTGAGCCCCATGATTCTGAGTGATTCTCTTCATCCCAACATCTTTTTGAAGGGAATCACAGGGTTTATTAAGACATTTCAAACCACTGAACCACCAAGAACCATGAATACAGGGGCTCAACTCAACCATTTATTCTTGTCAAAATTATGGGGTCACCAAACTGGTGGTTTGTTTGAATCCAAAAATTTTGTTTAGGAACCCAGCCAACTTCCATCCAACTTCCCCATACCTAGACCCTCCCCATACCCGTTTTTCAATGGCTATGGACATCCCATGACTTTTGGAGGGTCCAAAGGTATGGTACCCTCCATTGTTTTTTTTTTTTCACCCATGTGCCTCCAAGTGTGGCGACGACAAGGGAACCAGCAACTCTTGTTGTGCCTGGCCATCTTACGAAGAAATGTCCGGTGTGTACTTCTGGACATGATATGTAGATTCAATGTAGATACAACATATAGATCGCATGCGGGGAGTAACACTAAATAACATGTGTATATAGAATATAAATACAGATGTTGTTAAAACACATGTATGTAGGTGTGTATTAACTGTACATATAATATCATATAAGTATATTATATTATATATAATTAAATTATATTATATACATACATTATACACATATATGAACCACGCACTAAAATCAACCGTTGGATTTCTTGGGAAGACATGGCTTTGAGGTGCACCCAGCACCTGCGGCTTGTCCTCCGTTCGTTGCCTTAAGCCTCGGGACTGGCGGTTTCACCCGAAGTATGGTGGAACATAGCATCATATATCATCACGAGGTATCATAAGATTTGGTTTATATATATATATTGGTTAATCAATGTTAATCACATGAAAAAATAGGTTCACCTAGAATGACCATATATATATAATTATAAAAATACATTCATCACACATGAAACCAGGTAAAAGGCATCAAATAGGAATCATAGGTAAACTGATCCAAGAGTAGCTTTCTATACAGACTTCGGGGTTGAGGAATGTACCTGTTGAAATTACGCGTGCATATTCTCCTCCAACAGTTGAAACGGTGCGGTCTCAAAATTTGGCACCCCGTCCCATTCCATGGTAAATAAAGAAAACCATTCTTCACCATGCTTCAATGAATCTACTACCCACGAAATCAGGGTAAGTCACTTCTACCGTTTTGTTTCACAAGTACATCCCCATTTTTCCTCTTGAAATTCTAAAATCGATGAAAAGAACGGCCGCAAATTGGGGTCAAACTCAGATAGCTATGGGTCAGGTCCCTGGTACTTCAGTGAACAGAATAGCTGCTTCGGGGATGTTAATGTAGGTTTCTCTATCTCCATAGTTATCCCCAAAAAACTGGATAAGTAAACCCCTAGTGACCTAGTGAAATAGCCATTTTTTTGGATAACTCACTTTTCATCCAGTTGGGTATGACTATGGCTCTCAGGCGGTGCCAAGGGGCAACTAATTTCATCCAACAAGTCGTCCACGAAGGTGGAAAGCCTGGCACCGAGCGTAAAGTCCGTGGAGAAAATGCGGCTGAAATGTGGCAAATTAAACCTGTTCTATTTTTTTGGGTGATTATGATGGATTACTGTTATGTATATATATATACATACAATTATATGTATATGATATATGTATATTATATTTACTTATTTTGTTTGTAATATATTTATGACATGTAGTGATTGAGGTCTGCCAATTCGTTGGACAAACTACCTTGACATAATTTGATATATCAATGGAGACCAACCAGGTTAGACCTGGCTCATCCAAGGTCCTTTGAGCATCATTCAAAGCCCTTGTTCCTCATGGATTCCGATCAAAACAAATGATGAAAACTTAGAAAGCGCAGAAAAACTATCATATACTCAATCTTTGGTACATTTACCATACATTTACCTAACATATTTTACCATATATTTTACCATACACATAGGGGAGGATTCTGTGGTAAAATACTGTACCATAGTTCCACCGCTGGTTAGATCACCCAATCGCCGCCTCTCTGGATCCAACATGTGCTGTTGCACCGTTAGCTGCTGCATGTGCTGCCTGGTTGTGACGAATCTGCGTAGGGGACATGGATATCTGGTGAGTCATAATAATGATTTATTAGTGGGATATAATTAGTGGGATATAATTTATCCAACCAGAGGGTTTATCCCATTATTTATCATAATATGTCATAATATGTCCTAATATGTCATACATCCCACCTATAAATGGGATATACCCTCTGGTTGGTGGTAGTAAACCTAGCCCCCTGAAAAATCATGGAGTGAGTTCGTCAGTTGGGATGATGACATGACCCCAACTGAATGGGGAAAATAAAAGCGATGTTCCAAACCACCCACCAGTTATCATCATTTCACAAGATCCGAACATTCCCATATTTGTTGAATCGGGCCTCAAAATCATTGATTTGGAATGTCATGGGATGCCAGAAATGGATAGAAATGGCAGGTAAATCATGAACGCTTCGCGGCTTCGTCATGTTGAGGCGCCAGCTGGTTCAGGGCATGTAACTGTGCCTGATGTTCCTCCGTCCTGAGCTTCCGTTGCTCTGATTGGGAAGATCATCACAATTTTCCGAAAGAATGATGGCTGTATAGTGATTGACCATAAAAATGATGTGACCATAGGAATTATCGTTTCCAAATATAAGTGCTCAATTTTCCTGACATTTTTTGTTATGGAAATTTATCCCGAATTCCGCACATCTTGGGGCTGTCTGTATGAGGACTCAAACAACATTCACATCGGAAAAGTCTTCTGTGGAATGATCTTAACCATGGATACCTGGTAAAAGAGTTGATTTTTGGTTGGATAGTGTATTCCTCCATGACAAAACAAGCAACCCATGAAGATGGACAACATAGTGACCCGATGGCATTTTCGTTGCCCAGGTACAAGTTGTCCAGCTGTTGCTTGTGGAGGATACGCCTCGAATGCACTGATCCACAACGTTTTTTCGGCGAGGAAATCATCGCCATGAAAAGATCGCCACGAAACACACCCAAGCAAAGCCAGTGGGTGTGGAAGGTGCTGACAATAGATCAACCAGCTGGTGGTTTTAACATGTTTTAACCATCTTGAAAAAATATTAGTCAATGGGAAGGATTATCCCATATATTATGGAACATAAAACATGTTTGAAACCACCAACCAGATAAAGATCAAGTATGAAGCCTTGCATGCTCCGCTGGCGACCCTGAAAGCCACATAGCCACATTTTGGTCAGCCAAGTGGTGATTTGGGCTGCACCACATACCACACTGTACATGGGCTGCCAACCTTTCCTGCTGATCTCATGATCCAAAGGAGATTTTCAATTTTCACTCGGGTGTTGGTAGTTTTCAACGGACATGGTCAACAATCAACCCACTCAACAACCGTGATTTACTTATCGTTTGAAGTTTGACGGTTAAATTGCATTTTTCTTGATATGATAAGTTCCCAAGATGGCTGTTTTCGTCAAAACCCTGGCACCCTAAGTCATAGCTGGTGGATGTGGATTCCCCCAGTCATACGGGAATAATCACCATAATCACCATCATTAGGGAATAATAATCATTAAACCATATTAAACCTAATGATGATAATCAAGTCCATCATAATTACCATCATAAAATATCATAAATCATATAATCACCATCATTGGAGATTTTCTTCACCATCATTCACCCTACCCTCTGGTAAATTAACATAGCTATTGAAAATGACCATTTATAGTGGATTTTCCCATGAAAAAATGTGATTTTCCATAGTTAGGTTAGTTTACCAGAGGGTAAACCTCCATTTTCCTATGGTTTTCCCATGGTTTTCCCATGGTTTTCCCATGGTTTTCCCATTAAAACCGCTAGTGATCAGCCGCGCGGCTGGTTGCGCTGCGATAGCGCCGCCGCGCTGGCGCTGTTGGCTGCCGTGGCGGCTTGCGCCTTGTAGCTGGAGAGCTCTGAACGCCTTGGGGAGCTGAGAACCTGACATTTAGTGGTCCAGGGGGGATAGTAGTTTTATACATGTTATAATATATCACTTATCACAATACATACATACATATATATATATGATATATATGTAAATAATTATATATGTACATCTCATTTCCTGGAGGTCAAGCTGGAGGGGAGAGGGTAACATTGTATATACTTAGGGTAACATTGTATATACTTATAACTTAAAACTTATGATTTGCTACGTGTTGTCAGTTGTTAACTTCAAATTCAATGAACACCTTTTCAAACGAGGTAATGTTAGATGTTGTTAGATGATATCAAAACTGTGCTCACTGCCAGGTGAGCCATTATGATCAATTAGCATCTTGCTAGTGATGATGTCTGCTGTGTGGCGAGAAACCCTTTGGTTGCCGCCCTATCGCTACCCCAAACGACGACAGTCTTCTTCAACGATTGAACATGAATAAACTGCACCTCTTAGATCCGAATAGTATATGTCAATATGTATATATATATGTAATGTATATGTCATATCAATACACCTTATCTTCTTACCTCCCCCAACAGCCATGAGAATAAAAGATACACCAAAGACTTGTGGAAATTTCTGGGCTCCCCCAGCAGCTGTTGCATCTCTGCCTGCAACGACTGGGGAATCCCAAGTTTGAGGCCGCACGCACAGAAAATTGGCTCAGGCTCGCCTCCACACTTTCTTGCAGAGTCCTCACTGCTGTGATGTGATTTCATGCGATTTCTGCGCGATCCAGGAGAGTCCAGGAGTCTTCACTTCAACTATCCATGTCAGAGCATTCTTGGCACTCTGATTTACAAAAACTCATGTCAAGGCTTGAAAAGGTACCATGTCACCAATGTCCTCCCGTTTGTTAAAAACTTCAATCAAAATGGGTGAGCCAGCATCGCATAGCGCTGGGCCTTTTTGGTGATCGTTCCTTCTACGACCATTCCACTTGATTGGGATGTGAGTCAAGAGTGGGCACCCGAAATGAATCATCCGCCAAAACCAGCCATTACTAAGTAGACTACTTAGTCTATTGACACATCATCTTCGAGCACCTCACCTTTACAAGCAAAGGACATGCTTCCAAAATATGTATACTGTATACTTTTGCGCGATATCGCCGTTTCATGAGCCATGCTTAAAGTCATTTCTCCTAAACCACAAGCCAAACGCATCAACTACCCTCTGGTAATCTAAAGTAAACATTGCCCGTTTATAGATGATTTACCTATATATTTACCTATATATTCACCTATATATTTACCTATATATTTACCTATATTTACCTTGTAAAAATCGTGACTTACCATAGCAAACTCTTATATCACCAAAGGGTATGAATCCTGTGGGCTGCCACCACTCCCCAAATGGACGATGCGCCGTCCTTTGCTCGTCGAGCTCCTTTGCCGACGTCATGTCTTCCAGGAGGCTCACCCCCCTGCTATGGTAATTGTTACATAGTTATGGTATCTTATATATATATATATGTATATTACATTGTATTACTATTACTTATTTATTTACTTATTACTTATTACAATATATATATATATATTACATTGTATTACTTATTTATTTACCTCTTACTTATTACAATATGTATATATATATTGTAATATATTATAATAAATGATATAGGTATGGATGCCCCATTGATTGAGTTTGATGACCTACTGTTTTTAATGTTAATGGTGATTTTCCAGTTCACAAACTGTAGCAAATTACCGGAGGCTATCCTTTTTTGAGCTCTTGTGGCATGAACACGAGAACATCAGTCCTGCTGCTTTAGCCCCAAGTGCTGGGTGTGCTGCTGCTGCATTTCACTCCTGAGGACATGTCAAAAAGACAAGCGCGACAACGCAAAAGCAGCGTACTTCTCTTGCTTTGAAATGCTTTTCTGGACACTTCAATCCTATTGTTTCTGCGAAACAGTGCAACATTTTCCACGTCAACAGAAATGAACGGCATCTCCAACATACCCTTCAGTAAATTAACATAGCTGTGGAAATTTCATGAATTTTCACCATGTTACAATGTTGAATAGGTGACTGTAAATCGTCTATAAGTGGACCTTTGTTTACCAGCTACGACCGTATCTCCCAAAACGGCGGTTGAGAGGTGGTGGTGGCCGCGGCCTGATGCGTTGATTGTCGTGGTCGGCGACTTCCTTCTGCTGATGCGAATGTTCCTGGCATGGGATGAATTTTACATCCTCCTTGACCCCAATGAAATGTATATGGGGACTCATATATAATCCCAGCATATGCTGTAAATGTGCTATATTAAAATTGGTCAAGGGCTTTAACCTGCAACATGCTCTCACCATAGGCAAGTTCAGTGATTCATGCTTATTGAAACGACCCAGCTTTTTGGCCCACTGGCAGCCCATTTTTGCTCGCCGTACCCACATGTTTCAACAAGATTTTCCTGGAACTTCTTGAACTCGGCATGGTGTTCTCTCTCCTGGGCCTAGCAACGGTAAAATGCTGAGCAGTCACAAGCGGTACCCTGTTTAGTTTACATCCCAAGATCGCATATATCCCACGAATTCCCCGGATATCCCAAGGAATTCTCAATATCCCAAGAATCATGTGAGACCCCAGTCAATCTTATTAGTCTATTTGGGGATGTTCATCTAATAGCCAATTTTTGGCACCAACACAAACGATCTTCGCCCGCATCCACATCTTGGGAATCTCATCACGATGGATCTTGAGTCACCAATTTTCACCGCTGGAAACTAAATGACTCAATCTGTGGGATTACACTGGATTACACAGTTTACACCGTTTACACCCAGTCTTTTCATGTTCAAGACAAACTCTAACAAGATGCAATTCTATTAAGGACATGCTGATTAAGCAGTGGAGTTTGGGGTCTCCTATGTTCATCTATTTTCAGATGACAAACCGACAGCCTTTTTGACAGGTGCACCGGGCAACATGATACACACCGCCTGCATCTCTGCAAGAGCTTCTTGCCTGCGACGAGGTCAGTTTCACTTCAACGTTTCATACCTGGAAGAAAACACATCGAAAAAAAACATGGTTGGTATGATTTGGGATGTAATGGTTCCTTCTTCTTTTGATACTTGCACATTGCACTGTAGGTTTTTGATGGTTTTTGGCACAAAATCAAGCAAACGGAACAAGAAACAATGGGGCTGCAAGAATCTGGGAGCGATAAACGCATGGAAAATCCATGGAAATTTCGCTCGCGTCTAATTTCGTGGCTGATGGATCCAAGGTAGTCACCGGCGGGAATCGAACCCACCAACCATCCAACCCTGGTTCTGGCTTCAAACTGGCCTGCAGAACTCTCACAGGTTCGAAACACCATTCAAAGTTAAGACCTGACTATTGGGGTCTTTGGTTGAACTTTGGTCCCAGTCAATGGTGGAAACTGCGGCCGTAAGACATTTCCTCTTCCAGAACGTCGCAGGATGGACCGGCCCTAGCACCTTGTTTCGTGAATCACCAGGCGAAAGCGTTCGCCTGAGGGTTTCAGTTTTCTGCTTTCCAGAAGGTACCATTTGGGATCACCATACCATTGGTGGCATCAAATTGACCACGGCTACTCGAAATCGGCAAGCAAATGGCATGGATTTGGAGATGATGCCCACAGGTCACCCCTGTAGAAATTGACACACATGTAATGGATTAAACATGTCCCAGTGGACTCAGTAGACGCACACTGGAAGAACACTCTTGAATCCGTTGGGCAGATGAGATTTTTTCCTTGAATTGGGGTTCCTTAAAACCCATCAGATGCATTCAGATGCTACAAATAAACGAATTCAGGTGCCTTGTGGGGTCCCCGACCTTAGGAAACAACGTGCTATTTGTTTGTTTTTGTCTCGCCACCCGAAAGCCCTGTCCAGAAGATCTTGGTGCCTGGAAATCTGTGTACCAGTGGCGAGGGAAACACCACGTGAAAACACCCACACATCAATCAGTATGGCTATGTCTGAACATTTGGGATACCAAAATATCAAAATTTTGCTGGGTAAATGATGCGAAACTATGGGATGTTGGGATCTCATTTTGATTTCTTCAATATTTTTCCATCCTGAAAATGAATATGAACCAAGGACGAAAAACTGATAAACATTGATAAACCATTAGCCAAGTTACATTCCTCCAGAAGCCGCTCCTTGCAGTCCTTCTCTTCTCTAACCTACGGCCGTTTTTTGGGGCCCGCGACGCTATAAGTTGAAGCACAGCTTAAGGTTGATATTTTTTATGGGGGACATATGACTATAGCAATATATATATATAATTATATTCCACAATACAGTATGAGCTAGCGGGGCTTATAAACCAACTTCTAGACTTCTAGACATTTTAACTCACTTTTTAAGTCACCCTGGCTGCCACCTATTGGGTGTATCGATAGGGTACTGCTTTGGCGGTTGAGCCACTCCCCTAGAAATATGCAAAAGTCATTGGGAATCATCCCATGTCCATGTTAAGTTTCGGCTCTGTCCCTTGAGGTGAACCTGTTGCAACAGAAGGAGTCCCCTTTGTTCACTGGTGCGGTGCTGATCAATGGGCATGCTGGTGATACCTCAGTTGGCCATGCTTGGTTCCACGTTCCACCACGGCGATCCTTCAGCCTGACATAGCCTGACATAGCCTGACTGGCCGACATTTCTTGTAGTTCCAGCAAATCAATGACGGTGGCATCCTGATGCTCTCACACCAACATCCCACACCCCTGGCGCTGCAGTGCTCCTGGACTTCATGGTGGGAATTTGCGCATTGTTCTCGGAATGGGCATTGGGAGCCACGTATCTTGGTGCTGATGCTTGTGCGTCAGTTCCTTGGATTTCAAGTTCAGCGCATTCAAGTAGATGTTTCCTATACCACTTTTGTTGGGTTGGGCAGGTACTCCCCAATAAATCAAGCGTGCATCCATATGGATCATTTAATCTTTCCAAACAAATAGCGCACAAATCCATCATTTCTATCATTTTCTATCCAGTTTAGGCAATCCAGATTTCCTTGTCAAAAAACAAATCCAGCCACTCGCCAGCCATCGCTTCAAAACACGCACCTGTTCCAGCCGCTTCCAGTCGTGTGCCACAACCTCATCGCGCTCGTCGCTCACACCCCGCAGCTGCCTTCGGGTGAAACTCATGGGATTTAAAACCCGGTTGGAATGTTGCTACATAAACCATAAGTTACCAAAAGCTACTATGATCAATTACCAAAACTTCATCAGTGTATTCCGCCGGCCTGCCGGCGTGTTTAGTGGATGTTCTTGTGATACAGCTTGTGATAGCTTTAGCTTCACTTATCATTGCTCCTTCGACGGGTTTTCGTTTTCGCTGCCAACCCCCCCCTCCCTCTATAGTCTAGTATAGTCTAGTATAGTCTAGTATAGTCTAGTATAGTCTAGTATAAATCTAGTATAGCCTACTATAGTCTAGTATAGTCTAGTATAGTCTCGTGTCGTCTGGTCTCGTCTCTTTTCTCAAGCTACTTAGCACTGACCTTATTTACAATCATCATCAGGTTCATCTTCTTCTTCCAGCTCGCCCCTGGGATGCGGCATTTTTCCACTTTTTCTCCACGTTTTACGCCCCGTTCTCGCCCTTGAGATGCGGCACTTTTCCACATTTGCTCTACGGTTTCCTGCCCGTTCCAGGCAGAAGTATGTTCTAACCTGCCGCTTTTGTGCCTAACACTTTCCATAAGCACCTGCCACTCCTGCTCTTCCTCTGCACTCACGGTCTTCTCCACATGCACTCTCACAGCCATGCCGCTTGCATCTGCAAACTTGTTTAATCTCCAAGGTCTTGCACACGCCAGCTTCTACACAAAACAACTTTTACACCAACCGGCTTTTATGCACAAACACTGTTTTACACTAAGCACTGTTTGCAGAAACTCACTTTTACACCAACTCGCTTTTACACAAACTTGCTTTTACACAAACTCGCTTTTCCACAAACCACCTTTTACACCAACCAGCTCTTGCACAAACGGGGTTTTACACGCACCAGCTTCTACAGTACGCAAACCAACTTTTCGACCAACCAGCTTTTACACAAACCACCTTTTACGCAAACCACCTTTTACATCCTTTTACACCAACCAGCTTTACACAACCCCTGCTTTCGGCCTGTAGGCCAAAGGCCAGAGGGCCGGCGGAATGCCGAAGGCTGTTAAACATCGAAAACAATCAACAAGAGTTTACTGTCAGCTACTAATCAAATACGAAAGGTTGGTATACCAAAATTTATAACTACAAGGTGAGTCCTCGGAACGGTAGCTGAGTTGACGTTTGGGTTTGTGGGGGTTTAACTAATACAAACATTTATAATTATATATTATATATATGTATATATAAATAGTTAACGGGGGTTCTAACACAACTTGCAACTGGGGGGGAATGGTGGTCAATTACATGAAACTACCATAAATTCGAGCTGTTTTGTTGATAGCCTGATAGCCCGTTGATGGTGAAATAATGATCGTAAATCCTTCATCACAATTGGTAAGCAAACTGGATGGTAATATCTGATGTAAATAATTGATGTTTTTTTACCGCTATTTGACACATTACGACCTGACAATTGATGTGGTACAAGTAAGAATACATATGTAATAGTAATTTATGGAACATAGCTGATAGTGAGGCAGTCGACCATCAACCTAAATATACATCACAATTGACAATCTATATTTATATATAATTGATATTAATTGATGGCAAACCCCATTGACATCAGTTGATATGTTGATGGTAATTGCTGGTAAACTACAACTTCTGCCGGATTTTCCACAAATTCTAACCTTCCGATATCAATAGTTGTATGGAATATTGATAGTGGGTAGAACCTCTACAAAACAAGCGACATGTTGCTTCGACATTCAAGCCACCAACTTTTCTGTTTCAGGGTCAGAAGGCATGAACTTTCTACTTCATACACAGGACAACGCAACGACAGAATAAGATGTCTAGAGCACCAAACTGATGCCACATTCTTATGATATCAATATTGCAAAGGCCAGCCGCTTCATCATGAAAATGCTTGGGAATTCATAAGAATTCCATAGAATTCCCAGCATCCTCTGCACATTTCTATCATTCCCAGATCAGATATAGGCCATTTATGCCCGCTTTGATATTTTGGGGATCTGTCTCCCAATCCTACTCGGTGAAGTCGTCGCGAGCTAGTAATACGAACCCAGCCACGAACCTCTTGAGCTGCTCATTGCGGCCTGGCACATCATGAAGCTGATGTCGCAGCAAATGATTAAGACTTATATCATATGATATCACGACCATTAACATCACAATAGTATATATATATATTATAGTAATAATAGTACTACATAATAATAATAGTAGTAATAATAATCATTAACATCCTCATAATCGTTCTAACAATAGTAGAACAACATAGTGCTACAATGTGCTACATACATGGCAGTTCCATGAATCGCAGCATCTGTTGCCCCCGACTTTGAATCGTTGGAGGCTGGCCTTTCTGGCCAAATTCCCACATCTTGGTGGGTGGCCCCATCAAAAACCGAAGAATTCTTCAGAGGACCCCTGTCTTGAGCAACACGCATAATATTGACTTATTTCATTTAACCATTACAAATTAACCAACCCAGAAACTAAGCTTTTCGTGATGCTGAAACTCATAGGTCCAGCTTCTTGTTTTACAATGGACACACCACCGGCCTCTCTCCTTGTAAAGCTCTCCATTGATTTCGGCCTCAATGATACCATTTTTTCGGTGCTCATACTGGTAAATATATGGATAATTGGTCTAGAAAATCCTCTGAGCAAAGATCTAAAACTGATTCCGAGTCTATATTACTAATACATTACGAGTATCTCTATAATGCATGGATTAGACGACAAGAAGAGCTATCACCTGCCTCCAACCCTCCCAAACCCTTCCGCACGTTTCAGCACGCTTCTGTCTGTACGCTTTTTTAAACTCAAAGATACGGGTCAGTGACCCCCAAGTTGCATTTATTCATGCTTTGGGGATGGGTTCAAAAAATGTTCCGTTAGATATCTGGAGGCCCCCTGTAAGCCCACAAACCGGGTAGTGATGCTATGATGATGATGATGATGATGATGATGATGATGATGATGATGATGATGATGATGATCATGATCATGATCATGATCATGATGATGATGATGATGATGATGATGATCATGATGATCATGATGATCATGATGATCATGATGATGATGATGATGATCATCATCATCAATCCAAATGCATCAGGGCACTGGGTATTTCTTCGGCCAAAGATGCCAAAGTAAACCAGCTTGATACATCCCGGAATGGCACCAGCTGGAAATCTCCACTGCCGCTCCTTTTTTGCCCCGACATGTCTCTGCAACGGCGAGCTCTGGAACGGTGACCGGGTGGTCAAAGCGTGAGGCACGCAACGTAGGGCGCTGCCCCGAGAAAACCGACAGTTCAGTCTCACAAAACAAAAATAAGTACTAAGTACAGCATGTGTATAATATGTATATATATATATGTTTACAGTAAATAGTATGTATTATATACACGTATAGTTGTATAGCATATCTTTAAATAGAAACCAATATCATGCCATGTAATTCACATCATATGCGCTTGAGGAGTACAGGAAATGCCTTTATGAACGAGACCTAGATTTATAAAGTTTTAAACACAAACAGTCGGCCAGCAGTTGGATGTCAACATCTTCGACCAATCTGCCCCAATGCAGGACAGCTGCTGGATGGCTGGTCTCAGAAATCCATCCCTTCACAAACGCAGACTGTGCTTCTTCCGCACATACAGGGTCTGCACTCCTTAGCACAACTACTGTATCCTGGAATTTATACAGTATATAGGGGCCATTGATGGTACCCCTATGTACCCCTCTTCCCATACTATTGGGGTTTGTTATTTGGGTAGTATGGCAGACTTCTGGGAATCAGGGTCCCATCATTCGGGGTCCGTGTACATTCCACCAAAATTGCTCTTGGAACTTGGGAAGGCTTGTCGTTCGCAAACATTTTGGATCTCAACAAAGGGCAACATGGAGAAAATTTCACAAGACACAGGATGTCTCCCAAAATGCTGGCACCATGTGGCACCATCATCCAAGCCGTTGGACCATCTTAGTATAGAAACCCATGGTGACGGGGGATCCCCCATTTATCCAACTCATTCGCAGAAAGTCATCGAAGCGAGTTGAAGTCCTGGGGTTATCCATGGTTATCCAACCTATAGCAACCCCAAAAAAGATAGGACATAGAAAAAGATACAATTTAAGAGTTGAATTATACTTCTTAAGTATGATTTTAGGTTTCTCTTTTTTTGGGGTGTACTCCTGTCTCTTGAGTCATCCAAGAGTCACAGGGTTGCTTTCGACACAAGCAGTTCTCTGCATCCACCAGAGCATTTCCGCCTGGCAGGGCACCCATCTCAAAGAAAAGACGTTGGGAAGCTAGGGGTCCATATGCGGTTTTATAGAAGTGCAACAGACAACTTGAAACTACCAACCTGAGTACTAGTTGCGTTCTACTCTTTTGAGGAGGAACGATTGGCAATCTTTGAAACCACCAGCCAGTCATAGACCAGATGATGACTAGATATGACTAGATAGTCAGAACACATCCCAGACCACATCCCACATGCTCCAGGACTGCCTTTAGCATCTGAATTCTCGTATTCGACCTTTACCTTCGTCTTTTCGCCTGATCACTTGGTCGGCTGCATGATGTCTTTCATGGCTATAGCTCCCACAGTTTTGGAGGACAAGAATTTAAATTTCTTTGATGTGAAGCTCACCTAAAATTTAGTGGAAAATTGCGAAATTTATGAAAAAAAACGCATATTTGAGAGATTCCCATAGATCAATCTAGAATCTAGAACATAGGATTCAGAACTGGATCCAAAATAGCGGACTTCAGCTTCAAGTGGAGCCGCCCCAGTCATCAATGCCACGTCTACGGCAAGTGGCGAGCGAAAACGCTGGGATGCTCCTTGGTGTGACATGGATGACATGCTGTGGGGGGGATGGTGAATTATGGTGTTTTCTTGGGCATAAACCATCCCCAATTTTACAGATTATGGATGGTTTATGGATGTTATTGTGGTTTATTATGTTAAGAATGGGATTTGGGCATCAACATTCTCAGATTATGGATGTTTTTTTTTTTAATCTTCCTCATTGATGGTAAAGCAATAGTAAGCCATCCATAATCTGATGGTTTTACCATGGTAAAATGGGTGTTATGGACATAGCCTCAGGACATGGCATTGGACCATCCCATCTCTTGGAAATCCCCTGGAATCCCATAAAAACTGGCCATTTCAATGGGAAAAAACATGAACAAACACATCTATATATCCCATAGGATCCATGGTGCTGGTATATATGCTAACATTGGGGGTATAGTGATGGGATCCATGTTACCATATATGGCAGCACCATGGATCCTATGGGTATGGAGGGTTGACCATTGCCATGTTTGCTTGCTGGAGGGTAGCCATATCTAGCCATATCGCGAGGTTTCACCAACCAGAAGCGATACCGAGATGCATCACTGCCGGTCTTCGAGACTGCTGTCCTGTAGCGGTCAAATGAAACATGGGAACTCCAGTCTTCGAAACCCTAAGAGGCATGGATGATCATCATTTTCAGTATTAGAACTGCAATTTTGAAGGCAAATCCTTTCTTTTGAGACTCTCCCATGAATCCCGGAGCTGGAGCGAAGATCTCTCGGGTTTACCCGAGGATTTGGGAGGTAAAGACAAGGAGTTCCTGTCTTTTTTGTTATTTTTTCCTAATCATAAATCAGTGAGCCCACACATCTGGGGTCTCCAAAGCGCAAGAAATGAATATTATCACGTTTTTGTGCTGGATGTTTGGAGCTATGATCATATGACTCTCATTGCTCAAACCGTTGGTTGGGAAGCCACGGGCATAAACAGATTAATCCTGGTCTCTCAAGATGACTGTTTTGGGGGGTTCCCTCCCAAACCTTACGGTTAAGACTGTCTCAGAAGGGAAACAAATGAGACGCAGAACTGCCGCAGAACACAAGTCTGGCTGCCCTACACCTAGACCCTGCAAGTACTGTACTTGTAAACATTGGCAAACCAAAAGTACCAAAATGGACTAAAATGATGAGGTGACATAACAATTTCTATGGGGAATTCCAGGGTCTACGGACTCGTTCATCGAAGTGGAACTTTCGGACAAAACCCCTGGGCCCCACACCCGTCGGGCCTTTCACTGCTCAGGAAGGGAAAACAGGAGCAGCAAGTAGACCTGCTTGCAGTTGGTTGAGCAAAACTGAAGAATCGGTCCCAACAAACAGGGGTCAAGAGACAACTACCCAACCCAATGTACATCTGCGTCATTGCAAGACTTCTTGGTGGTGTTACTCCCACATGATTGCCTCCGGCTTCAGGTAGGTTCTGACTACGATATACTAATCACTTAATGAACCCAAACGGGCCGATCTGATTGGTGGTTTCAGCCCGATTCAGCCCATCCCCAAACATTGGCTATCAGGCTATCAGGGATCATCATCACCCATTGCTTCCAACCCCCAAGTTTGACAGGTTCTTTAGGTTCTTTAGTGTGACCCTATGTCTTTTCTTGGCACCATCAAAAACAACATTAAACAACATTAAACAACTTCTAGCCCATCCGGAGTTTTGCGTCAAGTTGCGGACTTTGAGCCGTTGGTTTCTTCTTGAACTCAGCCTTCTCATCCGGGTGAATGAAGCGTAGATGCAGCTTCCCACGCTGGAGCGAATGGATGGCAAGGGACCAAGTCTAAGTCTGGGGGTCCAATTCCCCTTTAAAAAGATGAAACTGGTAGATGCTTCCGCGTGAGGGGGTAATCGTCGCAGCTTCGCATGTTAGGATGCAAGATAAAGCATACGGGAAAACACCAACCAAACATCAAAACGGGAAAATAGCCACTAGGGGCTCATTGTATGGTTTTCAGAGGGCCAGAACCCTCCGGCCAAAACAAACCTCGGGTCAGGATATGTGCGACCGTGCTGGAGAAGACACATATCAACGCCATTCAACGCCCCATTCTGTTTAGCATTACTCAGTGCTTCCTGTGACCCTGACGTGAGATGATTTCAAATTGTGCTGCTGGACCTTGAGTCCCTTAAAAAGACTTTCTAGGTGAATTTGGCATAGTTTGGCAAGGTTTCCAGCTGATGGTTGCAACCCAGTCAAATTGGATCTATCTGTGTCTCCACCGATTTATTGTTGTTGCGCATTTATCATTTATCCTTGTAAATTCTTGGTGACTCCATGATGACTCTTCTGTAAGGTAACCACCAAAAAAATGGAAAAGTAATTTACAACTATTTAATCACTACTTTAATCTATCTTTTTTTTGGGTGGGTTGCCATAAACATTGAACAACTGCTTGTAGGTTCATTTCGCTGGACGCATTGTAGCTAGAAACTTTTTCAATGGGCAAGGTACCTCCTCAGAAGCGAAGGTTTTGTCGCAGTGCGCGCATTCAAACATGGCTGTAAGGTGACTTCGTCAAATCAAAAGGGCAAATGCTGGGGCAAGGGCAACAATGTCAGGAAATACTTAGATAGTTATATATTATATATATATGTATATGTATACGTATAGTTTTGTCACTACTCATCGGCATAAGAAAAGAACATCCTATTCAAGGAAGCCATTTCAGAGTCATGTGAAGCCAAATTGTGGTAGTCACACCATCCTCTGCACAATCAGTTCAACTTCGAGCCAAATGCCGATCACGGCTTGAATCTATGGCCAACATCTCCCAGTTCATATATGGATACACAGTATGGGTCGAAATGCGTTCGTCTGAAAATAGGATATCCTAAATCCACTGCTGAACCATCATTGTCCCCATTACATAAACAATGCCGTTTCGGGGTATACTATTTCCAGACACACCCGAATTTGGGATAGGTTGGATTTTGTTGGATTTGGTCATTTTGGAGCTGCAGGCTCAGCCAAAGCAAAGGTGCTTGTGTCTTGCTCATTCTTGACCAATGGGTCAGCCCTACACCGAAGAAAACGTAAAAGGATGGCTGGGCACAGCTGGGCATGACCAGAGTTCAAAGCTGCTCTGCCTTCCTACACCATGCTGGTTCGTCTTGGCTCCTAGGTAAGTTGACAAAGATTTATGCCCGTAGCCATTTGCTTGCCTTTTGGAATAGGTATAGCGGTATAGAGATGTATAGAGTAGAGGGAGAGAGAAAGAAACTGCCAGTCCTGGCCGCTATCTCTGCTCTAAAATGGAAGCTGCATGAAGCTGCTGATTTTGGCTGCCTAAACTCAATCTGAGATAATCTGAGAACCAAAAAATGATAGGCCGATAGGCATTGACTTGCCTATCAACATCGAATCCCAAGCATCGCAGCTGCAATTTTCTTTTTCCTCCAATTTTCAGTGGCAGGCAGGGGCAAAGTGCTGGGCCGTGTGCGTTCAATGGGGAGCTTACACCCTCCGATCTCGCCGAAGATCTGCTGAACAGCTCCACTGGCTACTTCGCTCCATCCTTCATGGGAGATTAGGGGAATGATCCCACTCCAATGGGTCAGATTTGCTGAAGTCCTATGAGGGTAGAACCATGCTCAGTAGACCAGCTAGCTACTTCATGATTTGCGGATTCCGAGGGTCATCAAAAAAAAACAAAGTCCTGGTCCATTGGCTGCTTCAGGGAGGATGATCACAATCCAATTCCTAGACCTTCTAAAAGATCCTAGAGTTGGTGATTTGGGGACTTGAAACCCTCCAAAGTGTTTGATCATCTGTCAGGTCTAATGTCAACTGGAAACCCCGGCTTCACAAAGTGCAAATCGGTCTAAGGGGACTACCCAACTTAAGGCCAATCTCAAGAAAAGTGTCCAAAATGTCAGGCCCCAAGCTGACTACATGACTCTGCACCTCCAAACCTGTAATTAGGTCTTGATACCTCTCATTGACTTTTGATTCACATTCTCCATAAGTTTACCCAGAAATGAAGAATTCCTCAAGTTGTAGTCACTTTCATTAGAACATATATTCCCCAAGCCATAACAAGTTTATTGGTAAATCCCGAATTCATGGCCAGTTTAAGGTGAAAAATCATGATTAACACCGGCCCGTCCTTCAATGCCAGCCACTCGTTCTTAGGTCGATGAAGAAGCGTAAGGAGCTCTGATTGCACATGATGGCCCAACCTCACTGCGCACTGGGATCAGTTCTGAAAAGAGGGTCTACATGTCAAACACCTGGCGTTTTATGGGGTGAAAGTAAATTCATACATATCATATACGCATATCTATCTCTATATATATATATACATAATGTATATATACATAATATATATATGTATAAATATAATATCATTATATATCCAGTTTACTTGGCGTCAGTTCACATAATGCCAACTAAATCCTGCAATGAGGTCAGAGTCATCAGCACCAGGAACTCAGTGATCCTCACCTCCCTTGGGAGCAAGAAACTTCGAAGCGTCAGCCGATGTCAACAAACCGCGCTCCTGGTGAAAGAACTTTTGGATCATTGGGACCACATGTTTGGTTCATACTAATATTAGCAATTATAGATTAGCATGTATATATCCAATTAAAAAAGCAATTACATGCAAGTATTACTAAGTATATGCATATAGTCAGTGTAAAAAAATGCCAGGCAGGATGGAACCATGCACCAATTCCATGCACACCTGGTACGTGGATGAATCTGTGGAGAACCATCTTCTAACATGGTTGGATGGGAGGCTTCTCCGATTCTCCTCACATAAGAACATATGCACAAAATCAGGAGGTTTTTCCACTGGCAAAATCACATGTAAAGGAAAGCAACTTCTGACTTGACAACCTCATTGGCCTAAGCTAAGGATCATTTATTGGCTTAAAACTGATGATTATAGAGTCGTTGCTTTCACCTGGCTAAGTTTCCAAAAAGAGGGATCCAATTCGACCAACAGTCAAATATTGTTACAAATGGCTTGAAACAGCAACTGGGAGCATGGAGCATGATGCTCCCATACCTTTGACGTCGCCCCAGTTTTTCAGGAACAAAACGTGGTTTCTCCCACAATGCCAATCTCAATCCACGGCCTTCGTCATATGTCACTGTGACATTCGGGGTCCCGGGGTCCCGGGGTCCTTCAACTCATCGACTTCATGCAACTGCTCTTGTAGCAGCTTTCGGGCAAACATTTCGGTCCTGTGGCTGATCCGAAAGGACACTCCAATGCTTGGCAAAATCATATAATATATGTATATGATATTATATGATTAAAATATTAAATATGTATATGAATACATATGTATATGGATAAATACTGTATGTATATATGCATGTAATTGTCAATATATATATATATATTCATGTTATGTGTATATGTATAATATTATATATACACTTATATTATGTGTAAATAAACAAAATATACAAATGTGTATAATTATATATTTAATATATAGTATATGATTACTCTTGTATTTATCTGTATATCCTTGATGATTCGTAAATTCACCAGAAGTTTCCATGTTCAGTTCTCCGCTCTCCTCGCCAACATCACGAGGTCTTCCGGCAAGGCCTTGGGCCATTGGGTCATAAACCTCCATTTATTTTGGGGATTTTCCATGGCTATCACTGTCTCATATGCTCAGGATTCATGTTGGATCGCCTTGGAATCTGTTGAACAATGTTAAACATATCAGGCCAGTGCGCCTTGAGTATCTCTTCTGCTTGCGAACATTCCGCAGAGGATTCGCTGGCCACTTGTTGCTGCACCTGGCTCACATGCGAACGTGGTCGATTTATAGTTTACCATGATCCCCAAATTGAATGTTTGGAGCCATCTATAATCACAACAACAAATGCGAACATCCACTCACATGTTTGGTCCGCCTATGTCTTGCTGAAGCATCCGGTTCATGGAGATCATGAGTTCCCAAAGCCAGCTGGTGCATCAGCTTGTCTCCCATGGTAAGTCAATTGTCATCAATGATCTGTAGGCCACAGAATGTCATACTGTCATACTAACACTCTTGCAAACAGGTCCATGTGATATTCCTGTCCCAGAGAATGGATTCTTAAGCTCTATGCAATTGTTCACACACATATATTAATAACAACAACACCGACCGGCCACCATTGATCACCACTTTTGTTCACCACTATTGGCATTTATTATTCTTCGTGATGAACAACTCCAAGTAACATCCGGTGGGTGATTTCAACTGTATAAAATACTACTTCTTAGTGACCTGAAATCATAGTCCAAAAAATGGAAAACTAACATAACCAACATAGCACCTGAAATCATATTCCAAAATTATGGGTCATGGGTCAACAAAAATACGACCCTTGGCCTCGGCATCATCTCCATGGAAAAATCCTGGGCATTGGTAGACTTCGCAGAAACAAATGGCCAAAAAATTGTCAACGCCAGTCATCCAACAATTCTGAGGTGTCAAAAATCACACATCTTCAAGGCTGCCAAGGTCAGAGCTGGTACCACGCTGCCATGAAAAAATGATTAGATGTACTGACTGTTTGTCAAAAAATGTCAACCACCATGGGTATATAGTTAAGCCAACAAACGGGTGAATATCTGCGGGAAGGCCACCTGTCGAGATGCCCTTTATGGGTGGTGATGTCCCTTGTTCACAGTTTCGTTTTCTGCCAAGCAGCGCAGGACTTCAAGTCAACCCAAAATGATTATTCCAAACATGTCCAACCCCATTTTTTGTGAATTTACCGACTTGGTTCTCAGAGTTCTACGTTGTGGAAACCGTATGAAATAGCTCCAGACCTTTGTTGTTTGTCACCTTGAAGATTCTCTCAGGGACCGAGTTGCGTGGGAGTTCGTTTCGTGCGCAACGATGTGCTTCCAGAAAGGAAAGAACCTGAGCCGATTGGATCATTGGATGCCTTCAGTTTGATCGACGATCCACGGGACGACCAAAAAAAGCGTGCTACCAAGGGGCGCAATAGGCTTTCTGCATCATGTCTCCCATGGAGTGCTCACCCGTGAGTTTACTGAAAATACCAGGGCTAGTCCTTAGTCTCTGCTTGGAGCACCACGAAGTGCTTGAGGGTTTTAGGAGGTTAAAAAGGAAGCTCTTTGGGACATCGGTTGTCCACCGGAACCAGACTGAAACACTGCCAACTCTTGAATAAAACGGCTATACCGGCTATACCATGTACTGTTTTTCAACCTCTAAAAACTAGAGAAGCACGGAAGTTTTCCAGCAATGGTGGGGTATGCAAAGAAACAAAAGTGTGCTAAACCAGCGAAGAAAAACAGTTCTTCCCAGTCAAATTGACTTTCGTGCTGCCAAAAATGCTGCAAATGAACCAATCTTTAGGATCTACTTTACCTTCAACAAAGAATTCATGGGCCTCGCAACCCCCTACCCCTTTAAATCTCAGACTCTCAAAGCAGGCTTTGATACCTTCCCAGTCCTCAGGCATCAAGGGGATTTTGGAAATTTCTGGAGTGAAGCCGTTGATTCCTAAGCCGCAAGCTGTTTTTTTTCCTGATTTTATCTTTCACAAACCATGAAATTCAGCCGGCGAAAACTTATAAGTTGGATCAACTTGGTACAACCAAAAATTGCAGACTTTGGGTTGATTTGGTTCATTGAACATGTGGGTTGGGTAATTGGAGTGACTCCAAGCTTGGCCCGGCCTGAAAATCGAACATCTGACGTTGTGCTTTCTTGGAGGGCTGAAGCGACTGGCAAAGCTTGAACTTGACCACTAGATGGTGAAACCACTAGATAGATAGCCTAGATCATTAATCCAGTAGTAATATCATCCCATTCTTCGGAATAGAACCAAGACACATGTAAAACAACTAACTAGTGAACATGTGCAGCCTTTCACTTGACAATTTTCAGCAGCAAACTCCATACCCTGTCAACTGTTGTCTTGAATCTTATCTCCTTGGGGCACATGATTTTGGGAGTTGTACTGCCCAAAATAGACCAATAAAGAAGAATAGAACAGAACAGAACAGAACACAATAGAGTAGAATAGAATAGAATTAGACATCAGTACAACCAGTTATATCAAACACACAAATAAAACATGTTGATATATGTAAGTAGAACAAATCAATACAGTAGAAACGTAAAGAACAAACCATCTTGATATCTGTTGATGAATATTTTCTCTCGCGGGACACCTGCACAATGGTGCCAAGAGACCGAGAGAGACCTCACAGGGCAGCTGTCCATGTTTGCATGTCGGAGGCGTGTAATGTCACTGATCACAACAGCGAATTGTTATCAGCAATAATTCGTTCATGGGCATACATACATGGATATATCTATATATTATATCTATAGTGCAATCGCAAATAAACATATTTGAAATTTATGTATAAATATATACCGAGATTTGTGTATACATATATAATCATATATATATATAATATTATATAATATCGTAGATTTTCACTGGCGGTGGCCATTGCAGGGGCTTGACTTGGTGCTTTCGCTTGCGCAACAAGCTTTCAGGTGAAACCGTTTCGGGGTGTGTTAAGGTGGAATCATCCCTGGCTGACCTGGTTCATGGACGAGAAACAGAGCACGTTTCAAACAGACCAACAGATATGGATTTTCACCAAACAGAACGGGATGGCGATCGACCAACACACGTGATATTGCCAACCGGTGGGTATTTCACATGCTTGCACTTTTTGGTTTCCCAGCAAAACCCACTGTCTGTTTGACGTGGTGGAAACACCTTCTTTTTCTCGGAAAACACAACATGCATAGACATGGGTTACAATCACGGTTCCTAAACCGTTACCCAAATAAACTGTTGACAAAAATGCGCTCTATGTTACCATCTATCTGATTTCATTTTGTAGGTCGCCTAGCAAATAGAGCGATCATCCAACTAAAATGATGGCCCGATCAAATAATATACATGGCATGGTCCAACTACCATCACTTGGGATTTGCCTGAGAGCTGATTGTGGCTCTTGAACCCTTGAAATGAAAAAAAAGGTGACCATCGTTCTGGACAACTTGCCGTCAAGGCTATCAATTTAATATGTTCCCCAATTCTTTAGCACATTTCATGTCAACCCTGCACTTGTTGCACTCTCATTGATTAAAGATTGCAGGCCCTACCCCAAAAAAAGTGAACAAAATCATACCTAAATAGGTATGGCATGGGTCCACATCATCAACCCCCACAAAATATACAGTACACATACATAGTACCGAAACAAAAATCGAAATTCAACTCCATTTCCCCCAAATGAAAAATTGGCCAATAACTTTTCGATCTGCTGGTTGCCCAAAAACCACTACTGGATCCATGCGACGTGTTCCCCCAACGTCAGACCCAAGCGTCTCTGCAGCATTCTCCAGGGCCATGTCAACGGAGCTCAGCAGCAAACGTGCAGATTGGGAGGTCCGGGGCACCAAACCTGGCGATATGGATAGATGGCGGGATAGGAATAGAAACCTACGGCGAAGGTGTGTCACAAACAATAATGTCAATCATCATCGTCATCGTCATCGTCATCGTCGTCACCACCACCTCCACCAGCATCAGCATCATCATCATCATCATCTTCATCATCATCATCATCATCGTCATCATCATCATCATCATCATCCTTCTGCTCCTCCTCCTCGTCATCATTATCATCAGCATCAGGCTGCAAAAATACAAAATGGTGGAAAGAAGGCTGATATCAACCCTCTGAACGAACCATTGTCTGTCCACGGGATGTGACATGCACCGAGGTCTACCCAATGACAGAATCGAAACATTCCAGGGCCTATTTGTGGGAAAGTTGACTGGTAAACACAGATTAAACTATTTCACACAAACACGCAGAATGAAACTAGATCGGATTTCGTGAGAAACTCAATGGGGATTAGATGAAACCAGAGGAGTCTAAGTTCAGTGACGATTTTGATGGCATGGAATCAGCCGAATGAGCTAACACATACCCTTTGGTAATCAAAAGTGGCTGGCTGGAAGATCCTTTATCTGTGAAGGTTTTGATGGAAACTAATCTATACATGGAGATGTTCCATTGTCATGCTTGATTAGCGGAGGGTACCTATGGGTACCTAATTTCGCAGACAAATCCAGTCTGGGTGATTTCAACTCCTGAGAGTTGATCCATTCGGAAGGGATTTGGAGTCTAAACCCTGACGCGCTGAAACCAACAATTAAAACACCTCCGAACTGTGACTTGATCTGGCCAGTGCTTCAGATCCACTTCTACTTCAGGTGAAGAGCTGGAGTTTGATCTAAACCTCACAGCTCCGGAGAGACCTGCTGTGGATATGCTGTTTACCTGTTTCAACCTATTTTCCCATTGGTTTATCACATGTTCAGTCGCCGCAAACGAAAAAAATCGAAGAGGCCGCCTTGGTGTATCGATGACCAGTAGTGACTCTTCACCTTGGCAAAGATCAAATATGATACCAACTGGGATCAGCTTTGGAAGGGATAGATATATATATATAAATAGATTAATATGATATATATATATAATAAGGGTTCGGTGTGCACCTTAGCCTGGTGCCAAGGTATTCACCACCTCTAGGTGGCTGCATTCCTAGGGCCTAAGGGTTTTTGGGCAGGTCTGAAAACCTTGGCCTAACATAATCGCAATTTTGAAGTTTAACGCTAACCTAGAGGTGAAAACCTTGGTCCCAACATTTCAACATAAAACAGCTTACTTCGGGATATGATGCTTAAAACCTTCAGCCCAAGATTCACAAGCCCAACTGTTGCTTAATAACTTGACCACGCTCCATTAACGGTCGATCCAAGCTCTTGACAAAAAACTGTAGGTGGACGATGCGGCAGCGACACAGGTGGATCATAAGACCGAGGTGTAGTTGAAAGTTTCCGAATGCGTTGACGATGAAGTGACTCCACTAATGAAAATATGTAAAACCGATTGCCTGTGAAAACCATTGGAAGATTCAAAAATAGACTAAATTCAAGAAGCCAACTTTCGATTAGTTGTATAATCAATCTAATTTTGCGGAAATGACGCAATCTTGTTGGCGCCCTCTCTTTGCCCCGTGCCCAGGCAGATGGAAAGGGACAAGCAGTTGAAGAGAAGGCAAGGGTTGAAAAACTTGGGTCCGAGAACAGTGCCCGAAGAGAACCAAACAGATCCACACGTTCTTTGGGTCAATGCCTTCTAGATTTGTGTGATATGCTTGTTGACCTGCGGATCCTGGGGGAGGTGGCAGGTTTAACCGGGCCAACCATAAGCACTAAAATTCCAAAATTTCAGGCCAGTTGTTCTTTATTAAGACCCTTATTTAAAATTGTTGTTTTTGAAACATTTTTGCATCCACAAACGGGGGTTGAAGTCCACCGATGTAGCCTGTTTTGCATGGTTTGCGGGTCCCTGAGCTTGCTCCGTGTTTTGGTTCTCCGGGATAAATACCTGGGCCCAAGGTTCATGCATGTTTTAGTGAAAACATCATAATCATCCATTTCCTCGAATCCCGTTGCAGATGCACTCAGGTGCCCTCTCCAGGTGGACGATGCGCCGGCGATGCCGGATAAGAACACCGAGGTGTAGCCGAAAGTCTGGGATGGTTTGACTTGTTTAGGTTTTGTTGGTTTTGTTTTCCCAATCACTGACAACACTGTTTTGGAATGCGTTGACGAAACAATGGCTCAACCAATCAATGTAATCAGTTGTTTGGATTTTTGTCCGCGAAAAAATTGATCTGCGGGAATCAACGGAAGATCCAGTAACCCAGTAGATAAAGAAGTCAAGTTCTGGTTGTTTGCATGACCAATTTAATTTTTGGGAAATGACGCAATCTTGTTGGCGCCCTCAGTTTTTGATTGTTTTTCCGGCTGCCCCATGCCCAGGCAGATGGAAAGGGACAAGCATTTGAAGAGAAGGCAAGGGTTGAAAAACTTGGGTCTGAGAACAGTGCCCGAAGAGAACCAAATAGATCCACATGTTCTTTGGGTCAATCCCTTCTAGATCCTCTGGGGTTAAATACCTGGTCCCAAGGTCCCAGATTTGTGTGATATGCTTGTTGACCTGCGGATCCTGGGGGAGGTGGCAGGTTTAACCGGGCCAACCATAAGCACTAAAATTCCAAAATTTCAGGCCAGTTGTTCTTTATTAAAGCCCTTATTCACCCCGCTTCGCGTGGGGTGGCCGCCCACACCGCATGTTTATGTCAGTCCGTGAGAGGGGCTAAGGGTGGTTTTCCCCCGTGGGTTTCCCCCCTCGTGGGGGCTCCCCAAGCTAGGGAATTTTCACTTTTCCCCCCCGTGGGGGCTCCCCAAGCTAGGGAATTTTCACTTTTCCCCCCTGTGGGGGCTCCCCAAGCTAGGGAATTTTCACTTTTCCCCCCCGTGGGGGCTCCCCAAGCTAGGGAATTTTCACTTTTCCCCGCCGCTAGGGAATTTTCACTTTTCCCCGCCGTGACAGCTTCCCAAGCTATGGAATTTTCACTTTTCCCTCCCTTGGAGGCTCTCCAAGCTGCGGAATTTCAAATAGCTAGACAACGACGCCTAGATAGTCCCCCAAATCCCGTGTTCTTTGAATGTGTTTCCATGTTTTTGCAATGGTTTCCTTCAAAGCACGGTACTTTACACTTTTGTCGCCATAAAACCGGTCGAAAACATCATGTTCGACAATGCTTCCAATTCCCTTATCTCCTCAACCGTTGAAAATACCGCTATTTACAGTGTTTTCTTCAATTTTTCCATGTGCCAATGCCGGTAGCCAACTCCAACATATATATATATATGATTTTTTTCCAAAACATTGTTTATGACAGTGTTTTTCCAATGTTTCCAGTCAAACAGACGGTAATTTACACGTTTTTTGCCATAAAGGCAATAAATCCTTCCAAAACATTGCTTTTGACAGTGTTTTTGTAATGTTTCCAGTCAAGCATACGGTAATTTACACGTGTTTTGCTATAACGTCAGTCCAAAACACTTGTTTTTGCAGTGTTTTCAATGCTCTGGCATCCAAAAACCCTGCAAAATCTTGCTATGTACAATGTTTTTTCCCGAATGCGTAGCAAGGGTTCCCGTTTCACTCTGGGGGTCTGGGGGTTGAGGGTGTGTTCGCTCGACGTTGCGTTTGCGAGCGCAACCGTTCGCAACCGTCCGCAACCGTTCGCAACCGTTCGCAACCGTTCGCGTGAGGACCGTATGGCCGTGCCTATGGGAAGTTTTACAGAGGTGGTCCTTTTTGGAGGTTTCAGACGTCTGGTTGCTTCGTTTCGCGTGGCAGGCGTGGCACTTCGTGACATTCAGACGTGTTCTGCAACGTGTCGAAAGTCGTTTTGCGTGGCAGGCGCAATACTTTTTGCGACGTTTTCAGTCCAGGCGCAGCACTTTGGACGCGTCCATCGTCATTTTTCGTGGCAGGCGCAGCACTTTAGACGCGTCCTGTGGCGTGTTTTTTGTAAATCGCATTGGCAGGGCTGCGTCAAGTGGTGACAAGGTGCAAATTCCGTGGCAGGCGTGGCATTTTCTGACATGTGCTGAAAATTGACGGAAGCCTCGCACGAAACATCGATTTTGAGGTTGCAAATTTTCAGGTTCTAAGGAAAACTCGTAGGAAAACGTCGATTTTGAAGCTGCAAAGTGTGAAAAGTGGAGGAAGTCTCGCACGAAATGCTCGTTTTGGTGCTCCCACCTGTCTCTTCTCGCGTGTCTGGTTTTCCCGTGGCCTCGCCGTGTCTATGGGGGAAGCCGCAAAACCTCTCCTTTTCGAATGTTTCCACACAGGTTGTCATGTTGTTTTGCGTGGCCGACGTGGCAGTTTCTGACATTCCAACCTGTCTGATAACGTGTCGAAAATGTCAAAATTGGAGGAAGTCTCGCACGAAATGCTCGTTTTTCTGCATCCACGTGTCTTGTCTCGAGTCGCTGGTTTTCCTGTGGCGTCGCCGTGTCTATGGGGGAAGCTGGAAAACATCTCCTATTCGAATGTGTCCACGCAGGTTGTCAGATCGTTTTGCATGGCAGGCGTGGCACTTTGTGACATTCCAACCTGTTTGATTCGAAAATGTCAAAATTGGATGAAGTCTCGCATGAAATGTTCGTTTTTTTGCACCCACGTGTCTCGTCTCGAGTCTCCGGTTTTCCTGTGGCGTCGCCGTGTCTAGGGGGGAAGCTCCGCACTCCACACTCTACACTTTACACTCCACACTCCACAATTTACACTTTAGACTCCACACTCTACACTTTACACTCCACACTTCACACTTTGCACTTTACACTCCTCACTCCTCACCTGAGACTTTACATTCCACACTCCACACTTTACACTACACTTTGCACTTTCCACTCCTCACTCCTCACTCTACACTTTACACTCCACACTCCACACTTTACACTCCACACTCCACAGTTTACACTACACACTCCAACACTTTCCACTCCACACTCCACACTTTACACTCCACACTCCACACTTTACACTCCACACTCCACACTTTACACTCCACACTCCACACTCACACTTTACACTCCTCACTCCACACTTTACACTCCTCACTCCACACTTTACACTCCACACTCCTTACTTTACACTCCACACTTCACACTCCACACTTTCCACTCCACACTCCACACTCCACACTCCACACTTTACACTCCACACTTTACACTCCTCACTCTACACTTTACACTCCACACTTTACACTTTACACTCCTCACTCCACACTCTACACTCCACACTCCCCATTTTACACGCCACACTCCACACTCTACACTTTCCACTCCACACTCCGCACTCCACACTCTACACTTTACTGTACACTCCACACTTTATACTTTAAACTTTACACTCCACACTTTACATTCCACACTTTACACTCCACACTCCACACTCTACACTTTACACTCCACACTTTACACTCCACACTCCACACTTCACACTCTACAATTTACAATCTCCACATTCCACACTTTACGCTCCTCACTTTACACTCCACACTCCTCACTCCACACTTTACACTCCACACTTTACACTCCACACTCCACACTTTGCACTTTACATTCCTCCACACTCCACACTCTACACTCTACACTTTCCACTCCACACTCTACACTCTACACTTTAAACTCCAGACTCCAAACTTTACACTTTACACTCCTCACTCCACACTCTACACTCCACACTCCCCACTTTACACGCCACACTCCACACTCTACACTTTCCACTCCACAATCCGCACTCCACACTCCACACTTTATACTTTACACTCCTCGCTCCACACTCCGCACTTTACACTCCTCACTCCACACTCCACACTTTACACTCCACACTCCTTACTTTACACTCCACACTTCACACTCCACACTTTCCACTCCACACTCCGCACTCCACACTTTACACTCCACACTCCACACTTTACACTTTTCACTCCACACTTTACACTCCACACTTTACACTCCTCACTCCACACTCCACACTTTACACTCCACACTTTACACTCCACACTTCAACTCCACACTTTCCACTCCTCACTTTTCACTCCACACTTTACACTCCACACTCGACACTTTACACTGCTCACTCCACACTTTACACTCCACACTTTACACTCCACACTCCTCACTCCACACTTTACACTCCACACTTTACACTCCACACTTCACACTCCACACTCCACACTCTACACTTTACACTCTACACTATACACTCTATACTCCACACTTTACACTTTACACTTTACACTCCTACTTTACACTCCACACTCCACACTCCACACTCTACACTTTACTGTGCACTCCACACTTTATACTTTAAACTTTACACTCCACACTTTACATTCCACACTTTACACTCCATACTCCACACTCTACACTTTACACTCCGCATTCTACTCTTTACACACTCTACACTCCCCACTCCACACTTTACACTCCACACTCCTTACTTCACACTCCACACTCCACACGCTACACTTTCCACTCCGCACTGCAGACTGGTAACAAGGGAAACATGCACAAGACTGTTCAAATAAACTATTGCAGAAAGGTTTTGTGCGTGACTGCATAACCATGTGTTTTGACATCTGTACCATTAACATACGTGTGAGCATTCGGGTTCGTGGGCTTCATCTTTTTTCATTTTTGGCCGTTTTTCCATTGCCGGAAAGCTACCAAAATGACCCAAAATTCCATTTCAATACCCTCTTGCGCTCAGACACCCAAAAATCCTCGAAAAATGTCGAAAACACCACCGTATTCTGGTCTCGGTGCGAAACCGTTTTTGGGCCCCCCCCTAAACCGCTAAAGCTGATATAGCGACTGCTATATTAACAAATGTCATTGAGCATTTAGTGTTGCTGTTGCCCCCCAATAAGCACGCCTTCACCGCCAAAGCGGTGTGGGCGGATTTAAAATTGTTGTTTTTGAACCATTTTTGCATCCACAAAGGGGGTTCCCCTTGAAGTCCACTGATGTAGCCTGTTTTGCATGGTTTGCGGGTCCCTGAGCTTGCTCCGTGGTTTGGTTCTCTGGGGTAAATACCTGGGCCCAAGGTTCATGCATGTTCAAATGCAAACATCATAATCATTCATGCCATCTGGAAAAACAGACACCATCAGACACCAGGTGTGTCTGACAGTACTGTGTTTGATCATCATTTTCCCGTTGCAGAAACATGTGCGTGTATATCCTATATTTAAATAAATCATATGCGAACGCGTATCTATATAGTGCATTATAGCGCAACATCCACAGTGGTTATATGCAGTCATCATTTTTCTTCACCGTTGTTCAAGGACAGGGGTTAAAAACCTATGATGCAACATTCCCAGTGTTTTTCAAGTTTGTTTTGTCACAGGGGTGAAAAGCTGGTGGCCAAACATCTTTAAAGATTTCTCTGTTCACGAGGCCCGGTGTCTGAAAACCTAGGGCCCTTGATTTCGACATCAAACCAGACTACCATCATTGCAGGTGGTGAATTGCTGAGTCTAAGGTTTTGCCCATATGTTTCAGCCACCACTCCGGTGGTAAAAAGGGTGGCACCAGCCTCAGGTTTTAAGACAGGGGCACCAGACCCCTATATATATATAGTATATATACAAATAGATGATTATAGATGATGTTTATCTCATAAGCTCCAACTTGCATCGACTTTCTGAAGTTTTGTTGGAGCTGCTTTTAACGGAGCTTATATGAGCTGATCAGAGATTCCACCAAACAGTTCAGGAACTGTTTGGGTATGGTGCCCTAGTGGATGAATGTAAATAGATGTCTTCACCTCATTCATACGTGAAGTCATAGGCAATGACGACTATAGCCCCATGACTGACTTAATCCAAAATGGTGATGGTTACAATACATAACATTATTATACCTTATTTGATGGTTATTTGATGGTGACATAATATTGTTACATCACATTGTTGCTGCTCCATCTGTTCAAAGGTTTTCCAAATAGGTGACATCATGGGTTCCGAGTGTCCAACTTGGTTCCCCTGGGGCCCCCTGGCCACTTGCAGGAAGGCTTCACGATAGGCTTGCAGTGTTTCGGAACTCGACTCATCTGAGGCCTGGCGTGGTATCCTGGACCAGGCCCGTAAAGACTGGGAAAATCATTTCTGATTGAAACCATCCATTTTTGGGGATTGATAAGCTTGGACCTATGTATATGTATATATGCATACACGTTTAGATCTACATAGATGTATATATTCCAATTTAAGGGACCACACTATCAGCAAATGCAACAAGAAATCAGAATTCACTAGCGCAGGCTGGGAGTCAAGCAAACAAACATGCGGATTCGGCTGTTAGACATTGGCATTTCATCGGCAAACATCAGCATCTAAGACAAACACAGGTACCTAAAGAATGAGCACTCATTCAACACTAATGAGGACTAACCACCGCGTTTTCGAACATGTGCCAACCACCGTTCAACAATGGTACCCAGCAATGATAGGTGATAAATGGTGATAACATCAATAAAATCAACAAACATAAGACCCCCTGGATCCAGCTCTAACTGATTTGGGAGCCGGAACGGACTTATGAACCCAGATGGTCAGGTCATATCAGTTCTTAAATGCTTCGTGAAGAGTCAGCAAACTCGTAAATACTTAGTAAATCATTAGCTCAATGTTGAATATAGTTAGTAGATGGTTGATAAAACTGGATACATAATCTTGAACAAATATCATCAAATATCCATTAGATATCCACATTAGATCTAATGAAACCATCATTCATTAGCGGCCGGATCTCCACCTGTGGGCTGACGGATGGCTTCAATGAAGGGACCATGGCTTGAAGCACGGCCTCAAAGCGGCTGATCCGAAACATGTTGGGATGTCATAGGGATGTTTTCATAGGGACATGTGTTTTTTTGTATCATATACCCTCTGGTAAACATACAAAGAGCTATTGAAAATCACCATTTTTAATGGGAAAATCCACTATTAATGGTCATTTCCAGAGGGTATAAATATAAATTATATGTGTATATCCAAAAAGTGTCATTTCAATGGGATAAATGAGGTTTTGAAAACCATGGAATTCTGGCCTACAAGTTCAAAGTAGAACATATTTGAAAATTACATATGCAAGTCCAATGGTCCAATGCCTACAGGACTAGTGATGTCTGGTGAGGTTTTGGCAACACTTGGAGATGCAGCCCAATTACCAACTCGTGAATAACCCATGTATAAATATGTAGATGCATATATATATATACATAATATATATATATATGTGTCTATCACCCATTACCTATATGTCTATTACATTCTATTACCTATTACCCATTTACTGACTGGGATGGTTATTGCCTAATTTAGGTTCCTGGGATTCACATCCGAGAAATCATTTCCCTTCACAAAATCCACCATGCGCCAGCGTTCCCTGCCTCGTTGATTCCTTTGAAGCGCAAGTCTTCTTGATCGCGATGCCCCTGTGATTAGCCATCGGTCAGTGAAAACCCTGGGTCCTCTGTCGCATGAAGACAGCTGGGATCTATGGATGTTCATCCTCCATTTTTTGTAGAATAGCATACACATACATTGTGTTTATGACACCCTATACAATGTGTTCTGGCTGTATCAGAACATTCCGGGAAAAGAGTGCATAGATGATCATAGATGTACCTAGTACATGACACCCCCACCTTTGCCAAAGAACAGGCAATCTGTCGCTGACTAAATGCTTTGTCACCTTTGGGGCTTGGTGGAATCCCCATGACATCCGCAGTGAGCCGATGGAAGGATTGATCCACCAATGAATCACAACACCAAAGGTTCTGAAAACATGTCTTTTAATTCGAGACAAGTGAATGTTGACCCTGACATGTAGGTTTGTCTGAAAATGGGGTACCTATTTTTTTCCAACAAATCTATGGCCTATCATCACTTTACCGCTTAAAATTGCCATAACTAGTGGCTTAAACGCCATTTTCAGGTCCACACCAAAATATCGTACCAAGTTCCTTGGTTATACATATTCCCACTCTACTATTCGCAATCTCCCCATGACATATACCCAATTCTACCAATCTAACTGATGAACGTCCCCAAAGAAATCCTCTCCGCCCAAAAAAAGGGGAGGCACCTTGATCTCCTGCGTGTGTTGAGCCAAGTGTTTGGTCAGCACCTGTAGCTTCCGTTGATCCGCCCCTGAACTCCTGCGATGAGTTGAAATTGCGGAGATTTCTCCAAAAAATCAGGGAATGAAACATGAAACACGGGGAACTAATTACTATGATTCATGTAGAGAAAAAAATGGTTGTGGGAATGTCCTCTAACCATTCTCTAACCGTTCATATAGAAGGAATCGGTTTGATGTTGGAAGTTCCCATTTCACGTTCGGTGGACTTGGTATCTCCAGTCTCCTGGCCAAGCCCAGATAGCGCAGCAGGGGCGCCGCAGTGGTGGCATTCACCAGCAACGTCAAGGCAGCGATGCCACCCACGTGGAACATGATGCGAGCACCCATCTCCCTGGATTTTCATGGAGAATTCCAGCCATCTTCTGATGGATTATTAGGCCGAATCGATGGGGAAATGTGGCTGGACATTAATACAACAGATCTGGCCATGAGAGTCATCTGGTTGGTGGTTGACCTACCCTACCCCTCTGAAAAATGATGGAGTGAAAGTCAGTTGGGATGATGATTCCCAATTAATATGGAAAATAAAAGCCATGTTCCAAACCACCAACCAGTCATAATATATCATATATCTTGATTCTATCATAAATCTTAGTGATGAATAGTCTTAATTATAGTTTAATATGTCTATTATAACTAAACCCTAGTTTCGCTAGTTGCCAACGAACTTCGCTAATGCTCTTTTTGGTACCACCTTGTACCAATATGATGGGATTTACACGGTACATGGCGTAAGGTCCACCCCACAATGGGCATCCTTACGCAATGGATATCTAAATTCCTCGACAGCACACAAATTCCACTGAAAATCCCACTTATTTATGCTTAGTAGATCCAACATGATAGGGAGTTGGGCAGGCTTTTCTCCATGAGGCAATCAAATTAATGAAATTTCGTGGGATGAATCCCGAAGATTGGTAGATGTATCGTGCAACCACCAAGTGAAGCTCAAGACATGGGATACCACATCTACAAGAAACAGCACGAATCACCCTACGATCCTTGCAGGATGGCTATCATGGAATCATCCTCCTACCGGGATCATCGATGTCACGATTGGTCAAATTACGATTCTTCATTGCTAAATGACCACTTACCACTTCCTGCTAAAATCAAGGAACAGATAGAACAAAAATACAAAACAACAACTTCAAAAGTGTTGGTAGAGATACATCCCATAATTTGCCCCAACAAATCCTGGTAAAATCCAAGGCGCCTTGATACCGCGGGTTCCTCATCGATGATGATGGCCAAGGTCAAGGACACAGCTCCTGTTGGGGCTATGATAGTTATGAAAAGTAGTTGCTATGAGTTCTCAATGATGATGGATAACATGGATAATATATACATATATCATCATATATCATAAGTCCTCTATAAATGGTAGAATTCATCCCCTACTGGATAAAATTCATCAAATTAATTATGTTACTATGTATATTAGCACTATATACATAAGTTTAGTTCATGTTCAACTGTTTTAGCTTAGGATTTGACTTGTCGATCTTTTTATGGGCTGCAAAAAAGCAAATAGTTTTGAATATTGGAGGTTTATATTTGGATGTATACTATTGACTATTTCCTATCTGGATCCCGTACCTTCTGAGGAGTATATGGGCTATGATAATTCGGGGGGTTACCGTAGCTTCTCAGGAAGTATGGTTGGGTCCACAAGGATTGATTGTTGGAGGTTTATATTTGGATATATTTGGTATATCTGTCAACATACAAAATACGTAGAACTCTGTGTATGAAAGGTATATGTATGTATATATAAATATGATTATATATATATACATATGAAATTGTTAGTGGATCATACCATCGGTATAACATCTCCAATTCAGGTTGTGAAATTGGATATGACATACCCATACCATTGGGATGATTTATGGCCACAAGACATTGGTTCTAATTACCACATGGTTCATGTTGGGATTCGGGTTTCCAGGGCCTTTAAAACCGAAAAAAACTCAAACCCGAATCCTAGCGTGGAATGCCTCCGCATCAATGGGCCTGGCCCTGACTTCGCACCTCGCAAACCGCTCCAGATCATGGCAAGGCCCTCGCGCCAGTCGATTGGACTTCCAACCTTTGGGACATCAATCGGTCAATCGCTTGGTCGATTGATTCGGTTCAGCGACCAAGTGGGTAAGCTCGGGGAAGGAGTGACAGAAACCCAACCAACAAGTTGCTGAAGGGTAAAATTGAAGACCAAATCATACATCGATCATGGACCCCCGGCACGAATGCCCGTGGAATTCGGATGCAATCCGCTTCTAAAGCTGGACGTGAACACAGTTGCAACTCCAATTGAAAGTGATTGTGTGCCATCCAAAGTGCCATCCAAATACTATGATATACTACGGCTGTGTAAAGGTCCTAGATTCCAACATGACTCCATTGGCTTGACTAAGGGATGGCTCGAGCAGGGAATTTGGCGCTCCTGTGCTTCCACTGGTGACACAGAACAATGGTCGTGGTTTCTCTAGATTCTTCATCAACTTAACTGATCAAACGTTAAAGGCAGTGGCTTCCGCATCCATTTTCTCAAGAGATCAGGCGTTCCTCATTGGCACTGGCAGGGGTTGAATTTCACCAGCCCTTTGCAACGTGACACAGGTGGCACCATTCATCGGAGAATCTTCCTCCCTGAAACAGGATGAACATGACACCCATAACTGTTATGACTGCAGTGACTCCGCGAGGCCAGTTTAAGTGGCTGCATCCTAGGGACCATTTGCAGAGGTATCCACAGCACAGCCAACCTGCGGTGCCGACATATCAAAATGGGCCCAAACCAGGGCACCAAATTTTCTATCGCCACAATGTTCACCAGAATCTGACTTAGATAAATATCATAATATGTTTATATAAATATATATATATATATATGAACCCTAAAGATAAACATAATTGTAGATCATGTGGATGCAAACATACATGGTGTGTGTGTGTGTCTGTCTGTACCCTGTACACCTCTGTACTTTATTTACAAGCCATTGCACTTATTGTTGGCATCGTGTCCAGGTCCCAAGGAGACTATAGCATCCCAACTGAAGCCAAGCATATTTTCTGTGGCCCACTCACAGTGGCAAAACGCTAGCCATACGTAGCTTGGTTCGAATACGGCTCTAGTTCGAGGCGATTTTCAGCAATAGACGAACTGCCTCACATCTTCCTGAACTGCATGCATGTGAGTGTGGTGGCTTGAACCATAGGGTTGCAAACAAACATTTGGAACCACAAAGCCGCTATTATGGTCATTAACAATTCTCCATCTTCACGTCTCAAACTTGGTTTCAGGGGGAACAATGAGAAAAAAAACAAAAGGCGACGGCAGCAACGGTTATGGAGCAAAACCTTACTACCCGTGTGAACATCAAAATAGCTGGTCCAAATACATGCATGTTCATCAAACATGGATGCTGTAGGTTTTGACCCATCCTCATATTTGGATCTTCCTGATTGTAATTTGTGGTAACCTCTCTGTAAATCTCTGTAACATGTTCAAAAACCTCGTGTTCACCTTTCCAGATCTCATAAAAATCGTATCCAGTGCAATCCAATGAACTTCTGGGGTCAGCAGAGATTCCTCACTTCCGCCGATATTTTCGCGGACGTTTCTTACTGGATCCAAGAGGCATGATGCTCCGGATCAGCAACAATGATACGTAAAGCATCAACAGCCATCCTGACAGGTGGCCCAGGTGGCCCAGGTGGCCCAAGTGGCCCAGGTGGCCCATGGCATCCCCGGCGATTCTCAAGGGTGCAGAGGGAATGTGGCGATTCTCATCGGTGTGGATAAACACATTAATGTATCTGTATTTATTTAAAAACACACATATATACTTGAAACATTCTTGAAACACCAACAACAGCAAACTCACACATAAAAAATCCATGAGAATGATACATTAATCAAGCTTAACGAACATTCTAACAGATATGTTATGCTTAAATTACCAATTAAATCAGACCAGAATCGTCCTTCCATGGCACCCATTAAGATGACTCATAAAACCAAATCTTGGAAGTGTGTAACTATCTGTACTTCTGAATAGATACAATGTATATACTACACATATTACATGCTATACGTATATTGTACAGTATCTCTACTAATATATATATATATTCATCATATTCTGAATAGCAAGCGTTTCATATTCAGATGTTGGACACCTGGATTTTTTTAGGGGAAATGATCATCCAACTAACATCCACAAAAAACGGGATTTATAAACCACCATGGTGAGGATTCCAACATAGATTGATAGACCGATGATCATCCCCCTGGGAATGTCAAACGGCATTTTTTGACCATGGCACTGGCTGGGCACTGGCTGGGCATGGCACTTGGAATACTTGTTGGTTTATAACCCCAGAAACGATAGTTATGTCATTGCCATAAATCCAATTGTTCTTGGAATCATCTGAGAAACCAACTTAGCTATTGTAGATGGGCGCCCCTTTTTTCTGGCTTCCAGTAATCAACCCCAGCAAGCTGGAAAATCCACCATTTTCGATAATTTTCCCAGCTCTCAACCTCCATGTTCGATCATTTTTGTAAGATTTTCCATACCATAAATGGTCACCAATTATAAATATCGTGTATTGTCCCATGAAATTATGTGTTTTTATTTTAGGTGCTTCAAATCCATCAATTCTCAATGGCACTTTGAAAAACATACCCTCAGGTAAACATACAAAAAACAATGGAAAATCACCATGTTTCATGGGAAAATCCACTATTTCTATGGCAATTTCCAATAGCTATGTTGGTTTACCAGGCCGGGTATCTCAGTTTCACCAAGCCATCCCCAAGACTTGGCCCAAGACACCGAAGTCCGCTGCTTGGATGATTCCCACAGAGTCCAACAAGGTGTCAGCGAACAGCAGCCCGGCCAAAAAGAAGATCACCTTTGGGGAGCGACGTCGGCGGATAACCTTCCCGAATAGCAGTAGTATGGGGATATCTGATTCATGTCCACTATTGATGATGGTATATCTGATTATGGCATAGTATAGTATGGGGATATCTGATGTCCTAAGTGTATATTATACCACTGATCATGGGAAAAATATAGTGAAGACGCTCAGAAAAGGATAGACATAGTGGGCAATTCGTATTGACATAGTGGAAAGTTAAGAACTGGTTCAATCTTTATCGGGGATATTATACTTATACTTATCCAATATATGGGAAACAATTGGTGATATATCAGAAAGAAAAGGTCGGTATATCTAATTCTGATATCCTGAGTATATACCAGACCTAGACCGTGGGGAGTTAGTGGTGATTTAATGGGGATACAACGGAAAATTACCACTAACTGCCTGGTTGGGATGGGGTTTGGAAGATTTACCATCAAAATTACTGATTTAACCAGGAATCATGCAGATATTATATGATATACTGGGGAAGACTGTGAATGGCTATGGTACTAGTATTTATGGGTATATCATGGTATATCATATATCTTCAGCTTGGAGTATAACTTAGCATGGAGGATTTCAATCCGCAAATAGATCGAGTATGGCGATATATCGGGATACTTGATGGGATATGATATAATTAACAAATTAGATATGATGTTGGGATGTGGATCTGAAAATGGGTTGTATACGCCAGTTATATCCAGTTATGGTAATTTTATGTAATTCAATGCAGATTTGGGGGTACAAACCCTAGGTCAAAATCATATCTGTCAATACCCATTCAATAAATATAGTGGAAAACAAAAAATAGAACTACACATGAGTAGTATTTTCTTATCCTTGTCTTTCAATGACCAGTGACATGTAACCTACGCAACTGTCTACGCCGAGCATACGCCATTACGTGAGGTAGCCTACGCGGGGTACAGTATGGTTTTAACGGGTGCCTGCGCGAGCCTACGCGGTGTAGGCTTTGCTTACGCGGCCATGGGTTCTTTTTGTTTTTGATTGTGGCATGAGGCTTTGGAACCACACACCACAGATATCATAGCTAATCAAGGCAAAATGAATGAGTTCAAACTGTTGCCAACGAGTGTCTACACAAAGGCTACGCTGTATAGGCTAAAACGAGCCTACGCCAATGCCTACGCAACCTACTCCGTCTGCATGTGAGCCCAGGCCTGGGGCAGAATATATCTTATGGAGTTCCCACTTTATTGATTTTACTACGTTCAGAAAAAAAAGTACAAAAAAACACGCTACTCAGAGACACTCAAAGACTCAAATAGATGGGATCATCCCAAGTGAAACTCTTGTGGATCCTGGATCCGGTTCGCACCTCGAATTCCCCAAGGACGCACTGTCTCGCAAACCACTTCTCTAATTTCTCTAGGGTCTCTTCCTTTAAAGCTCCATTTATGGAAGTATCTTATAAGACAGTCACATGGCAGTGTGTCAAAACCTTGTACCCCTGTGGTTCACATCAAAATAGCTGGGATTTATGGATGTTCATCCCATTAAAAATGGTATTAATAGGTATTGACCCATACCCATATCTTAGAGTTGTGGTTGTTCACCCCAGGATTCACCATGGTCAACCGATCCCCACGTCACCGTGTTTCCGGTGAACTCCACGGTCTCCCACACGATTTCGATGGCCTGGCCGGCTGAAAATGGGTACCCCATGGTACCCCTCTAGCCGTTTAACATAGGAAAATGGATCAAATAGCCCATGTATAGCTATGGAAAATGGATAAAATAGCCCATTTATAGGCGATCTACCTATGAAAATGGTGATTTTCCAAAGCTATATTGACTTACCAGAGGGATCCCGAGGGATCCAGAGGGTATATTGTTTGGTATATGTTAAGCTGTTAAGCCCAAAAAGGCTACTGTATTTAATTGACAACATGACTATAAACATTGAGAAAACAGTAGGATTCTATTGGCTTACACATTGGCAATTGAGCAGGGCTATGGACAATGGACCATTGAGATCCCTTTAGTTCTATGATGTTCCTATGAAAAAATGATGATGTTCCATAGCTATGTGATAATAGTAGCAAAGCATATGACTCAAACAAATTGTGATACGATGTGATCAAACAACATGGAAGTAGGTAAATGATGGTAAATGTCAAACCCTCTGAAGATCGGTAGCTAAAGTGCAAAATACATCAAAATACTGACACCCCAAGAACAACTACAGTATTTGGTTCATGATGGTTCATGTCCTACACTATCAGTATAATCACCGGCTTAAATGATGGTAAGGTCTTGAAACATTTGAAATGACCCATAACAAAATGGTATCTGAAAACGGACGCGTCAATGAAATGAGTTTGGACATTTACTTACGGCTGTCTCGGCAAAATCTTACAATCAGTTCAGCTTACATTTCAAAACATCCTCAAATCTCGTCAAACGAACAAGCTGCTTGAACATTTCCAAGAGAGGTCTCCTATCCAATTGTTTTTTCCTTTACGGTCTATTGAAGGAAGTTGATCCCTGCCCCATGTATTTGATTGTTGATTGATGTAGATTGTACAGGTGCCGATGTTTGACCGTATATGTATATTATACACACAGTTTTCCTCCGTTCATCCAAATTGGCCAGGTCGCATCACAAGTAATCCTCTGGGTCTGAATAGAAACGGTGCCCCATGCGATCCCCTCACTTTCACAATTAAATTGCCTAACATTGTCATCAATTGGAGAAATCACTTCATTTTCAAACCCATCTTGTCAATTTGTCTCCCCTGCCATCCACACCCATCCACTACAACTGCCGACTAAAAGACCCCCGACGCCTCTGTCGAAACGAACCTGGGCCAAGCAAAGTAAGCGACCATGAAGCCAGCGGAAACGGTGGCCTCCGGGATAGGCTGATTGATCTGTTTTCCAACATGGAAACGACAAAAAGATCGTCTGAAAAGACATGATGAGAGGGGTGTCCATGGATGTATCTTCATGGCATTTCATGGCATTTTTTAAATTTGGACACATCTCATCACATCACAAAAAATTGGATGCTGGAAAAATCTTCGGACATTTTGCGGCGTTCCAGGTTTCAATGTTGTTCCAGGTGTCCGGACCAACACGCCACTGGTGGCCAATTCACTTTCACCCAGGAAGAACGACAAATATGCACAGCAAAGCCTGGGAACTGTGGGTCAAATCAATGGCGTGAAATTCATGAGATAGTCGGTTTCTTGGTTCATTCCAAACATGCCATCAATTAATTCTCAGCATTTCAGAAGTGGATATGCCTGCCTATTCGCTTTTGGGGCTAAAGTTGTATCAAGGGGTTAATGAGAGGTTAAACACCACACGATTTCCTTTCGCCCAATTTCGGACATGCTTCATTCTTGACGTTCTTAACGTTCTTGACTTGCTCGAGGGCAGTTTTATGCTTTTGGGGACATGTCAAGTTCATGAATATGATCCCGAAATTATGTTGTCAACACTTCGTATGCACCAAACAATATGATGATGATGATGATGATGATGATGCTGATGCTCAAAATAAATTAGAACGATCATCGTCAACATGACAATAGCGATGACACTAACGATTGCGGCCACCCCGCTGAGCCCAAGTGGCGTTATCATCACCTGGATCAAAGGATCCTTGGGACGTGGCGTTGCTATTTTGCTCATGGCCAGTTCTGATTCTTTGCAGACAGTTGTTTTAAAACATGTTTGCACTTTGCTGGATCTCGAACTTCAACACGGTATTTGTACATCTATTGTCAGGTGGCGGGTACAGAGCTTCTGTAACCTGGATTCTCGAGAGTGAGACATGGCAAGAGAGATCTATGGTCGCTGATCATCAATGATTGTAACATGTTGCAAAAAGATGCAAACAGGATATTAATAGGCACTACCCTCTGGTAAACTAACATAACTATGGAAAATCACCATTTTCAATGGGTAAATCCACTAAAAATCACCATTTTCAATAGCTATTTTGACATAACCAGAGGGTATCCATCTTTCCACCAAGCAACACTGTGGAAGCGTTCCTCCGCGCATTTCCCGATGATAGCCACAGCTGCGAGTCCGATCAACGAACCAAATACAATGGAGCTGAAGGACATGTGACCTCAGATGCCCCGTGACGTCCCAGTCCGCTCATCGAACGTGGAAAATCCCCTGTTTGGTTTGTGGCTGGAAACATCTAGAAATCCATGATCCAACCCAAGGATACATGATTCATAACCATTGACCTAACTATCGGATATTCCATGACTAGGGATCTCCCAGAATATGGTTGCTGGAATGCACCGTGGATCTATCTGGCTGAATTATATTAAATTCACTGACCTGAGAATAGATGAACATAGCTGTTATCACAAGGCCACTTTGCACATTGAGCTTCTGGGGCTTCAAGAAATACGGACTGCGCTTGTTTCTCAGCCACGTTTAACCCGGACTGGCACCCTCCATGTTTGAACATGTACCCAAAAGGTAATTTTAGTAACATTAACATAGCCATGGAAAAATGCTCATTTATGTAAACATGGTCATGTCCGATAGCTTATGTAACTTGATTTGCAGCAATGATGATATGTAAGAATGATTGATAGATGATGATCTCGAGGAAAGCCTACACTAAGACGAATGAACTCGGATGGTCTGAAAGCTTTCTGGCCAGGTTTAAATATTCTTATGACATTCTAATTACTTCACGCAAGTACCTATTCAGTCAATATGGGACTTAATGTTTTCCACAGCGATGAATATTGTTTACTTCCGCTAATTGCTGTGCATAGTGATGGTGTACTAATCATCAACCAGCATTGTTGGTGAACTTCTGCAATATTTGGTAGACTAAAGCATGTTTACCATATATCATCAACAGTTTCGACATTTAATCCAGCGTGTTGCAGATATTAATTCCATTTCAATCCATGTGTCAAGTATCAGACCTGATGATTTATCATTAAATATCTACAAGTATCCATTATGTGATATCTAACTGAATTATATTAAGTATACGTATAGATATCATAAACATCATGTCAATATCTGTGATATCATGTGATATCATAAATATTAAATTAATTATTAAATACATTTAAATACTGTATCCATCTGATCATCTCCATCTTTGATCTATCTATCCATTGGATTCATCATCATCCCTTCGCCGAAATACCAAAGAAGGTCAAGACTGATGTGGCATCCAGGGAAGCTCCGAGGACGGCCTGATTTTTTAAAACCGCTTCGAATGGAAGATGAATGGAAGATGACTGATAAATGGGTGGTGAAAGATACATCTATAGATGGGTAGATGATGGTAGATGGTTAGATGGATCTACATTTTTTGTGCATCTATAGATGGCTAGATGGATGTAGATGGTAGCTTTTCCTCCTTTGGTGATTGAAGAGTATCTTGAGGGCGCGTCTGTTGAAGATACAAAAAGAATCCCCGTTGGAATACAGACTTAGGACCCGGATCAAGTTTTTGTAAGCCATAATTTGTCCAGCCCGAGTCTACCCCTCTACAAAATACAATGCGTAGCCAGGCACACTCGGTACAAAATGCAAAACCTGGTTAGGTTTTGCCACTACAAAATGCAAACATAACATACCCAGCATGAATACTCGGTACAGTTTTTCAGGGGATGCTACTTCTTGATATACTACTTGCAGGTTCATGTTTTTAATGATAAACTGGTTCTGGTACAAAATCTTTAGCCCAGGGCCAACGTACTTCGTAGAGGAAAGAAATTCAAAGCCTGATCAAAAAGACGTGTTTGAAAGCAACATCAGTTGTAATGAAGTTACTGGCCATCCAGTAAACTATAGCTATGGAAAATGGCGCACTTATTAATGATTTATATATACATTGATTTACTTCTCATTAAACAATGATGATTTTCCATAGCTATGGGTGTCACCAGAGGGTATCTATAGAAGTAGAACCAAGGTTACTTAGCATCCAGGCTTGTGGCTGGGAAACTTCTTCAAATCGCAACTAGAAGAACTCAACAAGAAACAGGTTGTTTCTTTACCCATGAATTTCCCGTTTTTGGTGTTTTTCAATCATTGGAAGACATCTCCATCCGTTGCACCTTCAACATCAGCACGAAGACAACGATGGCCGTACCGTCGTTCATCAGACTCTCGCCGCTCACCAGCCTGGGGATCCACCCATGAACAAACCTCCGGGGATAACGGAGAACACATGACAGGATTCCAGGATGGTGTTTTTAATTGAGTTTACCACTCTACTGACTATCTATTAATATAATCTATTATGTCATATTCTCGCGAAAAAAACATACACCATTCATCACCACCCATCGCTGTGTCACCGCCTTTTTGAAACGCCTCGCATCGCCGGCAACGCGGCGTGAAGGAATGACGGTTTCGGCCGGAGGTGCGCGGACTGGAGCTTCCAGGCGCAGTTCGCGAAGCTGGGAATGGACTGGAGACTGGATATCCTTTATAATTAAACTATATATTATGTGTATATATATATACATATATATATATTATGTATGTATATACAATTATATATATATATACATATTATGTAAAGGGTTCCCAACATGGCTATCCGGATAAAATGGGGGTCGATACATGCGATACATATACTATACATGTACGTGAACGTGCGTCAATGTATTGAAATTCGGACTTGCAAACTTTTGATTGACCCACATTTGTACAATTAAACTATATATTATGTATATATTATGTATATATTATGTATATATTATGTATATATTATGTATATATTATGTATATATTATGTCTATATTATGTATATATTATGTATATATTATGTATATATTATGTATGTATATATATAATTATTTATATATATATATATACATTATATATACATATTATGTAAAGGGTTCCCAACATGGCTATCTGGATAAAATGGGGGTCGATACATGCGATACATATACTATACATGTACGTGAACGTGCGTCAATGTATTGAAATTCGGACTTGCAAACTTTTGATTGACCTACATTTGTACATGATGTCCCTATGCAAGGGAACGGATTTGAGTTGTCTCGAATTATGAGAGGGTCCTGTACTCCATGATACTCCATAAGAACAATCTTCCTTACAGCAATTTCTATAGGTTTTCTGGAACTAGATCTTATGTTGTTGTTGTTACTACTTAACGATTTGGCCATGGTTTCACTATGTTTCACTACTCAACTTCAACCTGAAAACTGGCGATGAAACAGAAGGGACAACTGCTGATTAATCGATGGACACATACCAAGAACATCACAATGGGTATGCTACCCAATAACTTAAATATTTATACCGATTTTTATAGGTGTACATTTAGATATATAAAGCTAGTATTCTCAACCTGTCAGTAACCGTTATCAACATTTATTAACCACTTATTTGAGCTGCAAGTGGATTCCAACTCCGCATCATGGCCAGGCTAGCAATCTCCACTCCATCGCGCAAATGAGGTCTGCATTGTGTCAGAAAGACTCTTGGAGGCATCTTGAACACGGCTATTTTGCAATGTTAAATTACCAAAGGGTATACTGAGCATAAGCTTTGCATTTTTACGTCAAAATTCTGTGATCAAAGGAAAGACATAAATTGAGATGCATATGAAGATGACAATTAGGGTGAAGAACTAACCACTTTTTACATATTATGTGTCTTGCTATGACGATGAGTGTGATCATGATGGTGACGACCAACAAGTTGATGATGGTGGCCTGCTTCACATTCATGGACATTCCATACAAATGGACATTCCATACAAATGGACGATAGATCCTATCAAATGAATGCCAGAAAGCAGCTAGCGCTACGTTTCAGGATGATCATGCAGGAGGTCAATTTATGTTCATGGCGCTAAAATCAGCTTCAATTTTGGGAGACAATCATAATACCTGGGTAAATTATAATGATTCACAAACGAGATTACTAAGGCCATGTAGGGATAGTTAACCCCCTATTAACATCATCATATTAATAATAGCCGTAAGCCGTCCAGATTTTGAGATGTCACCCCGCTGATGGCAAACACACCAGCCATGTCCAGGACAGAGCTGGACGCTGTAGAATCTACGGTGGACAAAGCAACGAAAATCCAAGGTTTGGTTGTAATATCTATATTGATGTATGGATATATTTGTATACATATATATATACACAGTATATATATATATATATTATATCCTTTGTATGTATGTATACATATATATATATATATATATGCCCCAGTGCTCCAAACATCCTCTGAGCCGTGTTTTTTTGTGTGACCTGACCAGGCCTATAAGGTCTATGGGATTTTCAGTGAAAGCACCATCTGAAGATGATGGTTATCTACATAGGTTCAGAAAATAGCTCATGTTATATCATGTTATGTATCAGCATATCATTTCTTCACAGATATCTGATTCTCTATGTCATTCTGCTTCATGCTGGTTAAATCACTAAACCCAGTTTTTATTTTCTGGTTGAACCGATAAAACCAGCAGCATCCAGCAACCAATGCACGATTCCCGAGTGCAGTGCGCTCGCTGACTTGCGAAGTCGGCTGCTCCTGGACCTGCCACGGAACCTGCCATGGAATCAGCTCTCTGATTCCCTGATGGGAATATCTATTGAATCTATTGGGACATATCTTTACATAAATTCTATATAATTATATACCGTATATAATATACATTAATATACTGTATATCATATCACATATTATCACTGTACAATTGTACAAGTTTGTTGAGGCTTGTGGCATTGAATTATGTCCCCCATATCTTCTAAGCTCTGCAGAACTCAACATGGCCAAACATAAACAAGAAAAAACTTAAAGACAAACGATCACTTGCCCGAAACCATCTACTTTGCAACAGAAATGGCTGGCCAGTCATGATCTCCGGTGATCTATTTCGAAGCAGAAAAATCCTCATTCGAATGGTCTCCTTTTTTGTGGCCAGGTCTTGACACCGTGGCAGGATGTGAAAATATGTGAAACAACCGCACCTGCGGAAGCCGGGGCAGGTGCGCGAAATTTCTGATCAGAAAAGCACCCAAAGACAACGGATCCATCTATGGATTTTAAAACAACCCAAAGATAACGGATCCATCTATGAAACCAAGATAAACCATGGTAAATCTAGGGTCAAAAGCCCTGGGGATTTGGATTTTGGATTTCTGGAGGCATCGGGAGAAACTTGGGCACTGGGAGAAAGATCGGCGCCGGTATCCAGTTGGATGGTTGTGTCGTGAGTGGGCACTGGCATGCTCATCGTCGGAAGTACGTTCGAACGATTGGATGAAAACAACAGCCCTTCAACATACATCATCATGTATGTATATATATATACATATGATATACATATAATAGACATATATATATATATATACATATGTATCTATATACATGACTGTGCCCACTCCCTTCTTCGATGTTTCGCTGGCATTGTGAGCTTACCCTCCAGGGATTCAGGAGCAGTGTTGAGGATAACTCTACGGGGAATTCTACGACAATGAATGGGTTGCCATTGCCGCAGGCAGAGTTATTCTTTGAATACAATACCCAGAACCTAGGCAGTGAAAAGAAGCACTTGTAGCCGTATCCATGAAAAGGGTCCATGAAAGATATGAAAAGAAATCCAATACTTGGTTGCGATCTGTCGACTACAGTCGGCAAACTGGGGTTTGGTGGGTGGGGATGAAAAGAGTTCATGACTCTCTTTTCGTGAAAGGCATCTGGAAACCATCATTTGCAGATACGTACTCTGTTATATATTCACCATCTTGCATAAAGTCTGATGCCGATTGGATTTCATCGCTCTCGCCCATGACACTGTGGCCATGACACCTTTTTTCCACCCAGATGCTGATCTGTGAATTTACATCCCAGAATTATCCCTAAGTCCTAATAATTCCTATAGATCCCACAGCCTAAATTTGGGACTCCCTTTAAAAACCCTCACCAACAGAAAACACCAGCAGGAAATCCTCCCTGGGGGCCAGTTGCAGCTCAGCTCAAAGAGACGCTAGATCCTCAGACCCGATCCCGATGTTGGACGCTCTGGACCTTTGACGTTCCATGGCTTCCCGCAACCTGGCCATCAATGGTACTGCAATATATGAGGTAATTTTATGGCCATCAAACCGTGGGGCCGTGGGAATCAAAATCTTGAGACAACCCAGGCAACTTCAAGATTGGCCAATCCATAAATGTTGTTGTTGGGGTTGACACCCATCTTTATGTATACGATTGTAGGCTGATGTAGGCTGCCACTGGGGCTATAGTTAAGGCTGGAATCCCATGACAAGAGGGCAACTTGGAAGCATCGGAGTGATCCCAGTACAAACCAAACACCAAGGGACTCGTTTGTGGCTTCAACCCAGTTCTAAATTAGTCATTTGGATATGAAGCTCAACATTTCAACCTCCAATCTCATGGCTTTCTTGTGAAAGAAGGAAGCCCCACATTTGATGCCCATTTGGCCACTGTCCTTATTCAAATTGCCATGTTTGGGGTACCCTGTCTTCAGACAGAGTGACAGACCCATTATATAGTTCCATTAAAGCCCATTATATAAACCTCAGTAGACCCCATTAAACCACAATAAACACCAATGTATACCATAATGTTTTAGATAAACAAAACACAGCCTGCTCACCAGCGATGTGTTGCCCGCGACTGTTAGCTTAGGCACTGGATTCGACTTCGCGAACGGGGCTGTTTCAAAATGACCTTCATGAGTTGCATATCCTCGGCGATATGATCGGATACGATCATGATGATCATGGTGATATGGAAAGGAGACAACATGATACAACTAGACTTAGACCAAAAGTACCTAAATTCTGGGGTAAGACACCCATGGACCATGGCTGGTCTATGTATGGATACGGGCGCGGGCATTCAAAGCCGAACATAAACGCACATACCCAAGAAGTCACGATCTAATTTTTTAGGTGGGCTGCATTGTCGACAGCAGTTGGAAGAGAATAGGTTCAAAGTTCAAACCCAGAAGTTTGACTTTGTGCTTTGACTGCTTGGCGGCTCTTTAACCCCCAAAAATATGCTCGTCATCTCAACCACCAAAGAACTGATAAAAAATTGGTCAACGGTTGGGTCCTGTATATAGTCAAGTTGAAAACGATCTATTGGTCCAGAACAGCCAATGAGTTTGGATGACCCTCATCGGCCAAGACTAAACTAACAAAATGTAAAATGGTAAGTTAGAGTGTAGAGTATTGTGTTTATGACATCTTTGCTTAATATACTTGAGACATCAACATCCCTCCAGGAAGACAAATTTAGTTCATGTTTAGGTTTTAAAATATAATTAATGTGGTTTTCGAATGTTTTTGATATGACTTTGGGACATGGTCTCGTGTCACACTATCGATATGGCTTTGACATGATTCCCTTGAATCGTTTGGGATGTGAATTTGATATTTGATATTTGGTGTTCGGTATGTTCGGTATGTTTTTTCATGGTTTGGGAACGCAATGACTTTTCTGGGGTTCCTGGTGGGTTGGCCTGAAAAAAGGACACAGAAACACTTGATACAATTTTGATACAGTTCTGATACAGTTTTGAAAACAAAAATGATACGCTTCTGATATGATTCTAAGATGTGTTCAAAACATATCCCAAAAAACACAGCAAAAATTGAACAAGCAAAAATCACAGCTCTGACTCCTGACCCACATCAAAATCATCGCTGCGAAAAAAGGGTCCACAAAACAAGAAAACATACCTGACACATATCAAGATCATAGTATTCATAAAGCAAATACTTTTGAACACCCTCCATCCAAAAAAGCTTGGTGATGTCATAATATTGTGTCCAAATTGACCAAATATATATCTTTAAACATACACAGTAACTCACAGTATCTTTTAACGATGACAAAATCGACCCGCAACCCAGTGATTTTCCCTTGGTGAAGCGCCCTGCTGCCGTGACTCGTGTTGAAGCTTCTTGATCTCTTCCTTAGGGCGAGGATCAAACATTAGCAGCAGTTATGGAAATCTATAAAAATATAAACAAACAACCATATGAATCAATATGACATTGTATGTATACATAGTGTATATATATACATACATACATACATACATACATACATACATACATACATACATACATACATACATACATTACATTACATTACATTACATTACATTACATTACATTACATTACATTACATTACATTACATTACATTACATTACATTACATTACATACATACATAGATAATACATATTATCACATAATTTATTAATATCATACTTATCTAACATCTTACCTTGGGATTGGAATTATGTCACGATTTTTTTCGTTTGCCAACTCCAACTCCTACGCTCCATTGCGGCCCGAGACTCTCTCATCATGGTATTTTCGTAGCTCATCCTGGCCATTTGCAGGCCTTTCGCTGGGCCTGGCGAGCGGAATGTGGGCAGCCCTGGCCCTGGCCGCCACAAACATCACAAAACCTACCATGAATATCCACAATGGGGATGGTGAACATACCACCCATTGATAGTGACTTCGGGATGGTCTAGGACATTGGGTTTACTCATTAGTCATTAGTCATGATAATCTGTGCCCTTACTAAAACAAAACCACGGGCGTTTGAAGATCTTTGAAGCCCAGTGTTCTGGTTCAGCCTCGCATCAGCAAAGCGACAGAACTTGGAGTCAGAACAAGTTGGCAAGTGAAGGAACTGCCTTATTTTCATTATGTTTTATATTTATGTATTGACTTGAAAACAAGTCGATTCAATCTTCTAGTCTCTTACAAGTACATTGAAAATAGAAACAGCTTTGCCACAGATGCCATCAGATTCTCTTTGCCTTGCAACTGCATGCATCCGAAGACAAACTCGTCCTGAGAGCCCCGGGAACTGTTGTTGTTGTTGTTGCTGTTGAGGCTGCAGAAACGAAATGGCACTCATCTTGCTTCCATATGTGCCACGGTCAATACTCATTATATATACCATCGATGGTCACCCCAGTAATATTCGGATTTATGTAATACTTGTTACGTGTAATGGATATATGCAGTAAACAGGTAAACCCCTATAGCTTACTACATTAGGTCCGATTTTCAAACAGTTGACATGGGAAAAAACACTCTGGCTTTGGACTGCAGTGTGAAGCTGTACTCGCGGGATGTGGGTGTGAGTCAAACCCTGACTACCTTGGTGAAAGCCCCAAGAAGAATCCGCAGAAACCATGGTTTAGTTGGGGATGAAACCTTATATTTGGGAATATTTGGGTTTAGGAGGTGTTTAGTATTAGGGGGATGGGATTATTCTGTGCAGATCTTCGGTAAAACTTCTTTGTTTACCACCGTGATGCACAGTCTGATCGTGTCACCAAGGCAGAATGGACTGTTGAGGGGTAGTAGTGAGCCACTAGCCAATGGTTTGCGGTTTGATGTGTAGGATGCATAGCTGCATATGTATTTCTATGGATTTATAGATATGCAAGTGCAGACTAGTGTCCAAGAACGTATCTGCAGTATATGTGCTAGTCATGGCGGGTTCTTAAGATGGGGGATCTCCAAGTCACCTTGGGTTGAAATACTAAAATAGACTCTTTCTATATATATATACTTTATATACTATATGTATACATATCTATATCTATATAATTCTATATATATATATACATACGTATATTTATAACATATTAAAACAAATATCTATAAAATGACTTGGATGATTTGGGGCCCTATGACTTAGGACACCTCCGGGAGGACACCTCGAAATCAATGGGAATCCAAGGAGCCAAAGTCACTTGCCCGTCACCATTGGCATCGATGACCCTGACGAGATGGTGTCATTTTTAGCCCCGGCATGCCCCGGCACCTTCGAACACGTTTTTGATGGTGATCTCATGGAGACTTCACCAGCAAACATATGCTGATCTTATCAGAACGCGGAAATCAGGGAATTAAATATCAGTAAACTGTCACTAAACACATCAGTGAGTTTGAATATTGTCTGAATAAGTCTGCTTTTATTTGTGGCAGCTTCATTTCTTTAGAGAACAAGGTAAGAGTCCGCGAAAGTCCGCGAATCCAATGGTTCCTCTAGATTCCAAACATCGCGAACATGGCATCGGGGTCACTCTCAAGTTTGACAGCATTGTGGGTTGTCAGGCCAGTGAAGTAGACCTTATCTTTACAAACCGGGACCAAACAGTGCTCCATCCAATTTTCTGTCAACCAGTCGACATGCCACTGTTGGGCTATGGTTATCCGTCCAAATCACACATCTCTATGGTTATAAACGGGGTTATCATTCCATTATTATCCAATATTAGGTTATAAGTCAAAAGTTATAACTGACTTATAACTGGTATTTTGGGGCATGTCCAAACCGAGGCGCATGAAGAGAGTCCAGATATCTTGCGTCGAAATGTCCATCGAATGCCTGAAGCTCTGTGGTCGAGCTCTGTGAGGAAAATCACCAAAACAATGATGGCCAGTCGTAGACACTCTGCCAAAGGAATAAGAATTATATAATTATATAATACATTATCATCATTATCATACATATATATATATATATCCCAACTTATCAGCAAAAAATCAAAGTGTGAGAGCACCCATCCAGGGTTTACCTAGAATTTTCTCAAGAATACAACACGTTGGCGACCATGAGGTGTTGTCCGTTCCTCGCCGAGGTGCATAAAGGAGGCCAACTTCTTGCTTTGAAGAGCCTCCTGGTGATGTGAGTTACCCTCCAGCAAACATACAAACAACTATAGAAAGTCACCATTCAAGTAATAAGTAAATCATCTACACATGGTACAATTTTCCATAGCTATATTAAGCTATATTAAACTACCAGAGTGCATGCCCATCTGCCGAAAAAACGATAATAATATATGTCGGTATATATATATGCATATATATATGTATATACTTGTATATATATATACATACATACATACATACATATGCTCAGCGCCCCCCCCAAGATCCCCAGCAATGTTTTTCATATTATATATAGGGGTATGAAATGGCATGAATGGGGAATGACAATGGCAATGGTATGAACGGAATAACAATCAAACTTTTTTGGCGAATGGCACAGAGTGGCGCCTTTGGATATCCGGGAACTTTTCGCCGGAACCCTGGCTTGCGCAGGTCCTTTCAAAAAGTACGGGAAACAGACTGGTGTCATTTGTATTTAGCAGCCTGCCCAAAGTATACACGCACTTTTCGAAAATATGAACGCCTGCACATATTATCACATATTTTTGTCGGTATACAATAAACACGTGTGTCCAACTGGAATCATCGAAAATAGTCCAACAAAATGGATGAAGATACCTGAGACTGACATGCCCAATTCCAGTTGCCCTGCAAGCGCCTTCAACTGTTTCAGGCTAACCTGAAAGAGACTGGTCCTTTTCCCGATGGACGTGGATGAGGGATTTATAAAGACCGTTGGCCAAAAAATCTTTAACTTTCAGGGTTGGGCGTGTGAAATTGGATGGTAAAATATGGTAAATTCATGTCTTGAAATCACCAAATGTCAGTGTCCAAATTGTGTCCTTGGGTCTTTATCAAAAGCCACATCTAATGCGATGATTAGAAGAGCACTCAGGTCGGGCATCGGTGATTATCTTCTCTGGCCTTAAATACCTCGCGCATGGCTTTTCACCTGTTTTGCCGTATTGGGCAGCAGGGTGTTCTCTGAATCTCAACTTTTGGACCTAGATCTGGATGTTTATTCCAAGAAATAAACTACCATTTGGGGATGGTTTATAGTTTGTTTATTTATGATTGGGTTTACCACCTTATCAACCATTTCATTGATACAACATGATACAACCATCCAGCTTATGTGGATATCATAAACTGCTAAAAACTGGCAGGAATGATAAGTGGGAATGCCAACAATTCAAGGACCGGATAACTGGATAACCCCACATGTCAATTTCTTCCAATACGCACCAAACAAATGTGAAAATGAGATGGGAAAGGCAGGAAAGAGAAAGGACATGGTGGAAGACAGATTGTGTGAAAGAGCTGTGTGTGACAATGTTGCGTGCAAAAGAGTGGTGTGTGACGTAGTTGTGTGTGTGTGAACGTGTTGTGTGTGATGCAAGAGTTGTGTGTGATGGATTGTGATGGAAGAGTTGTGTGTGACAGAATTGTAGGCGACAATGTTGTTTGAAAAAGCGTGCGATGCAGTTGTGGCTCACAATGATGTGTAAAAACGTGGTGATTGACAAAGTTGTGGGTGACAATGTTGTGTTGTGTGTGTGTGAAAGAGTGGTGTGTGTGTGTGTGTGGGAAAGAGTTGTGCGTGAAGGTGTTGTGTGTGTGTGACAGAGTTGTGTGTAACAGAGTTGTGTGTGCGTGTGACAGTGTTAACTGTGAACGAGTTGCGTGTGACAATGTTGTGGGCGACAAAGAGCGTGAAAGAGTTGTGTGTGACAATGTTGTATGTGACAACGTTGTGTGTTGAAGTAACAATAATGTGTATGAAGGGAGTTGCGCGGACAATGTTGTGTGTGAAAGAGATGTGTGTGACAAAGTTGTGTGAAAAAGATCTTCTTGAAAGAGTTGCGTGCGGCAAAGTTGTGTGTGTGTGTGAATAAGGTGTGTGTGTGTGTGGGTGTGTGTGTCAAAGGTTGTTGTGGGGCGGGAGGCGCGGCGAAGTCGGAGCGGTCGGGTGCAGAGCTGAAAGAAAAGAACCCCACACAATGATGTGGGGAATAAACATGAGATCCAGCTGTGTGATATCAGTAACTTGACATGATTTTACATGATATCAGAAACTCAACCATTAGTTGTGGCTATGAAAGTTTTGTTGAGATGGTTGGTCGTGGCTGGGTGACTGAATGTACCCGCGAAACATGGTTAATTGAAGCAACATTCGTTTATATTACATGAGATATCATGAGATAACAGCTGCTTGGAAACTTGGAACATCATGGTGATGTACCCTCTGCTAAAGAAAGATGGCAGTAGACAATCCCAAATTTGTGACTAGGCTAAATTTGAGATCACCAGATACCATGGCATATTGATTGGCCTGCGTGTATTCCAATCTAAAGTGAACATCGCGTCGGCATCGAGATGGTTGATGTCTCGTCAATGAGTTCATCTATACTATATGCTTTCACATGGGGATACACGAGATCGCCGAAACACTTGAAATTTCACATGCTGAATTCTTGGACTACCGATTCACTGATCAAATTGTGGGTCAGAGAATCTATGCAAATCTCCTTAAATCGCCTAATAAATACCAAGACAATCTACACCCCGTTGGGAAAGTCAGTGCACATAAATGCAACAAAGCAAGTGAACGCATTGAGTTTCCAAATGGATTGTAGGTATCTCCATCCAGCACCAGCACCAAGCAACAACGCATGTGTTGCCATTGTTGATCTCATTGAAAATTTCCCGCAAGGACTGGACTTGGGCCTCCGAGAAAACCGGGATATCTGGGGGATCTGGTCAGGTGAGTTAAAATCCAAGCGGGTTAGCTAAGTTGGTTCATAATATATAATTAGGATTAATTAGGTTAACTAGGGTTTATCGGTTTATCGTAGTAGTTATAACATGTTATAACTATAGTTAGATGGGATTGTATATAAACCAACACCAACTTATACCTCTGGGGCCCCACATTGTGGATACATCTGGTTTATCCAGTACGAGTATAATCCAAGGTCCAACATGCATTCTTGATGCCAAACATGAACGACCACACAACTCCATCAAACAAAAACTTCTGAAGATACAGCCACATCTTGGGCAAGATGGTTGCGATGCTTTGCCCCCTATGCCAATAGTAGGAAAATCCCGTCGTCAAACAACTTATCACTCTGGCAAATCATTGGAACAATCATGACGAACTTACAGCGACTCGTATTCCCGAATAACAGTTTAGGCGTTTCAAAAACCGAAGAGTTTGGATCATTGTTTTCCTTTCCAGCGGCGCCCAGCAGAGCTCTGCCTCATGTTTGTGCATTTGCTTCATGATGGCAATATCCTGACTCCGGGATCTGAAAGTAGGTGTCCCACTGGTCCATGGCTTTTCCCATAGTGACATTTTGATCAATTTTGATGTTCTATTTCGGGCTCAGTCAGAAGAAACCTCATTGCGATGTAATTTGATACGTGATTAGTGTCCAACAACCTAAATCCAAGAAAATCAACTTTTTGAATGATCATATTCTCTATCTGTGGCACAATACCTTTGCGTTTCACACAACTTCTGAACATGGAGTTTCAACATGGGACTTGACCTAAAACTTTTTGCCTTGATACAGTAATATACAGTGTATGAAATGGCGACCGCACGAAAAATAATGATGACAACGCGAAGCAGCCATGGCTATCCCTGTAGGGTTGTTTACGCTAGTAATTTCCAACACGCTTTTGATTCTTGACAAAATGACTATTGCGTGCGAAGCTGAAAACACGAGCGCCGCTATCCCCGGCGTGACCTTGTTTATCTATTCATTGAAATTCTCTAAAATCCTCTTGTCCCTGACCTAGGAGAAACAGGAGAGGTCAGTGCTTCAGTTGCCATCGTTTCCCAATTTCCCATAGTTTCCCGTGGCTCATGGATCTCATGTTTGCCATGATTTAGCAAACCAAAAACGGAACTGCAGTCAACTTGTTGGCACAAGAAGTCCTTGTCTGCACGCGCGCTTTCGATGGCAGTGTTACCTCAGGGCCGCGGTATCGAGACCGGACACTGTGGCGACCGTTGAACACACCGTTCAATGCACAGGTTGCGCGATGGTCTCAAAACATGTTGACAAACAAACTTTCGCATGCATGTAGGAAACATATGGGCACATATATTCCCCTGATCACCAAAGCTCGGTTGCCCCCCAAGGCCGCAAAAAAAAACGCACCCTGATTCCTGACCTGCCAACCCCGTAATCACAGCTGCTGTCCAAGGATCAGAATACACCGGTCACGACATTTAAAACGGCAAAGATCGTGATCGTGATGTAAACCTGAGCCATGGGGTCAGTCCCCTTGGTGGGCAGAACAAGACAGTACAGGCGGAAATCGGGAACCCATTGCTTTTGCCCAAGCCCCCTGCAAACACGCTTGGGTTCGAACCCACCTGGGTGCGAAGATTGTTTGGTTGCCGCCCCCAAAATTGCGAAGCCTTGCTGGGTAAGCTGTAACCTCATCTGCTTCCCCGAAACAGCCGAACATGTTTTTTAATCGAATATTGAGAAACCATGGTGCGCAAGCTTTTTGGGAAAAATCAAGATAGCGTTCCTGGAGTAGCCAGCCTAGAGGAGCTTTATCCCTGCATGAGCCTTATATAATCTTGTGCTGATGACGATCTCAGCATTGCGAAATCTGGGCGTCTGCTGTTTGGAGAATTTGTCTTAACAAGAAGGCTCATGTGGCAGCATCAACCTGGAGGGAAACAATGTCGTTGAAAACGAGGTTGTGGTTGAGCATCATTAAACGCTTCATTGCTGGCACCTGTTCATGGAAGGCGTTGCAACGGAATTTGTTTTCACCTGGGTTGTTGCCCCTCGCAAACTTGGGGGGATATCTTGACCCATGCTGCAGGCATGTATGTTTATAAACATACCAAACACAAAACAGTGAACAATGTAATGATAATAGCGATAGCAAAGCTACACATACACATACGCATACACACACATATATATATATATTCACATATTATGTATGTAGGTCGATTTATATACACGTATATATAATATCCTAGAATACACATGCATATATATATATTTCTGAGTCGCCCGGCCAACATACTGATCACTGCCAGGGGGTTCACCTGCGCTTTTCACAGCGGACTGTGAACCAAGCCCCAGCAGGAAACAAAACAAAACAACAACAACAACAACAACAACAACAACAGCAACAGCAACAGCAACAGCACCAGCACCAACACCAACACCAACACCAACACCAACACCAACAACAACAACACCACCAACAACAACACCACCACCACCACCACCACCAACAACAACAACAACAACACCAACACCAACACCAACACCAACACCAACACCAACAACAACAACAACAACAACATGTTGTGGCCTATCAACTTTGGAGAGTTTGTTGGGGTAACCTGTAAAGTAGATGAGATATAACTATTGGGTTTGCGGTAGTTAAGTGGTTTTGGGTTTATGATAGATAAAACATGATATAAGTATGGTTGGATAAGATTATAAAACAAACAACATAATTACAAGGTGGTGCCCTCTGGGTAAGTTTGTTGGTTTACTGTACCCATCTCTCAGTGTAGAGATATCTACAAGAGATCCTTGTCGGCCCAGTTAAAAAACAACTTGGCTAAGGCTTTCTCCCATGACACATTTCCATACATTTCCTGTATGCACCAGAAGACCAAAGAATAGGCAAGGGTTTGTTTCCGATAGCTTGTTATCAAATTGTCTATCATGTGCTCTTTGGAAATTAGATGTCTGAACAGACTGGGTTTGAAAAGACTGGGTGTTAGACAAAAAAGGGTATAGAGATAAACTGTTTCTTGCTACTTGTGGCAATGTGGCAACAACCAATCCAGAACGTGGAGTTCAAACAAACAGGAGGCCGAATGGTCGAAACAAACACAAAAACGAATGAGACCTAGGACATACTACGACATGCAAAGTCACAGAGTATCACATGAGAATTTTATACATTTTTGATATCCCATGTTTGGAACCTAAAACCAACCAATCAACCAGCAGCCCCAGCCCCAGCCCCAGCCCAGCGCCTCTTGCAGTGGCCGAAGTGCTGACTCCCAACTGAGGCCCCCAGTGATCGACAGGTAGAGAGTCAACATGCCTCCGTGCTGTTCTGGATCGGGATGCATAGACAGTAGGGGCTGGAGGATATATCGGATATACCACAGGAATGAATGATATTTTGATAATGCGATTGATATCGATGAATCCTGAACTTGATTTCACATCTTATGATCCACCATCTATACTTTCAGAGCAAAATGAAGCATGACGGACTTGACTTGAAATGCCAACCACATACAATCTCTTTAAATGCTGAAGATACATTCCTGATAGAAACATCAAAAAGTCTGGGCACGGCTCAAACTTAAGGCGTGGGTACCAAAGATTTGGCGATAGCAGCTGGAACGAGAACTTTTCATCCAATATATTCATCCATACATTCATCCATGTTCATCCATTTTCGGTACATCATTTTATACCCGCTCATTGACATCCCATCCAAGTTCCCTCCCTGCTTCTCACATCTTCCCATGACCGAGCTGCTATTGCCCACGGAAGCCCAGTACTTGGTCAAGGAATTCGGGCACTCTGCGGGGTCATCTTGATACCTCCACAGGTGACACCAGCCAGGTGAATGGATGCCAAATTGAGATTTATGACGTACTTATTATGGACACCACAGTTAGATTAAAAAATAATGATGCGTTTAGCAATACAAACATTAAACATTAAAGTGACAACTTGAGAAAGGCACATGTAGCCTTAAATGATGAGTTTGTTGCTGTTTGACGATGTTTTAATTCTCGTCGTTAGAAGTGTTGCTTCAGAGCTATAGTCCCTTTGGCCACCAGCTTCTGGGATGTGAAGCTTCAAGTCCTTAGCCATTTCTTTTTTTCTAGAACCGACTCAAATTGAATGTGCATGAAAATTAGAGACTTTGTCGGCTACTCTTCAGATACAATGAAAAAGGACAAGTTCCGCAATAGAACAAACTGCTTTCCCATCTTGTGACTTTGGCTCTAGCTCAAAAAAGGCTACCGATGGACTTCAAAATTGATGATTTCTTCATATTTAACATCAAAAACATAGTATGAATATGAAAATTGATGAACAGGGTATATAATTAAACAAAAATGATGCATAAGATTCAAGAGTATCAAACAAACTTCATCCCGGAACTGACTCAGGGTGCAAATCGGACATCGGTCGACCGGATCGACCCGGCCTGCAATGGTCCGTCACTAACTGCGTGATGAAAACACCAAAACCTGCGTGGCGTGGCGGATGTCAACCATCTCCAGGAAGGCGGCTTCAATTTTTTGGGTTTTTGTCTGAAAAAAGGAAGGCACCCATCGTTTTCCAACAAATCAGCCAATGATGGATAGTGGTTGCCATGATTATTTTGGATAATGGATTAATATGGATTATATGAGGTTGTTCATATGATAATTGTCTATAATTGCATGGTACAAAGAGCTGAATTGGGATATCCCATTCTGAGCTTTGACCATGGTTTACCCTGCGTAGAAAAACACCTGTGGAACCAAACCAATCATAAATGCTGATGAATGGATGCCATTAGCACCCATAACTTCTATTGATTCAAGGTAATTCTGGGGGAGTCCGTTGTTTTGCGCTGAAATTCAGGAGTTTCCTGCAACTCGTTTCGACAACATAAATCCCCTTGTTTGATTGTTACAGTAAACGCCAACTTTTTGGTGGTCAAAAGGTCAAATCCCAAATTTACATCAATTTATGATGGCTAAAACCCAACTCGTTTGTTAATCTTGAAACGTTAAGAACCAAATGAGCCATTAAGAATACCCCTGTCCCATTTCGTTTCATTAGTTGGTTGATAGATTTCCCTCCTATGGGTTATCACAATCCCCAAACAAATCGGTAGTATAAGTCCCTAGTTCTTGACCAATCAACCAGGGTATTTTGTTCGTGGCTCAAATAAGCACATCCAAGGAACAGTAAATGTTCATCACCAAAAGTACCAAGGTCCAGAGCAAAGAGCTCATGGTGCTCACAATCGAGAACCTAAGCTAAACATCCATAGCCACGCAGCTATGTTGGTGACGCTTCAAGGGTTTTGAGACCCATAGTATGGGAAAATATGGTACGCTCATCTTGCAATTTTGATCATTTATATAATTTATACACGTATGTACATATATATATAATATAATTATAATATATATATATATAGTTATATATCATATATATATATATATAATTATGTATACAGGATATATATATATATACCCTGGAAGTCCAGGGACTCAAAAAGAACGTCCTCATGAAAATCCGTAGAAAGTGGATCAAAAAGGAACGTCCATGTAAAATCCTCATGATGTACCTTTTGAGGTCCCGGACCTCAAAAGGAACGTTGCTATAAACATCCTGTTGATGTACCTTTTGAGGTCCCAGACCTCAAAAGGAACGTTGCTATAAACATCCTGTTGATGTACCTTTTGAGGTCCCAGACCTCAAAAGAAACGTGGCTATAACATGCTATATAATATGCTATAATCATGTCCAAAATGAGGACAAATCTAGAATCGTGAGAAATCGTGAGTTTTCGTGAGTAGGCCCTCTAAAAGGACCAAAAAGGAACGGTTAAGGCCCTAAAAGGTACAATATAGCGATCTAAAATCGTGAGAAAATCGTGAGAAATCGTGAGTGCATGCATCACATTTTGATTTTAAACACATGGGGGTCATGGAAGCCAAACATCCATTGCTATAACCCTCGGCCGTAGAAACCATGACATTGCTACAAACCCTCGGCCGTAGAATCCAACAACATTGCTGTAAACCCTCGGCCGTAGAACCTCGGCATTGCTATGGTTTCTCGGCGATGATCCCTTTTTGTGGCACTTTTCCTAAGGACTCAAAAAGTACGGCCTTGGGACTCTTAGGGATATATATACATACAACTAGTACGCCGATACCTTGTGTTTTCCCGGAATTCAGAGAATACCTCTGGTGTAGGGAAGTCTCGGTTTTTCCGAAAATTGTTGCTGAGGCCTTCATTTATCAGGTCGTGTCTGCGAGACACCCGTACTGAACGGATACAAAGCCCGTATTTTACCACTAAGCCGCACTTTTTCCAAGGGTTGACTTGGATTGCAGCCTTGTTTTCATTGCTGGTTTTATCTGTGGGAAGTTCAGAAAGAACGACGGCAAATACAGAAGAAGCGGCTTTGGCCAGAAAACATTTTTTCGCAAAAGCTACAACTTTTATCTCCAAACCTTGGGTATGTTTGTACAAGTGTGTAAAACCCTATATCTCTATCGGAGCAAAGTCCTGAGAATTCTCAGAAACCATGCCCACGTGAACAGGATTGGTTGGATAAGCATGTCGGTCACTGAGTCCTTAATCACAGGTGTATTTGTGAACATGCCCTTCTTTGATTTCAATATGATATAGTTGAGAGTGTCTAGAAATAGGATATACCCTCGCACTGGGCGTTGAATGGGAAAAACATTATGATGGAGCAGTGGATTTCGGGGTACTTGAATGTCATCCCACGTTGTAACTGGTGAACACGCCTCATATAACTGGCAAAGTTCGATATATAGAACTGGATTGTAACTATGACCATTATCATGGTTTCAAAGCACTTTCTGACTCAGATGCACATAAGTACCTTTTCAATCTCAACTCAGTATAGCTTCTTGGATTTTTCTGAGAATGCTTTGGGTCAAATCGCTCAGAGCCCCAATCCATCACATCCGCAGAATTCTGGTGCTTGGCTCACCAGAAGTTTTCATGACACCAAAAAACTTCCCCCCCAAACACTTGGATGAAAAAAGGCCTATCCCACCAACTTCCATGGCCCATCTTGGAATACCCTGCCTGAAAAAGAGCTGATTGGTCTAACTATGTCCAATCATGGCAAAAGCTTAGAGTATCAAACGAAATTTGCCAGCCGGATTTTTACAGTATCCATATTTGTGCGAGGTTAATCATATCCCAATACTTAAATCCCCAGAAATTCGCATGTTTTCATGGTTCAATCCCAATAAATCACCATTTTTCTTGGCCAATTCCCATGTTTCCGTGCCGCGCTACACGATAGTCCGCAGGGACCCAATGTAGCGCAGCAGGCGGATCACACGCACGCCGCGCAGGGCGCGGGCCAAACGTGCGAAGCGCATCACTCGAAGGTGGCCTCTTTGGGGATGAAACCGGAAAAAATGGAGGATTTAATGATGATTTATGGCGATTCTATGGTGATTTTATGGTGATTCATGGGAAGATCATGGTGGTTTTATGGTGATTTATGGTGATTCATGGGGGGATCATGGTGATTTTATGGACATGTTCATGGGAAATGTTGGTTGAACCATGGGAAAATGGTGATTTATGATTGCCTTTTGATGGGAACATGCAGAGTTAATGGAGATTTAGCCGTGAAACATGATGAGTAATGGGGATTTTACTGGTGATTTATGCAATCTGGGGCCCCACAGTGATGGCTATGTTGAAATGTTGGTTTATCAACCCCATGAATACTTTAGGTATAAGTATCATAAAACATAATGATTGGAGTTACAAACCAACTTTGCCATCTTGGGGGGGGGGACATTTTATGGGGATTCGACCATTGAACAATGGCATTTATGGTGATTTAAGAATCAAACATGATGATTAGTGGGGACTTGACCATGAATGGGAATCTAAATGCTATTTACCCATCGAAACATTGTGATTTTGTTTGATTTACCCATCAAAATGAAGGAATTGCAACCATCAAGGAATTGGTTGTCATCTCAGATTTTTTGTGGATTTAAGCATTGAACATGTAGCTTGAAATACCAAACACCAAAGGCTTGGAGATTGGGCGTATAAATTCGAGCTTTTGCAATCAAACACAAGGGGCGTTTAACATAGTTTGACCATGAAATACGAGATATACGAGATTTAGACAAAGCTGTGGAGTAACTAAGAAACATTGGGATTCGACTAGCAAGGTCTGGAATTCACCGATCACATGGGGAAATCCGTGACACCAATTTTTAGTGATGAAATCCATCATCCCAGGTGGGATTGGGGTAATCCCACCAAAATGTGTTTTCAACTTGCTGGTGGATTAAGGCACAATCCTGGGTAAAAAAGCGTGTTTCCAAAATGCGACAGAGATGATGCTTTCCCACATATTTTTCAAGTTCCAACTGTTCTATGTTGTGGCCAGGCTGCTGGAATTCATCTCACCTGCATTGAAGAATGCCTCAGCTGCTTCAGCCGTAGGCACGAGGCCATTTATTGGGATCCCTTATGGTCATTGATGCTCCATGTTGAAGCTTGGGATCCAGATGTCACATTTTTTTTCGACTGGTCGGTGGCTAACCCAGCCATCTACAGCTAGAGCCATCGAATATCAACAAGGTCTTTACCAATCATCAACTATCATCAACTGTTAATCCAGGGATGCCTAGGAAAGAAAAAAAACAACTCATTTGAACCACCAACTAAATCGTAACAAAAATTGAATACCACCCAGTTGTTGGATTTGCTTTTAGCAAAGAGGACCAATATTAGTGTCGTCCCAAGAGTCTAAACAAAAATAAAGTCCTCCCCACATGACTCGTGGGACAAAGGTTGAATCTGCTACTGGAGATGTTACTTTTTTCCGAAAGATTTGAGAAAACCATGGGCAGAGCCCCATGAATCATTTGGTTGCATGAGTGCCAGGCTAAATGATGATTTGAAACTTGATATAGACGCGCTCCCAGGGAGCATAATACCATGGGAAAAACCATGGTAAAAAGCCACGAAAGCACGAGGCAAATACCATCGTTCGAGTGAGGTCGCAGTGAGGTCGTTACAATTTAGCCAGATTTTGATGCTTGAACCCATCGGGGGTCAGCGTTGGACAAGCCTGACATCATCTTGCTATCCCCATGATATTCCACAGACTATCTCAATTAAATGGTTGGTTTAATCCGAATTCAGGTAAATATAGGCTTCTAATCCATTATAGTTATTATATGTTATTATTTTAGTGACCCACTGATATCCATTGATCCCATTAACTTTCATCTGGTATCAACATAAAATTGTTGGTTTTATCATGTGTTATCCCGGTTGAAACGGAGATTCCTCTTTGGATATCCCAACACCCGGAGCAGGGGGCCTCAAAAAGCAGCTCCATGCCAGTCTCTGCCAGAGATAAACCCACAATGACCTGGGTCTTTTTTACTAAGGCAGACATATACTGTAATGTATGTATGTATATTATATTAATGTAATGTAATGTAATGTAATGTAATGCAATGCCATGTAATGTAATGTAATGTAATGTATGTATAGATATACGTATATATATATATATAGATATGATATAACATCTGGGACATCAAAATAATATTATCCACTAGCTAGATCATTTTGAACTATGCTTCAAGTTTATTACTCACAAGTTATATTAGCATCACTATATTTCATATCTATCTATCTATGACTATGTATATATATGAGCCCGGTCCCCGGACCCCCACACCCCCCCCCTCCCCCCAATGGTATCCCCCCCCACTCCTAACCCCCCCCACCCCCCCAAAACCTAGTATTTGCATGTTATTTGCACATATACATACACATATACACATATATACTCCCCTTTCCACCCCTCCAACCTCGCATCTCTACGTTATTTGCAGCACTTGAGAGCCACGACCTCGTCAACGGACCTTGTCTACCTGTATATTTCTATCATAACCTTTTTTTCGAACCGCCTATAGCGTGCCTCGCACATGGTTTACAACATATTTGCTACCTATGGATTACGCAAAGCTTACCTATGCAAACCTAGACATATGTACAGTAGAAAAACAATAAATACATATATATATATATATGCACATTCTAGATACTACAGATTGATATCTTGATCTTGTATCTATCACATATTTCGTTTACATTGTACATACTGTACACGTATATATATATATATATGTATATATATATGCATATATATATATACATAAACTCTAGATATACAGCGTGTATTGCTGTCGATATTCAATATACCACATATACTATGTAAAATTTATTCAACGAACATATTTACCTATATTGTATATATTACATCTACTGTGGATACAGTACATGTGGCATATACTATCTATATTCTATCAAAAACCACATATACGATGTATATATATATGTTCAATTATATATATATATATATGTCAAATATATATATATATATATTATAAATATATATACATATATTATATATATATAGATTGCATATATTCTATTTATATCTTACATATTATATATATGTTTATATATATATACACTACACATACACTCTATGTTACATATAGTATATCCATTCTAATTATCGATACATATGCATCATATGCACTATAAAGACTACATACACCATGGCTTGGCTGCTGAGAAAACACCCCCTCCCCTGCCACAGGGGCGGGGGGAACCATCTGGCTGGGTGGGGGGGGGTGTGGGGGTCCCTGCTCATATATATATATGCAATTAGGTTATACATACACAATATGGGATTGTACATAGTTGGGGTATGCAAATCAAACGCATATTACTCTATAATAAGCAACTATTGGATTTGTGACCTATCAGGATCATAAATAAAATCATATCAATATGGAAGATGTACGTATGTTTGATTTGATGTGGGGAAATGGATGCCCTATATCTGATAGGGAATAATATCAGAGCTGCAGAAAAAAACACATATCTTCATACGGGTGCCCCAAACATGAGGCTTCAATTCTATTCTATTTTGTGGTATATTAGTATGGAAAAGGGCTTAGACATCGCATTCGGGTCAGATGGTCTTCTTAGAGTGAACAAGTTTTTTGGATACCCTGACTGGCTGGAACATCCTCTATCTGCCGTTTATGGACGGGAAAATCATGCGTCTCCAGGTGGCAGTTGACAGGCTAAAGCAGCTTCTTTGGTGAAAAACTGTGAGATGTGAAAAGTCATGAGAAACAATGTGAATGGAGAATTTCAGGAGACATGAATCTAGAGATCTAAGCATAAATAGCAACATTGTAAGACACCCCACCTGTAGATCTGTCTTGTCTTGTTCATCCTCAGCAGAGCCAATTTCTACACATTCAAAGGTCAGAAGCCCATCTTTCAGCCCTGTCTGCACATAGGGCACCCCAAAATCTCATGGATTCTGGTCCTTTCTGAATTGAGACTGCCATTAAAATCACCGGAAAAAGGTGACATCCCATAGATCCATAAACTATCTATGAATATCTGCATGGCATGCATACAATGATTGGTCCCTCATGAAGCTGGAGAGGTTCTATTCCCATGATACTTGCCCTTAAAAGGTGTTTTTCATGTTTAGAAGTCCTAGTTCTTCCAAGCAAAATCCCAACTTTTCATGGTACCACCAGGAAGAGTCTGTTCCCTTCACCGTCAAGCGTCAAAATCGAAGATGTTCCAAAGGCGCTCGCGACCACAGAAGAAGTTTCGGCCTCAATGGCATTGTGGGGCACCATGGCCGCTGGGATGTGGTTTCTTGGGGAGTTGTTTCTTGGGAGGTGCAGTTCTACTAAAAGTAGTTATGTATATGATGTTATGTAATGTTATGTAATGTTATGTAATGTTATGTAATGTTATGTAATGTTATGTAATGTTATGTAATGTTATGTAATGTTATGTAATGTTATGTAGATAACTTAGTTGTAGGGGTTATATCCCAACCTATATGGTGGTAATTACCATAGCTATACCGATGTTTCACACCCCCAACTGCACACCCAAGCATAGTAAGTCAACCCTCTCAGCAACCAGGACTGCGGGCTGTTGTTTATGAAGTTTATGGCACCTCATTAAGATATGGGGATGGGTCAAAACCCTGGTACCTAGTGAACCCCAAAATAGCTGGTAAATGGATGTTCATCCCACTAAAAATGTATCTATAGGTATTGACGCATACCCATATGGGAAATCCATGAGCAAAGGCAGGTAGACAAAACAAGTACCGAAAAAAAAGTTCATAGCATGGGTGACTGTCAATGAATCGGATACCCCAAATCCCGGTACACGGTATACACTGTATACCCCGTTTTTCGGACGCACCCACATGGTGGGCTTCCATGTGCATTACTGGAAGGTCTCACGCCCAAACACGCGAAACTCGGTACTCCTTGCCATTACTCAGTAATTTGGTGCTAAAGAAACATGAGTTTCATAATTTTCCATAAATTCACCATAATTTTCCACAATTGCCCCATAAATTTACATCCCAGGTGTTCAGTTTTCTCATCATCACCACCGGCCTTCCGCCGGTGTTTCTGCGGTGCCGAGCTACAACCATAGGCACCCCACTTCATCAAGAGCTCCATGAGGAATAAGATCACAATAATCTGATTAGTGACCTGCAAAACCGAGGCTACCCATGGCTACCCTGAAGTGTGTCTTCAAACATGGCTGGGAAATCCCTTGTAGATATCATACATGATCATTTAGAAGAGAAAAACATGGAAACAAATCGTTTTTTTCATTGCTATCTTTGATTACCAGAGGGTACCAGGGTATGGATCAAGAGTGGAGTAGTCAGAAAAAACTGAGATGAATGATAGTAAACCTGACTTTCATACATTATGACATACCATCTTCTACCATCTTACGCCCACATTTTTTGCTATGGCTTAACCTCGCAACTTGGTATCACTGCCCTATACTGGGGTAAGTCACTGAGGCCACCTTGGCGACTGTGATAGGATGGGCAGCACGGCGAGCTTCCATTTCAATTCCTCTACTTTCCAAGCTCCATCCATTCCATATTATCCTCGCGCTTGGCTAGATGGTTCTTTGGAGGTGCCTTACTTCCAAGCATTTTTGATGGACATGCAATCATTATCCTGAGACCAAGCTCCATCCGAAACAACATCTTTTCAGGGAAGTTACATCATCCAACAAGTCACCTTACCTGCCCAAACCCTGCGATCTGCAGACTTTATCACGGGTCGCAAGAGTCAGGAGTCCAGAATGAACTACAAGATGGTTGGGTGTTGCTTGGGCATTTAACATCGTCTAACACCTGCAACTTAAATGAAACTGAATTTCACAGAACATACACGGCTGCTGCAACATGATGCAGGATGACGCCCGGTTGTAACGGTTCCACCTCAAAGCACAATGTTTGAGGTTTAAAACACGATGTTTGATGAAATCCCCTATCTTTCTTGGTTAAATCACATTAAATATCATTAATTCACCATTTTGCCTGGTTAAATCACCATGAAATCAGATCTACATAATTGTGTTTTAACCATAAACCATGCCCCAATCCTGTCCCGGAAACTCATCCAACCAATGCCAGTTGCCTCGAAAATGGGAGGTTCCGCCCCTGGCTGCAAGTTGGCGGCATAATCCACCTGCGGCAACGGCCATGTAACGCTCATGGATTTTGAGAAAAACAAACTATAAACATCTATAAACTATAAACCAGTATAACATGTTTATAAACGTTACTATGGTTTATATCTATAAACCAGTATAAATATTCCTGAGAGCCCTTCCAATCTGAGAAAGCTTTATCTTTTGGCTCCATGGCTCCAGTTTTCTGCTTTCGTCGGTCCCAGGCTGGACGAAGAGCAAGCGGCTTCACAGGCTGAGAATCAAGATCCATCAAGATCCCACATCTAAGGATTCCCTTGGCAGCCACCCATCAATGCCTCAACACCAAGAATGATAAGGTTCAGCATGATCAGCAACTGCCACGCGTGAAAGCCCAGGCAGTTAGTATTTACATGTATGTACACGACATTCAGACAAATTTACATATCCGTTTATCTTTACACATCTTTACGATAGTGATGTTTGTACATACATTATGTAAATACGTATGTTATGTCTGCTATGTAATAGTTTTTCAACATCAAAGAACAGTGCACACAATTGCTGCACTATGCCGTTGGCATCGGGAACCTTACTCCTGAAAAACATCAAGCCTTCTGTATCACACGCCCATTGAAAAAAACAAAAAAATCATCCTCTTGACATTGCCCAAATTCCATGAGGAACAGGCAAACCATGATCGAGTCAAAGTCATGTAAACCATGATTAAATAATGATTAAATCGTGATCAAATCTTGTACAAGATGATTCTCATTTCTTTCCTAGATCTTGATCTCTAAAAATCACACCTGCACGCCGTTGGAGAATGTGTTAGAGGAGACCTGCAGGCGAACGTTTAGCTGGGGATGTTGCAGCCCGTGAAATCACCAGCACTATGACTGCAGCGGTTTGATCAATAATGATGATGATGATGATGATGATGATGACAATAATGGAGGGATGACAATTATAATGACAATATTGATGATGATAATAATGATGATGATGATGATGATGCTAAAATGATCAATCATTGATAAGTATGCTAATAATTCTTGGAGGGATAGTCAATAGTGATATAATGGTAATCACAATCAATAAACCAACAATATCCAACAAAAAGACATAGATAACTAAGATGCATCCCGGAGATAGATGTTTCACCAGCAATTTTTGGGTATGGCATGGGAAATTTCCATTGGAATATCATCGGGATATAACCCACAATCTGATTGTGGGATTGAAGCGGGTAATTGGGAATACAATGGGGGTATAATAGGAATATATCGCCAACAATATAATAGTAGAAAAATATTGGAAAATCTGCGAAAATCGTGGACCATTTCACAGACATGAACAAAGTATATATATATAGTGATTGATATATTTTGAGATGTCCTAATTCATGGGATATCAAAGTTATATGGGTTTGGATGGAAACTGCGTGCCTGGGTAAATCGACTTGGCCCATCAGAAACAACAACAACAACTACTACTACTACTAATAATAATAATAATAATTAAATAATAGCCATAATCATAAATACTTATATCGCTTATATCATTGTTTTATTTCTGTGTGTACCCTGCAGTAATCATACCTAGCCTAGCAAAAAAAAACAACTCAATGATGGCGATTTGCAGCCTGGAGGGATGACTAGATGATTTCAGGGATTTCCTGGCTGGCGATGTTTGATTACTGAAAGAAAAAAGACATATGTTTAAGCTGTTTAAAGTTTAAACAATCTTCCAAAGTCCCAGGCCATCTTTCCCCCGACAAAACAGGACGAACATGTCAAGTAAAGCAGTAGGCACAGCCCCAGGCCGTTTGTTTTCCATGCCTAAAAGGGAAAAAAAACATACAATACCATACCCAGTTCGCACAGCAACAGGCAATTTTCTCCGCCAAGTTCTTGTATTTCACCTCCTGAACAGTGTAACATGCATGTTGCAAGCAAGTGGGCGCTGGGATTTATAGCCAGACTGCAAGACTGAGTTCAGAAGCCCCAAAAAGCTTCTGGTAGGATTCATCTCCAGTCTTTGTAGGATTCATCTCTATCTGCTGCAAGATAGATCCAAACATATCCATTTCGAGGGTTCCAGCAACAAGAACAAGAACACCAAAACAAACAGGGGCTTGTAAATGAAAACATAACCAGAATACATATATATATATATTTATACACAGATATACATCTACACATCTGCACCTCTACACATACTCCATAGTCTCATCAGAGGCCATCCATAGCTGCCAAAGGCATGTTGTGATCTCAATCATAGGAATTCAGCTGTGTTAAAATTTTGAGCCATGGACATACGATTTGGATGCTTCCCTAGGAGTTTCACTGATAGCCATCGCTTTTTGGATACCCATGGCCAATCTTGTCCGGAAAAAATCCAATGGTTAGATACATCCCCTTCATGGAAAAACAAAGACACTTTATAAATATGTATATATACTACATACATGTCTATCAAACTACAAAATGGGTATGTGGAGCGCAATGATCTAAGGCTGGCAATCTCCAATGGGTCAACTCAGTAGTGGACCCTCCGAGTTCCATCATCCAATACCCAGCAAGAAATCCCATAACATCACCAGTACTGAAGTACTTCTACATCTTTTACCTATGATTTCCTCTGGACTCTCATAAATATCTCCCATGAAACCTGAACTCTTTCCATGTTTTTGCTACTTGGATCCACCAAACGGACCTCGAAGGACGCGGAGGGCAACGTCAGTTGTTTGGTCATCTTCACCGCCTGACCCGTGCCCCATGGTTTATCAGCAGACAAATCCATAATATGAGTATAGGTATAGGTCAAAATTGGGTACCCCAAATTTCCAATATTTGCAGACGGCTCATACTCAACATATACTAAAATCTCTGGTCCCATAGGGCTGAATTTTTGACTCATCCTGTTCTCTAATATTTGATGGCCATGACTGGGTGAAACAAACCCCATGTACAGACAAAAACATATTTACCCATATTACTTTCGCTATGGCAAAATTCTGGTAAATTTGTAATTATAGTCACTCTCATTGACAAATTGTCTCTAACTTCAAGGAAACTAATTCTTCACAAAAAAAAAGGATTTAATCCCTTCCCTTCATATTAAACACCCAGAAACCATGGTTTAGAGGATGCAATTATCATGGTTTGGGATCATTCAGTGGTGTTTGGAATGGGGGATGGGATGGTGATAGATACTATTTTAGCAATATTGATAAATAAGTAGTATCAATCAGTGTTATCAACAATCAAGACATGATAGCAGTAATTACAATATCAATATTGTCTAATATTAACATACTTTATTGGATTGTCAGTATCAAATCTCCACCCAAACATCCCTAGTTCAAGATTCTCAGTATTTCAATATTTCAAAAATGACAAAAACCGAAACAAGAAACCAGATCATTTGGTGATAGATCGACCCAAAGAACCCCAGGTTTTCCGGTATTCTCATTGTGGTCCCCTGAGAGTCCCATGACGGCCCCGTCAGGCCATCATGCCACCCATAAACGAACTAGCTGATCATAATTGGTGAGTAGTTTGGAGGTGGCCTCCATAAGTAACATATATATATACATATATGTACAGTATATCAATGTATATCACTAGTCAGGGTTTATGAAACTGGGTTTCAGGTTAGTCATGGGATTTTATACCACACATACCACACCTGCTTCTTATGTTCATCGAGTTCTCCGTTTGCATCGAGCAAATCCGCCTGGAGTAGCTATGATTCGATGCAGCAAATGATGGTGATTTGATGCTAAAACATGCTAAAACCCAGCAACGATACGAACAGAACTAAATTTATCAAGTGAAGTGTAGACAACGATATGCAATTATTATTTTTGGACACCGATAGTTATGACCTCAGAGAATCGACAATTCGAGTTGTGACCCACAACTTCCACGGTAAAATTCCAGTGGGGAAGTTGGGGTAATCTCATGGTTCTACCATGGTTATACCCATCAAATGTCGATGTTTTTTGTGTTTTGCATCCGGTGTGCGATTTCCCAAACTACGGATCATATCGTTCTTGGCGTTGTATGTTCCCACTGTATTCCCATGATATTTCCCTTAGCCACATATTGCTACTTAAATATGAAAAAACTCCATGCTCTCCCAAAACACCAGTGATATCCATGATATCGTGATATTCAACACACATCTCCATTATATTCCTGATTTGCATTTCATTACCTTTACAGTCCAGTTGTTATCAACTACAATGAATTCAATATGTGTTAATCATTTCCTACCCATAGTTGCTCGTTAAATCCCAATCAGGTTGTAAAATAATATCCCCATGAAATTCCAGTTAAATCCATCATGACATTGACTATCCTGGTTATAAACTATTATATATTGCTGGTGAAATACGGTTAAATTCCACAACTATGGGTGAAACACAATGGGATTCAATATTTAATCAACGTGAGTGAATCAATAAAAATACATCACATTTCATAACCGTCATAGGAAACTGGGATCCAACATTTTAGCCAGTACTTGGAAATGCGGTACCAGTTATAAGTGGATAAAAAAAATAATAAATAAATATTAAATTATTAAATAAATAAATAAATAAATAAATGAATAAAAAAAATAAATAAATAAATAATATATACATACATACACATATTTATAACCATAGCTATACATAGTTCATATCCCAACGTATGGAGGTTTATCTGTGGTTGTACCAATGGGATTCACCTCAACTGCACCCCCAAGTATCCTCCGATGGATCTTTACCAAACCACAACTGCCGAGGCTCCCAGGAAGCAGCACCGATAGACATCTCGCCCACATCTCCCTCCTCAAAGAACCGGCCGCAGGTGAGAACTGAAGTGAGAAACTATAGTGACTTTACGTTGCACATACACACGTATACATATTATATATATACATGTATATATATATATATATGTATGTATGTGTGTATGTACAGCATGTAGTTAAATGTAGATATTGAAAAATGTATGAGTATGTCTGTGCCAATGTCTATGTATATGTATACGCACATATGAATTTAGATATGTAAGTAGTATGTATCAACGAAAATTATCCATGATGAACAAACGTCTCGGGATTTTCTGGACTTCTTTGAGTCGGCCATTGAAACCGTTTGAAAGTCTCCCAGTTTCCCCTGAAAATTTTGGCCTGTATTCAAGTAGAAATTTGGGAAACATATTCCACAAAAACACATCAAATTAACCAGCACCAGAATTCTTGCGTCACTACTTGTGATATTCGTATGACAAAGCGCCTCTGCTTGTGTCCAACCGATCCAAAACTTACAAATTCTTACAAAACCCCAAGAATTCAAGGCCACTTGTTCATCTCTGACATACCATTGTTTTTTGCGGTGCAATGTGTAGTGATATAAAAAAAAATATACAGCATGTACACATCCTTTTATAGTTGTGATTGGTTTGCCAGGACATGTATTCATATCACCGTCCAATCTATATCCCATAAAAAAAATCTCACGATCTAGTAATTCATCCAAAAAACAACGAAACCATGTTTTTCGACGATGTGAAAACACCCTGAAAACACCTGTAAACATTAACATAAATACCTAAGTGAACTTTCGTTTGTTTCCTGGAATCCCTGCGCGTTTCAACGGTCGCGGCGCAGGCCTGGGCGGCCGCCCCTTGGGCCGATCCGCTGGATCTGCCAGAGACGGCGGGCAAAATGTCATCCGAACCTGGCAATGGTTTCCGCAGGGATTCTGCAAATTCACGGCTGAAGATTGATATGACATGATATTATATGAAAGGAAATGATATAAATCGGAAAATGAAATGAAATGATACACGATATGATCTGAAATGAACTGAAAATAAATGTTATGATATGAAATGATTTGACATGAAAACATATGATATGATATGATAAATTATATGATATATGATATGAAATGCAATTATATGATATGCTATGATATATGATATGATATGATATGAAAAGATAAGATATAATATGATATGTTACAAATGAAATATGAAATGATATGAAATGAAAAGAAAAGATATATGAAATGAAAGGAAATATAATATATAAAATATGCTAGGATATGACATATGATATAATATGGTATATGCTATGCTATGATATATGATATGATATGATATGAAATGATTTGAAAGGATATGGTATTATATGAGATATGATATGCTATGATATATGAAATGAAATGATAAATGATTTGCTATGATATGATTTGATATGATATCGAAAATGAAATATTATGATATGATATATGATATGGAATGATAAATGATATGATATGATATGATATGAAATATGATATAAGAGATGGTATGAAATATGATATGATATATGATATGATATGAAATATGATATGATATATGATATGATATGAAATATGATAAAAGAGATGATATGAAATATGATATGATATATGATATGAAATGAAATGTGATATGATATATGATATGATATATGATATGATATGAAATATGATATGGCATAAGATAAAACTTATGATATGACATATGATATGATATGATATGAAAAGACATGATGTGATATGAACCGCAAAGAAATGATATGATATGACATGTGATATGATATGAAATGATATGTAAATCGATGATATGATATGATATCAAATGTGACATGATATGGTATGATTTATGCTATGATATGACATATGATATTATATTTGATATGAAAAGAAATGATATGATACGTCATGAAATGTATGATATGATATGATATGAAAAGATCCGGTATGAAATGATATGAAATGATAATTTGACATGAAATCAAATGATATGATCTGATATGATGACATGAAATGATATGATACGGTATGATGTGATATGATATGATGTGATATGATATGAAATTAAATGATGTTTTGAAATGGAATGTTATGAAGTTGTATGATGATATGATGTGTGTAAACATATATATATGTATACATATAGATCATGACAAAAAAACACATGTACATATGTGCCAGTAGAGCCCGGGCCGGCGAAAGTTTCGAAAGGAAGGGAAGCCTGTAGAGAGAAGGGAAAGCCTATAGGAACGACGCCTGACCGCCTGGCTGCCACGGCCGTTGACGGCGTCATCTCTTGGAACTCTTGCCCCTTGACATTTCTTTCTCTTGGCGCCCTTTCTTCTTGCCAACTTGTTCTGATCCCATCCCTTTGTCTGGACGCCCTTTTGTCCTCGATCTCCTTTTCCTTGAATTTCTGATGTCTCCACTTTTGCTTGATCCGGTTGCCCTTCCTGTTTCCTGCTGTTTGTCTGGGCGTCTTTTTCTCCCTGACATTTTTTTTTCTCGGCTTCCTCTTCTGATGATGTCACTTTCTCTCGATCCGGTTTGCGCGTTTTCTATCTGAATCTTGACGAGACGCACGACACGTGTAACAAGAGCTGTAATATCTCTCTTGTCCAAGCTCCCATTGCCATGCAGCATGTCGACTTGCGCGAAAGTGCAAGGTCCCATAAAGCAAGTCGAACGTCAAGCTTTGGCAATGCATCCACAACGTGGCTGCAACTTTCCCAAAGGACGTGAGACAAACGCATTGTCTTCGACATGATCTACATCTTGGCTATATTGATCCGGGAGATCTTGACATGTCGTCGCTACATGCTCCGTTGGATTCTGATCTCCCTCGGTGGCCCGGTGGCCATACGCACGCATTTCAGCCGGACCCGTGGCACAGACAAGGTTCCCCACATCGCAGCTGGGACGCGCTTTGTGCGAGAAAACATAGGGTTTCCTGCGACTCCTAACCTTCAAGGGTCACCTTGACGAAGCCATTCTACTTCGATCTGCAATCACTGCCTTGCCTTGCAAATCACAATAGAACTGCGTCAACCAGGACTGCCTGCCCTACTCTCTTCACTTCACTACTCTCTTCGCTTCCCTACTCTGGAGATGAGGTGATGTGGTGGTGTGGTGGTGTGGTGATGTGGTGGTGTGGTGATGTGTTGATGTGGCGATGTGGTGATGAGATGATATGGTGATGCGGTTGTAATGTGGTGATTGTGGTGTTTGTGGTGTTTGTGGTGATTGTGGTGATTGACTTTCTTCAATTTAGACATCTAAATTGTACCTTTGACAATGATACGATTTAGTATCCATGACATAGCATAGCAATGTATATACCAATTTATGTGACAGCAGTAGAATAGAATATCATCAGCATTCATCAACCAAACGGTGTGAAGACTGGTAGGATATGTTGATATTTGGATTCATTTAGCACATAATCATACATAATTATCATACATAAGCGATCATAAGTGTACATAATCTACATGTGGGTTCATATGGGATCATATGGGTTCGTCTGAAAATGTGGTACCCCCAACCCTAATAGTTCATTACAATGTTCCCTTATTAGATAGCCTTTTTTTGTTATATACCGGATTTTCAGACACACCCATATTGATAAATATAGAATATCAATTAGCGACCAATCACAGTTCACCAACGTGCCAGGCGACCATGCTGACCATTGGGAAATGCCCAGGGAACCCAGGGAACATGGACTTCTCCCGTAGGTGCGGCTGTTTTTCTTGGCTGGGTTGAACTAGTCTTGGCTTGGCTGGTTTTACTGCTTTTCCTTTACTGTAACAGGCTGAAGTTGAGCAAACTGATGAAATATTCTTGGACCAGTCTCACAAAAACAAAGTGGAAGGGTGGAGTAACTGATGCTGGGGCCATTTCTTTCCGGACAAATCAACAAGCTTTTTCTGTCCAAGCGGCCAATCATGAGAGACTGCATCGCGTCATTGGTTGCTTTCACCATGACATGCACATCCTCACGGGGTCCAACGGCCAAGGAACCGCTTAGACACCATAGTTGCGATAGTGATAACCCACTGAGTTACAACCTTAAACCATTTTGTACATTAAGAATTAGGAAGTAGGACGTGTGAAAATCTTTTGTGCCAATTCCTTCCAACTCACTACTTTAGAGTGGTCATCCTATACTGGCTGCCCTGTATGAGATGGCGGGTCTACAGGAAAATCTTTTGAAAATTGCAGGTTGAGCAACTGATGGACTGATTGGCTGAATGCAGCAATGAATGCAGCAATGAAAGCGGGAATGTATGTATGTGCGTGAATGAATGGCAATTCCTTCGTGCGTAAATCTATAGATTTCTAAAGGGGAGAGCAAAACAGGTACGCCAGAACAAGGGGTGAAAATTCACTGTTGAGACATTTAGATATTCCAGTACAGTCGACGCATGACGAGAGCTTGCAAGTTTGTATCTGAGGGAAAATCTACCGATAGAGTTCAAGAAAATAATTGCTTAATGGCAGTCTCAGGACCTTTGAGTATCAGTGGCCTTTTTGATAGTGGAATGTTGCTTCAGCATGCTTCGTAGTGTTCACTACCTGTCGCAAGAGACCCACCCATTGGGAGCCAAGCAGAAATCTTTAGCAAGGTTTAGAAGAGAATTTGGGGCGTGCAGTGCCAGAAACACGTGAAAAGGAATCCTTTAAGTTATAGTTATAGCAGTGCGAATGGACAAACCACAATCAAGGAATTCCGAAGCAACTGTTGTACCTATTTCGACTGTAGCATGTTGCTTTTGGATACAGCAGTGTCTATATCGGGATGGTAGGGGTAAACCTTCTGGGACAAAGATTGTGGAAACATCGAGCCACGTCAATACCTATCAAATGATGCACATGGTAATTGAACAATAATCCCATCCTCCTCAGATTCAATACATAATATATATATACACATATCAATATATATATATATATATATCAGTATCATTCAATATCAATATTCCCCATGTGAGACCCCAAAATGAATAGATTCACCATGATTTCCGGGTAGTCTGCTGATCGTGTTCGAGAAAAAAACCGCCAAGGCTATTCCGCTATGCCCTCCTGCAATAGCTTCGTTTGCTTGGCAAACTGCTCCTGGCGACCATGGGCACCAAAAAAGGGCAGCTTGTGACACCTCAAAACCAGGGGATTCCAGGGTGAACTGAACCATACCCAGGGACCCCCCATTTCGCCATCTTAGTATGAAACCAATCATGAGCCATCCGTGATCAATGCACCATGCACCATGTATGGTGCTGAAGTAGACATCCACCTTGCTACTGGGATGGTCCTGGAACTTAGTGGATGCGACTGGGTAGAACCTCACATAACCAAGATCTCTTTGGAGATGTCTATAGCTATACTAACCGTTGAGGACCGTTGAGCATGGAAAATCCAATCATAAATTCCAAGTGATTATGCTTGGTCATAGCCTCGAATTTTGATGAATTTTGAACATCGGCTATTGTTAACTCAATAACCTCGAATAATATCATCAGGATTTTTACATCTATGTTTACCACTCACTATCTGGATTTATAATCCCGCTACTGAGCCGTGTACCTGTCCCCAGGCCAGGGCCTCCATATAGTTTCGAAGACCTTCGGAGCCCTCCATGGCGTTTTCGACACGACGTTCCGCCGGGACAGGCAATTCCATGTCCGAGGGCGATCGGCGATACGCTGATGGCTGGTTGATAATATATCATTTAAATCAGAATATAGAAAACTAGAGTAACTATAGAAATATACGTATACAAAAAAAATAATCTCTCACATATCGTGGTGTCCTTGAATCTGATACCTGGCTCCAAAAGAGTTCCACATCAATCGCCAGTGCTCTTCATCAGGAGCGGCGAAGAAAAGTTTGCTCTGCACAGGCTCTGTGAGGTCTGCAGTCCCAATGTGTGATATGGGATGGTCTAATGGGGCAAACATGGCAATTCTCATTAGAAAAAAGTAATGTGACTCCTTTGGAACTTGGGGATATACGATTTTCAAACAAACCCCAAGCCTGGCAGATTCACACACCAACAGTCTGAGTTATTAGATTCACAAACTGAGCAGATTACTGTTCAAAGCACTGCCAGGAGAATCGCCACCCAGGAGACTGAAAAACCCAGCTTTCATTGCCCTAAAATTACGTCGCTGGGAAATTAATATTTCCAACAGTTACAAAACCCATTTGTAGTTTTTAGTTATGAACATGGTCAATCTAATCGACAATTTTTGAGTTCATCCACTCCAGCAAACAACGCAACAATACAAATCGGACTTACAAACTACATCAAACACAGTAGGTGTCAATCAACTTCAGTCGTGTTTCAATCAATTTCGAATATCACCAGGCCCTCTTTGAGGGATCATCAACCCACAACACCAGGCCAAAATCTGATGGGGGTGGCAACAGCGGCCGATTTTATGTCTATGTGTATATATATATATATATATGGTTGGTGGTTTCATCGTCCCTGGAAAAAATGTATTATTCATTGCAAATTGCCATCCAATATATGGGTTAAGCAAAAACAACTGTGTGAAACCACCACCCATGATGACTCAATATATAAAGATATATATATATATATATATAATTATATAATATTTAAATATATATACAATATATATATAAACAATAGGATATATATATATGATATATATATATATACATGATATAAATATATATAATATATATACACATGATATATATATAATATGATATATATATAATATTATATATATGATATATATGATATATATGTATACATACCATATATATATATTTATAATATGATATATATATATATATATATTATATCATATATATATATCATATTATAATATATATATATCAAATTATATATATATCATAATATATATATATATACATCATATGATATATATATACTATGATATATATATATATATGTAACATTATAAATATATATCTGGTAATCCTTCACTGGCATATGGAAGCCGCCATGCTAGGCACGGCACGTATTTAGAGAACGAAGGATATTAATAATGAACAAGATTTGACAAGAAGTGAGTTGGGTCCACCAGGTTTCATCTGGCGCCATGTGTCCCCAGGAACTCTTTCACAACCCCAGTGACAGAATCTAACACCTGCCAACCCATGGAACCTTCTCAATTCCATGTAGATGAAACATACAATCTACATCAATCTACCCTATAGATAGAGCCTCAAACAGGGTATCCAATTATGTATCAAAGCATTGACCCCCTGGTCTGAGCCCCCTGGGTGATCCGTCCAAGAAACATGGTCAACTTGGGTGACACTCCAAGCGTGGAGAACAGTGCAACGACTGCTACAGGATCCGTGGCAGACAGCACCTGACGTACGAGGCCGCAATCTGATTGGAGTCTAAAACCGACATAGAAACAATGCCAGTTCGCAGCCCACACCAAATTTACAATCCAGGGTTTGACTGGTCAGCCGTAAACAAGTATGAATGAATCAACACGAATCCTTGAAGACATAAACATCAAACACTTTTGGGTCACAAACACTTTCAACCACAAAAAACATGCTTGGTGAGGACACACCCTATGGTTGAAAGAAGCATCGAACATATGGAAACAGGGGCTCATTCTTCAATGCCCATTTTAGGTACCTACAGTACCCTTACATAGCCCTTACATAGGCCTTATATATGGTGGATCGGTACCTCCAATTTAGGTACCTAAAATGGCCATTGAATTCTGAATCGGGCTATTTGACGCCAACCAGCTCAAAGCTGAGCTACCACCCTGACCTGACTGCTCCGATTTTTGAAGTGTGTGGTCCTTGCCCCCCAAAATGTACCCTGCCGGTCGTGATCATCCACCTTTGACATACCTTTGACATAGCTTTGAACATGTTTGAAAAAAGTGTACCCTCTGGTAAACTAACATAACAATGGAAAATCACCATTTTTAATGGGAAAACCCACTATTAATGGTCATTTTCAATAGCTATGTTAAATTACCAGAGGGTACCCTGTTTACTGTAGCCCTTAAATCCATTGGTTGATCATCAGTTTTGCTCTCATGTTCCTCCTATTTCCTCCTAAAGTGGCCAAACACCTGGGCCGATCAGAGCGCCAAAGCACTGCACCAAAGGTCAAGGACACCGCCCATGACCAGTTGTAGGGCAACAAATACCTGCCATTGGCCCCTAAAAATTGGGCAAAAAGCCAAAGATGGTGCCGCATAATCCAAGTCAGAAGGATCAGGAAGGATTCATATGTCGATAGCCTATAGCATACACAATAAAAGGTTCAGCATTTTTGACCAGAAACTGTTGATCCTTTTACTAGTTGTATACGTGTGTTTGCTTCTACCACAAATTAGGGTACAATACCCCCAGTTCCAATGGGTTATCATCATTTTCCCTATCAAACAACAATTTGGGTGGTATACCACTCAGAAAGACACACAAACCAAAACAGTATATTGTTGATCAATTATATCATTGTATTCCATAAAAATATCCCAATTAATCCCCATGATATCTGCTTTAAATATATACATAATACATCAGATTTCCAGGCATATCTCAAGATTTTTTTTTATATATCCCATGAACCGTCCATTTGTTTCATTTGTTGTTTATATGGGGTTCGAACAACTGCGTGTCTTCATTGCCAGCATTTGACATGTTGCGGATGTTGACATGTTGCACATGTTGAAATGTACGTTGCAGATGCTCTCGCATGTTCACGGGAGGGGTGGGGGGGGGTGTAATAACGTCCCTGACTACACTAAGACGGTCAAATTTTCGTACATTGCAACAGGTGGGGTAGCAATAATTGGCGTTATTTGACCTGTTGCTGCTTTTTTCATGCTGTACGTGCGATCATGGCAATTTCGTTTCCAAAATAAAAACAACATAATAACTATGTACAGAAGTTGGGACAACTCTACAAAAGGACAGCTGAAGTTGGGGCACCGCAAAGTATCGTTTGAGATGTTGACCTACTTTAAAAAAATGCATGTCGCGCAAGCATAATTCACTGTAAATCACAACATATTATGATCATCCTGATTCAACCTCCAAAACCACAATGATTAAAAACCCACGCCCGCCTCAAGGCGGTAGTCCCTTGTTTATCATCCAAAAAAATATGCCCATTAAATCCCATCGTAGAACAATGTTTTCAGATGTGCCATGGTCAAAAAATAGTTTATTGTTTCCCATCAAAGGGGATTGTCATCAATCCATTAATTTGAGATCTAAACGCCCATTGCAAGGATTCTCATGGCATGCGATGGGTGACCAAAAACCATATAAGAATATATATATATATAATATATATATATACCCTCTGCTTATTTAACATAGCCATGGAAAGATCATGAAAGATCCATCATTTTAAATAGGTAAACCATCTATAAATGGGCCATTTTCCATGGCTATGTTAAATAACCAGATGGTATATACATACATATATAATACAATCTTCTGACCATGGCAACAATAGGTCCATACAAGTCCATTTAATTGCTGCACCCGCATGGATGTAATCATACTATATATATATATATACAAATCCAATGATATAATAAGTATCCATACCGCATATATATATATATATATTATGTAATTATAATTAATCCTTATTATCTATGAATCTAGATGACTGGATTATATATTAGACATTATATCTTTACCTATGTCTGATATCTAAATAATTATCTATATCTATATCTATATATCTATATTATATGGATGTATGATACTATATAGATGTCAAATTGTGTGTATATATATATAATCCATCTATTACTATAATAGGTATAATCATGTATACCGCCATGATGTTTTCGGCTGGGTTCGTACTTGGCGACGGCCGCCACCAGTCCCGTGCCCAGCAAAACGCCGGGACAGGCTAAGAGAAAGACCTGCCACATGGCGGTGGGGGGGGGGGGATTTGTTCAAGGGGGTGCAACTAACAGGAACATGGTCATTTTACCAACAAAAATATACCAAAATGGTGGTTGTTCATGGGATTTGAAGCTGATTCATGATGGCTAAGTTGGTGCTTAGCTCCGCTAGGCTTCATGGTAGATGGTACCACTTTGTTGGGGTATGATGATGACTACACGTGTGATACATTTGGAACAATGGGATTAAACTACAGTGAATGAGACTGGTTGATCCATTTGATGACCAATTCAGTAAGTATCTATTACACACTGATATGGGTGTATGCATCTCACTATATATATATATATAGTATATACATACATACACAGCACATATATAAATTACAATACTGTGAAGTAGTAATATAATTGGACATACAGTACAAGTGGTTGCTATTGGGATAGTCCAACAAATGGTAAACAAAAATATCATTGGGAAAACTGAGATATGAGAATCATCCATAAAGGGATGTATCAAGGGATATTAGGGGTGTGTCGTTGGGGATTCGGGACAACAATTAGTGGGCATCAATCTGGCCCAAATCCGGATATACCGCTAAAGTTCAATACTTGTAATTCCGTTATTTAAGTTAGCACCCATAAAATGGAGGTGTCTTTGGGATAGGATGGACCTATTACCAACCCACAAAAGATACAAACTAAACATATACATCATAACGTGCACTCATATGCTGCATATCTGATTGGCTGTTGTGCCGCGAATGGAGGTATTCAGCATTCCTAACAAACATCATGAGTGATTGAGACACCCATTTAGAGATTCTGGTGGGGTGTCATTCAACCTGGAAGTGGGACCCGGCTTTGGCGCATTTCGCCTGGGCCTCAGATTACGTCGCCCCACTGTTAATAAAGCTGTACCCGGTTGAATCTAAAGTAACTAGGGTTTGGATGGTCCATAGTCCATAGAATCCATAGAAATGAAATAGATGATAAAAAGATAAGGGATTTTCCATTTCTATTTCATTATTAAAAAACAATTCATCCATAGGATTTTTCCTGTTAATGATATACCCTCTGCTTATTCAACATAGCCATGGAAAGATCCACCATTTTTAATAGGTAAACCATCTATAAATGGGCCATTTTAAGGTCATCTGAGTCACCTACACTCATCCGAACAGAGGATGGTCCTGAAACCATGCCCAGCAAATTGAAGGGATCCATGGACCCATTCTTAAAACCAGGTCTTTTTGTGTCCAAATGGGTTGGGGTGAAACGGTGAAACCAATCAATTTCCCCTTGAACCAATGGCACTAGTATCAGCACCGAAATAACCCCTGGTAATCAAGCATGGCTGGAAAAGTCACCCAATTAGACCGATGATTTTCACGTTTAAATGCCCATTTATGGGGGATTTTCCTGCTGGCCATATATGATTACCACTAGTTGGTTAGTTGCTGTATAGCTCATTAATTTCCCATCAAATCACCGTTTCAATGTATACATTTACCCATTCTTACTGGGGGTGTCTGTACAGCAAATTCAATCCCATTAAACATTGCATGAATCCAAAATTCCATTCAACAAATATCCACATAACACCAATTAAAACCCAATTTTGGGGTGTCCAAACTTGCAATCCCCACAAAATACCCCATCAAAAATATCAAATTACGCAACCTTTTTATGTTGGTTAAGTCACCATTTTTCTTGGTTCAGTCACCCTTTGGCAATCATTCTGGATGTTCCTCCGGAGTATGGAATTGCTTAGTGTTTCATCCATCTCCATATCCCATTATTTACCTTTGATATACCCAATATATCAAAATGCGGTCACCGTTTCCACCACAAAATCTCCCCACCTGTGTGAAACACTTCTGCACGAGGCGCACGTTGAGTTTCATGGCCTCACCAGGTGACACATCATGGGGATTTTAAGCATCAACAGATGGGGAGATGGACGATGGTATTCAACATATGGTGATATTAACGATACTGACAACAATCATAAATGGTGGTTGGTTAAGAATGATTTCCCAAAATTCATGGATTATGAAAGTCCCAAAGTAATAGTGGCTAGTATGATCCCACACAATACAGTATATGTTCTTTTAAAGATGAACATATATGTTAACTTGCAGAATTAAACGTAATCTTTACTCCATCGGTAAGACATGGAAGATGTACCTAGAGTCATCTGTACTGGTAAAATAATATTATATATATATATTATGTAGAAACTAGATTCATTAAAATACTATGGATCACTTAAGAGCAAAGGACTTGACCTGGCAGTTCAATTCCTGGTGTCACACCTCGCTGAAGATGAGAGGTGGCAGAAAGCAGTAGAACAGCAAATGGGGATTGATGCCTCAGCCCAGGTGGGGTGTTCTCGTTTGGGTCAGGTTGGTGTTCAAGTGCTATTGTTTAACCCTTCTACTTCACACATCTGGTGTTCAGGGCTGTAGATCTGGTGTTTCTTCCGGCAATGTGACACGACAACTGCACTATGTTCTTCACCTTTGTGACCTTTGCCAAGCCCATGATGAGTCTCCGCTTCATAGTTGGATAAAGTTGGTACATGTTGGTACATCCACAATCTGATCACCGGCAAACTTGTTTCAAACCTTTGGAATCCAGTCCCATCAAATGGCCTCTAGTCGCCCAGAAAATGGTGTGACAAACATAAACAAAATCATAGATTGGTCCAGGCAAGGCAAACCACCTTGCCACCTTGGTATCCAAGACACTCTCCCATTTCTCAACCTCGACAGGAACAAATCAGGCTCAATGGCATAGTTGTTGGAGTGTGTCATCAGTGGTGAATCCAATTGTTCTCCTGTTGAAACTGGAGATCAACATCGTTTGTAGTGCTATGGACAGAGGGTGCGAGTCAATCTGCACGGTTCAGACATCTACATTCTGAGGTCCGAACCACCAACAGCAGGGTATTTTTTAGGAGGACGGCTTCATCCCCATTGTCCAATGGTTGTTGGACCAGGGATGTGGGATCTTGTTTGTAGATTTACCCTCTGGTTGTTTAACATAGCCATGGGAAATGGTCCATTTATAGATGGTTTACCTATTAAAAATGGTGGATCTTTCCATGGCTATGTTAAATAACCAGAGGGTACAAACAACCAATCTATCCACACCTTTTTTGTTCCAACAACCTGCAAAAATCGCCCCCTTGGACCTGGATGAGACACCAGGTTTTTGGATCTTTTCCCAGGCGATGAAAACCAGCAGTTTTCTTTATATGTCAATATCAGTCAATATGAGTCAATCATATTCAGTATGCCTCGGAACCCCGGTGTTTTTTCAAAACTCTCCAATTTGATCACCAAGTGGCTGATCGAAACCATGTATGCCAGCTAATGGTGGAGGTCGGGGTGCGAGAGAAATGCCAACATGCGAAGACCACTCCGGACAAGAACCTTGCTTTTGAGTAGCCCATGAAGGAGAGGGTCAGAACTTGGGTCTGAACATCAACGCAATCAAAACTGGTAGACTAATTAGTGTGCCCTCTGATAATTTAAAGATATAGATGGTTTAGTAAATTTATTCAATATATGTTTAAAAAAAACTGGCAATGTGCCATAGCTATGTCAAATTACAAGAGAGTAACTCAGCCATCAGAGGTTGGAAGGTTGAAGGGTCTCTGCTAAAAATCTAAGAACATTGACTCAACCATAGCTGCTTTGGTGGACAATGACAACCATTTACCCTCCGACAATCAATGTTGTGGCCTTGGAAAATCCCCATTGAGAATGGCCATTGAAATGTCCCCTATGGCCAGTTTTTAATGGGAACATCATCCAACTAAGTGGGTGAATCTGGATGATTTTCCAGCAAACCATGGTGATTATTAGCGGAGGGTGATCAACCGCCATCTGGAGAGTCATCGGGCTGTAGAGATTAGTCGATGGACCTTGTCTGTATCTTCCCTTCTGCTTCGGGCTTGAAAAAGACACTTAAATGACTTCGGAACCACCTTCAGTTCGTTTTACAGGAGCCTTGGAACAAGTGAATTTGGGTCCTTAATCTTCACTAGGCAGCGATGGAGCCAAGCATGCAAAACATATGCTGGCTACGATTCCATCCTCCCATGAAAGAAGGATGGAGGCCAAAACTTGAAAACCCGACCATTCATATCATGGGATCCAGCAAATAGTGCGTTCCAAGCACCGAAAACATTATATATATAATAATACCTACACTGTATATGTATATATATATATATATGTATAATTATGAATGTATTACTATATATATATATTATATTATAGTATACATATATCATATTATGCATGTATTACATTACACATCTATCATACATACATATACATACATACATACATACATATATATATATATGCATATACAGTATATATGTGTATATATATATATTACTCACAACTGGATTATTCTCAATCGGTCCCACTCCTTTCCTGCCATCCTCAGCCACTTTAGCGGCTAAGGGACATGGCCACTGTGTAGGGAACCGCTGGCGCAAATCGATCCAAGAACAGCATCAACAAGGCACCTGACCAAAACGCCGCCATCAAACGTGGCAATTGAAAAAACCTACCATTTATACTATATAAGTTATACGGATTGTCCCATGAAAACCTCCATTTATAGAGGACTCTCCATTGCCACATTTGATTACCAGAGAGTAATCTGCAAAAACAAATGTACGTCTGAAATAGATTGAAATAGTTTGTGATGAGGCTTCCATAAAGCTGTATCAGCTTGCGTGAAAACGCAAGAAAAACAATGCCAGCATACAAGGGTTAGAAGAATTCCGAAAGAGATCCTGCTCAACTATCTCACTTTTCAGGATTGCCCCCTCATCTCTGCCGATCTGGATGAACAATGAAGTGTTCTTGAACAGTGACCCATAATCAACCATAAACCTTCTATGTATATCCGTGTCTGGTAGGTACCGTGCTACGAAGCTCATGGGAAGTTCCAAAATAATGGGGAGAAACATCTTTTGCCAATACGCAAATGAAGAGGCAGGTGGAAGTTCGACACAATTCCATGCTGCAATGATTTTATTTTTCCTGTCATTGAGGATGATGGCTATGTATCGTCTACCAGTACCCAAAGAACATCTTAAACCAATCCAAACATCGTGTGGAAGGAATCATATATATATACATATATCATATATATATATATCATCATGTGTATGGATTATATATGTATGTTTGCATCCACATAAATAATTGCATGTACATACTATTTTGACATATCTGCCATGGTCAAACGACGGTATATGGCCTATGGCCACGCACCATCAATAGGGATTCCTTACAATGGGTTAATCTAAATCCCTATGAAAATGGCTTGATTGGCATCCCAACATGTATATCATTGAATTTCTGATTATAGTTGGGAACATACATCCTATTCACTCTGATTTTGATATGAATATATATATATATATGAATATTACATCAAAGATACAGGTCACATTGAATCACCATTTCCAATGATTCTAATGGTTCTTGAATCCAATCATATTCCAAATATAGTTTGTTAAAACCGATGGCTGAGGCACCCAAGGTCAGTGAGCCGAAGAACATCAGAAGTACCACCTGCGCGGCGAAATGGGTCAGCAATCAAAGGGGAAGGGTTGGCAAACGTCGAAACTTACATGAAGTACATAATATGTAGATGTATACATACATATATATAAGTATATATATATATATCCGACTATGTGTATATATATATCCGACTATGTATATATATATATATATGTACATATCATCAGATATCTATTCAGATATCTATTTCCCAAACAAGGGAAACGATGGCCAATTGCTGGTCTGTTGGCCTGGCAGACCCCAAAAACACCGGATCACTGGATCTGTCTATGGAAGGACCCTGGAAGGATAGCAGGGTTTCAAGGGCAACAGTTGGCCAAGCAACAGTCATTCTACGGTTTTTTTTGGGTGACCTGCTGGCAGACCCATTTGGGAAGTACGAACATACCAACACTGGACCTCATGTTGAAATCTCAAACTGTTGGACCTTCTGGTAATCTAAATGGAGGATTTTCCAGCCAGCCCTTGTTTGATTCCCGCAGAGTAATGGGAGATAACCAACCAACAATGATGCTTAGGGACTGGTCAAATATTGCATATCCATGGTAAAATCCGCCGACCCCGGCCGACGCAAGGGGGAGCGCGTAAGGGAAGAAGAGGTACTGCCTTGCTATTACTACTACTACTACTACTTCTACTTCTACTTCTACTACTACTTCTACTACTACTTCTACTTCTACTTCTACTACTTCTACTACTTCTACTTCTTCTCTTTCTCTTTATCTTTCTTTTCTTCTAGTGCGTGGTCTACTTCTCTGTAGCTCTGTTCTGTTCTCACTTCTTCTTTCTACGACTTCACTACGTCTACTTCTTCTCACTTCTGTACTCTCTACACTTCTTCTACTTCTCTTCTACTTCTTCTACGTCTGCTCTACTTCTGTCTACTTCTTTCTTTCTTCTACTTTTTCTACTCTATCTACACTTCACTACTACTTCTACTACTACTTCTACTACTACTTCTTCTACTACTTCTACTACTACTTTTCTCTACTACTTCTTCTACTACTGACTATAAACTTCTACTCTACTTCTACTACTACTTCTACTACTACTTCTACTTCTACTTCTACTACTTCTACCTACTTTCTCCTTCTCTACTTCTTGTACTTCTTCTACTACTTCTTTCTACTTCTTCTTCTACTTCTTTCTACTTCTTCTACTTCTTCTATTTCTTCTACTTCTTCTCCTTCTTCTACTACTTCTTCTACTTCTTCTACTTCTTCTACTTCTTCTACTTCTTCTACTTCTTCTACTTCTTCTACTTCTTCTACTACTTCTACTACTTCTACTACTTCTACTACTTATACTACTACTTCTACTACTACTTCTACTACTACTACTACTACTAGCAGCCGCAGGCAGCAGCAGGCAGCAGTAGGCAGCAGCAGACACAAGCAGACGCAGCAGTAAGCGCAACGGCAGCAGTGCAGCAGCTAGCAGCGAGCCAGCAGCCAGCCTCGAGAAACGTATAGCAAGCTTTTTGTAGGAGATTTCAGAAGGGACGTTCCGGCCCCGGGAAACGCTTATTTTGGACTCTGTTTGTCCTTCAGGGCCATGGTGTTTCCCCGTCCGGGAGGGCCGTGTTACTACTACTACTACTTCTACTACTACTACTACTACTATTACTACTACTACTACTACTTCTACTTCTACTTCTACTTCTACTACTACTTCTACTACTACTACTACTACTACTACTACTACTACTTCTACTTCTACTTCTACTTCTTCTACTTCTTCTACTACTTCTTCTACTTCTTCTACTTCTTCTTCTACTTCTTCTACTTCTTCTACTTCTTCTACTTCTTCTACTTCTTCTACTTCTTCTACTTCTTCTACTTCTTCTACTTCTTCTACTTCTTCTACTACTTCTTCTACTTCTTCTACTACTTCTACTACTACTTCTACTACTACTTCTACTACTACTTCTACTACTACTTCTACTACTACTTCTTCTACTACTTCTACTACTGAAGAGGTACTGCCTTGCTATTACTACTACTACTACTACTACTACTACTACTACTACTACTACTACTACTACTACTTCTACTTCTACTTCTACTTCTACTTCTACTACTACTACTACTACTTCTACTACTACTACTACTTCTACTTCTACTTCTACTACTTCTACTACTTCTACTTCTTCTACTTCTTCTACTTCTTCTACTACTTCTTCTACTTCTTCTTCTACTTCTTCTACTTCTTCTACTTCTTCTACTTCTTCTACTTCTTCTACTTCTTCTACTTCTTCTACTTCTTCTACTTCTTCTACTACTTCTTCTACTTCTTCTACTACTTCTACTACTACTTCTACTACTACTTCTACTACTACTTCTACTACTACTTCTACTACTACTTCTACTACTACTTCTTCTACTACTTCTACTACTACTTCTACTACTACTTCTTCTACTTCTTCTACTACTTCTTCTACTACTACTACTACTACTAGCAGCCGCAGGCAGCAGCAGGCAGCAGCAGGCATCAGTAGGCAGCAGCAGACACAAGCAGACGCAGCAGTAAGCGCAACGGCAGCAGTGCAGCAGCTAGCAGCGAGCCAGCAGCCAGCCTCGAGAAACGTATAGCAAGCTTTTTGTAGGAGATTTCAGAAGCTACTACTACTACTACTACTGCTGCTGCTGCTGCTGCTACTGCTACTGCTACTGCTACTGCTACTGCTACTGCTACTACTACTACTACTACTACTACTACTACTAGTAGGGCATTGCAAGCACACTCTTCGATTCGGCTTCCTGGCTGTCCAAGCTGCAGTGCAGAAATATTCCTTTGTTCGTTTTCTTTTGCAGGCAAAACAATGCTTGACAGCATCACA